AACACCCTATTCCAATTTAGAGTTAGACAAAGTAGAGCTAAACAATGAATTAAATTGCATCATACAGCTGTTTCGTACTTAGTGATGCGAAAAGCCTACATTTTGAAGCCTGAGTGGCGAAAATCCATGGTGATCGAAAGAAAATTATTAGTGGACGTTTTCTTTATCATCACGTCACCGTCTTCACAACTGATTACACTAATACAAGTTTTTTACCATTAAATTCAATCCGTTTTTTACCACTACAAATTTTGTAAAGAATTGAAATGACCTACATATGCGCTTTGATCTCGAGCACGTGTACCTGGCGCCCTATCAGTTATTTAACGGCGATATCTTCTCTTTAGTGCAAGTATTTCAAATCAGATCGTACCATAAATTGACCTGTTCTGATTTGAGATATCTATGGGAACAGGACGGGAACGGTTTCTCTTGTACCTGCCATTGATTAATTTGATAACATGCTTTGTCTACTAGCTATTATGTCGGTCGCCTGAATTAATTTGTCCAAATATTGGACCATTTAAAATAGTCATTCGAACAGAAGATGATTGACTTAAATACCATTTTTGATGAGTAAACTGAATACAATTTTCTATTCAAACATTGGCCTCTGTATGTTTATATGTCGGCCTTTTCACTGCTAATTTTGAAGTTGTGTGATGTAGTTTGACACGTTATTTGCGGCTACTGTATCTAATTCTAAATTCTAGACGCTGCTGGGGGTGTGGTGAGGTGTCGGGGTGTGGAGCGGTGTGGTGAGGTGTGGGGGAGTGGGGATGTGGAGAGGCGTGGGGGTGTGGAGAGGTGGGGGGTGTGGTGAGGTGTGGGGAGTGGTGAGGTGTGGGGGAGTTGGGATGTGGAGAGGTGTGGGGGTGTGGGGGTGTGGTGAGGTGTGGGGGTGGAGTGAGGTGTGGGGTTGTAGTGAGGTGTGGTGAGGTGTGGGGGAGTGGGGATGTGGAGAGGTGTGGGGGTGTGGAGAGGTGTGGGGGTGTAGAGAGGTGTGGGGGTGTGGTGAGGTGTGGGGTTGTGGTGAGGTGTGGGGGTGTAGTGAGGTATGGTGAGGAGTGGGGGAGTGGGGATGTGGAGAGGTGTGGGGGTGTGGAGAGGTGTGATGATGTGGAGAGGTGTGGGGGTGTGGGGGTGTGGTGAGGTGTGGGGGTGTGGTGAGGTGTGGGGGTGTTGAGAGGTGTGGGTGTGTGGTGAGGTGTGGGGGTGTGGTGAGGTGTGGGGATGTGGAGAGGTGCGGGGTTGTGGAGAGGTGTGGGGGTGTTGAGAGGTGTGGGGGTGTGGTGAGGTGTGGGGATGTGGAGAGGTGTGGAGAGGTGTGGGGGTGTTGAGAGGTGTGGAGAGGTGTGGGGGTGTAGAGAGGTGTGGGGGTGTGGTGAGGTGTGGGGTTGTGGTGAGGTGTGGGGGTGTAGTGAGGTGTGGTGAGGTGTGGAGGTGTGGTGAGGTGTGGGGTGTGGTGAGGTGTGGGGGTGTAGAGAGGTGTGGGGGTGTGGTGAGGTGTGGGGTTGTGGTGAGGTTTGGGGGTGTAGTGAGGTGTGGTGAGGTGTGGGGGAGTGGGGATGTGGAGAGGTGTGGGGGTGACGAGAGTTGTGATGGTGTGGAGAGGTGTTGGGGTGTGGTGAGGTGTGGGGTGTGGTGAGGTGTGGGGATGTGGAGAGGTGCGGGGTTGTGGAGAGGTGTGGGGGTGTTGAGAGGTGTGGGGGTGTGGTGAGGTGTGGGGTGTGGTGAGGTGTGGGGATGTGGAGAGGTGCGGGGTTGTGGAGAGGTGTGGGGGTGTTTGAGGTGTGGGGGTGTGGTGAGGTGTGGGGGTGTGGTGAGGTGTGGGGATGTGGAGAGGTGTAGAGAGGTGTGGGGGTGTTGAGAGGTGTGGAGAGGTGTGGGGTGTGGTGAGGTGCGGGGGTGTGGAGAGATGTGGAGGTGTAGAGAGGTGTGGGGTTGTGGTGAGGTGTGGGGTTGTGGTGAGGTACGGGGGTGTGGAGAGATGTCGGGGTGTGGGGGGCTTTGTCCCCGAGGTTCGCCGTAACCTGCCTGCAACGTTTTAATTTATTCTTTTATTTACACGGTTCAGAATATACACATATGCTTGAAGCTGTCCTTAAGTTATCTGATATATGAAAATTATGAAATATATTGTATTTCGGGTCTCCTGTACCCCCGTCTAGATTTTTACTTTCATTCGATGACTTTGGATTTGCCTTAGTCGCCCCCAAGGCCTCAAAATTAAAGGCCCTTCGCATCACTGACGAGTCCTAAAAGGACGAAACAGCTGTATGATGCAGTTTAATTCATTGTTTGGCTCTACCGTATCTCACTCTAAATTATAAAAAAAAAATCTTTTTCCCTTTTTTAGTACTAATTCAGTCAATTTGTAAAATTGACGATATCACGTGACTAACTGTAGGTATCCATAAAACCGATCGATTTTACACCTGTTCGATATTCCCTTTACAACGTGTATGCAAGTTGTAGAGTTGTACAGTGTAACACTCAACAGACAGAAGTGAGGCTAACCACACAAGTTTGAACGTATAGAGCCCTTGTCCTGAGAGGTGTACAGATAATGTCAAACTTTGTCAGCATGCTCTAGCATGTGTCCCAAATACAGTGATATCCAGTGTAACCACAGAAAAATCACTGATTCATTCGTTTTAGGGCTGAAACACATATATCACAAAATAACACTCCCCAATGAACACTAACACTGTGAGAATATTCGTACGTCTGATGATATACTGGTGCCTGATACAATTTTAAAATGCTTTCATCGTTTATCGTTTACAATGTCAAAAGCTAATTCTACCCTCCATAGTACCACGTGGTCGTCATTTTATTTAGGATTTAGGAAAAATTCAACAACACTTTAATTCAATCTTCAAAAATGAAATGAAATGATGCTCTTTGGTATTTTCGTATTGTTTATTCAAGATATAACATATTACCGATTCTTTAAGGCTTGCTTCGGTGTGTCAGAAAGTTAAAGACCATTGAATTAACTCCTTGTGTTTTCCAACAACTTTTTCACAGAATAGATACATGCCTTTGCGTTTATAACGCGTGTTTTGGTTAAGTACACGATCAACAATATTCTATGAATAAATGGCCTGCCATACTGGTCCTTGAAGACGCTTACTCTTTTGGAACCTCGGTTCCGATTCTCTGTGTACTCTTTCGTTTGCTTACATTTGTCATCGTTTCTTTTGTCGTTGAGTAAGACTGACAGTTATATGTTGGTGAAGTCTTCTGGTCTTTCATTGAGAATTGTATCATCTTTGTTCATACATACATATTTTGCCCTAGTTTTATTGAAATAGAGTTTGAATTATGATTATGTTGACATGTTGGTATTTTTCCCGTAGTTTATTGTGCAACAATGATTTTTTCACATTACAGTTAAAATCATGGCACGCCTCGTATCTAAGCAATACATTACATGTTAGAATGATATACCACAGTACACGATACACCGAGTTATACGAGGAATATGTTGCTTTAGAAGTTACATTAACTGAAACGGTATTGCACTAATGATAATATACCTGATGAAGATTCTGGTTTGTTCTGTGCCTTATACATGATTTCTTTCCAGTGATGGGTCAGCGATGTCCTGTTTACTGGGTTGGTTATGGCCAGAGTTGTTACCGCTATCAGTATCAGGACACCAAATCTTGGAACGAGGCTAAAAATTGGTGCAGACTTCAGGGAGGTGACCTAGTCAAGATTGAGACAACACAAGAACGGGTAATAACTGGAATCAGACTCATATTTATAGTTATGTGAATAAGTACTAAAACCGACATTAACATCCCTAAATATATTTAAAGTATGTGTCTATTATCTTGATGGCTTTTTGTCTCTCAATAACAAGAAATTTATTGACCACGTTCATCGTATTTAACCACAGACGTTTCTACATCAACTGCTTATCCCGATCTTTTCCTACAACGGAACCAACATGGATAACTTCCCACCAAGCTGTATGATAAACGTGATTTCAATTTCCCTAATGTGAATTTTCCATTTCTGGATATCAATATCCCTGCATTCCAAACCAATGTTACTTACGTGTCAGAGTTCATTCAATAGTCTAGGACATTTAGGGCTTCTAGGTCCTGTTCCCATTGCAAGGATGCTTGTGCAAGAAGTCGTCAACTGACGGACAAACTCGTTACAAAGGGTTTCAAATGATGCAGGTTGATTATGGGGATGATTTACGGTTGTCATAGAGATATCTTGGTCTATTATCTTGATCGATGATTACAGTATGGTAGCAGTGAAGCATTTAGGATAGTTCCAAATTTGAAAAGTATCCGTGTGAATATGCTTTATATATAAAATGAAACAACTGATTTATCCAACAGACATGGATCATTAGACAACTAGGAAACTTACAAAGCCACCAACACGCTCGCCCTTACTGGTGGATTGGCTTGAATGACCTTGACGCGACCTCTGCGTGGCAGTGGACAGATCGCTCTGCTGTTGATCAAAGGATATTGTAAGTATCTGGATGACATATCCATGTCCTGAATTAACAAATTCATCATGATGATAGATTGAAACAAGAAAAGCAATGGTATTGGTTTCTAAACAATGGTATTTTTATCAAACAATGATATCTTTATTTTAAAATTATATTTATAAGCGATAATGTTGTTGTTTGAACAATGATATTTTTAAGCAATGATATGTTGTTATCTCTATATAAACGAGTCGTACTTCTTAGTGCACTATCAATATGCTTTAGTGTAGCTGACATTAAAATCCAAATTCTCTATCCTTGCTTGACTTTATTGGTTGATGTGGCAAAATCCGAAATTTCGTTATAATTGTACTATCACATTCTACATATGATATGATTTTACTGATCTTAGTTTTGGCACCATTTTAGAATCGATTCATGCCTTTGATCTGTCTTTGTTGATTGTAGTCTTTGGTCACCGGGAAATCCTAACAACCAAGGAGCTCGAGAACACTGTGTTAGATTCGACAACCTCAAGATGAACGACAGACCATGTAACGAACGAATCAACTACGTTTGTGAGCGATCCAAAGGTAAGATGTCATTTTTTCTTGGAAGAAGTTCTTGCCGATCAGAAATGACTGTGTGACATTTGTTGCGATTATTGAACATTTTCATCAGACGAAAGACAAGTGTGGTGGTTTGACGTATGCACTGCACGAGATGATAATGAATCGACAGGACCTACTGTACTCTACTGTACCTAGAGTAAGGAGGAAAACATTGAGACAAAAACAAGAGACTATAATGAAAGGTATGTGGTACAAATGGTACACTAGAGTCAATGTTGGACGGTGTGACAGTCAACTATTGAACTCTCAGACGAAATATAATGCACTTTGACAATTATTGACATATACTATGTATTAAACTCTTTCTTATTATAAATGTTGCAGAGGTATCATAATTTCAAGCAGTTATAAATGTTAATATGTGATTTGTTAATGTGATACACGTTTTCTGTCTGTATATGTGTTTTGTTGATGTGATAAACGTTTGCTGTCTGTAAAGGTGATTTGTTAATGTGATACACGTTTTCTGCCTGTATAGGTGTACCTCTTACCTGTGATGCTGACCGAGGCTGGCAGTCTTACCCACCTTACTGCTACCATGTCCGTGGGGACCAACAAACATGGGCAAACGCTAAGTACGCTTCTCATCACGTCTGTTGGTGACTTTACACTTACTTTGGTTTCATTTATTTTGCTAACATATCTATAATTTACTGCTGTTTTTAGTGTTGTTATCCCTGACACTGTTGTAATTATTTCTGTTTAGAGAGTAATGTTTAACATTAGAAATGTATCATTCATTTCCATGTTTATGAAATTTTAATTACATCTTCAAAAGTTAAAATTCAATTATATTTACATAGAAAACAATGTAATCGGGAAGGAGGAGATCTTGTGTCCATCCAGTCAAGCGCTGACGAGACAACGATGCAGAGTATTGCCAGATCAACGAAACGGCCGTATTGGATTGGTCTTCATTCATTCCAACAAACTCGAAATGTAAGGAAATTATGTTTCCATTCAATAAAAAATATTTGTTCTTGATTTTTGACCTTATTTCGCACTCTTGTATTATTATTGTACTCGGGAATGTTTGCATCTCAGGGTCCAGTACAGTGGATGTGGTCCAACGGCAGTTTGCTTACCACGACATCTTACTGGGCAAATAACGCGGCCTCCTCCCCGCCTGGGCAAGTACATAAGTCGATCTTCGAAGCATTTATTGTCGTATTCGTCTCTACATTTTTGAAACTAACATCTTATAAGTTTATCTTATGTGTAAATATTTTACACACTATTATATCATTATAATGATTAAAGATTTATATACAATATTATATGTATATATTTTTAACACAATTATATCATTATGATAAAGTAGGTACAATAATATAATGTGTATATATTTTTTACTCTTTTATATAATTACGTATTTAATGTGTTTAAGAACTCGGTCATCTTTATACTAATAATTATCCCATATTTATAGTAACCGTAAAAACACGACGTGTTCCTACATCAGTAACGCCATCACTAATAACAGACCATGGATGTCCACTACCTGCAACTCTCGGAAATATTACACATGTCGGAAGCCAGAAGGTACGAATGCGCATGTGTATATTGTATTTGTGGGTTTTTTTAATTATTATTATCATATTGTTTTGATCATCCTCATTGATAGCATTAAGGAATATTGCCATCGTTTCATTCAATAATCAACCATTTAATAACCAACCATTTCATGTTTAAAACTAGATGAAGCATGTTACCATCACACTTTTATTTTTTCTAATATCAAGTTTCAAGCTTAGATAAAAAAAAAATGGAAATAAATGTACGTGTTATGAGAGAAGAACCTTGTTGATCTTAGTTTGATCTTATTGTACACACAGCACGTGCACACGTGCAAGGTGTTTGTAAGCAGGATTAGGTTGTATTGCTTTGTCCTGTTTAACGTTTTGTGTGTTTGTCAGAAGGAACGCTGGTATATGTAACAACAGCTTGTAATGTAGGCGTTTGTCAACAGGTGTGGGTAGCATTCGTAGCTTACTGTTGTAGGTGTTTGTCCACAGAGACCGTTTTTATAACAACCGTTTACTGTTGAAGGTGTTTGTCAGCAGGGGTGGGTTGCACATCAGACAAAATGTTACCAGATCAACATTAAATTCAAATATTCGTGGTCACGGGCGAAAACCTATTGCGACAGCCAGAGAGCTCGACTCGTAGAAATTTACAGGTACATTAATGTGTTCCAAGATGTTCTTTTAACGTTTCATTCTGGAGTAAGATATGTGACTGAGTGACTGGAAGTTTAACATTCAAAATTCGTTGTGTTGCTTTTTTTAGTGAAAACCTGAAGTTAATCGCTTACTTACATAATAATTTTATTGTATTGTATTAGACGCAAAATTATAGATTTATTCTTATATCTAAAAGTAAATTAGAAACATTTTATGGATAAATTCTAAGTACGTACAATGTAATTGCTTACCAAAGCGATGTGATCATTATGCTTATAGGTCTTCAGACACAGCATTCGTGAATTCTTTTCTGGGTAAATTACGTCAAGCTGGCATAGACAGTTTTTGGATTGGAGCTTCAGGTATGTCATTAAACTTATGTTCTCGGATAAGTAAATAAATTTATTTTTCAGGTAATTTGAATTGCCCACTTATTAGGTATAATAGTAACCTAGCTTATATAAGTAAGATATAAACTTAACCAATATGTATTCTTTAGGTTAGGCAATGAGCTATTTTTATCCAAGTAAATTTTCAAATGTATGTCTTTGGATATGTCAATGCCCTTGTTCAAATGTTTTCACGTGTGTTTCCTCAATGTTCATAAGCTAACATTCTCAGAAAGGCCATACTGCTAATTAACACCTCAACTACGTATTTATCGGTACACACAGTTGATGTAAAACAATTAATTATTATATAAAAGTCCACACAGGATAAATATGCATTTGTTGTCACAGATCAAAATACGACCACCTATAAATGGAGCCACAACGGACGTATTTCATATCAGAACTGGCAACGAAACCCGCCAGCCAATACCAGGAACCGTCTGGACTGTGCATACGTTGCAACATGTTAGTGTGTCTTTACTCTCTATCTACTATACTATCTACACTTTCAGATTGGTAATGTAACTGGATTATATAACCATATTTGTCCTGAAGAAAAATTAAAAACGGTGTATTGTAAATTCCTTGTTAATCTAAGCGATTGTTTTCTTTGACAGCTGATTCCCGGGGTAAATGGAGGACGACTAGCAACTGTGGAGTGATGAAGAAGGCATTTATGTGTAGTATAGGAATGAATCAGGCTGTGCACCACGTTAGCCAACCAAGACGTGAGATGTGTTGTGTTATACATTAACGTTTCGATAACTATATATCATTACTTCCTGTAAAAATGAACTCTCAATGCTGGAGATAGAAACATATGTATGTGTTTCTATTACATGTTTGCAGTCGCAAAAATGTATGTACTGTCAATAAATGGCTCATGTGAAGTAACACGCGCGAACAATCCCTATATGTTGTCATTTACGATACACTTACTGTAGTTTGTGTAAGAAAATCGATCATAGCTAACCAATACATAAAAAAAACCTTTCTGCCCAAGGCAGTCCATGATAGGATTCCTCTCTCAGTATCTATAAATGAATCCCTACGTAAAGTATCCGCTGAAAAATATTTCCCTAAATTTTGAATCGTTATTTTAGTGGTATATACAGGGATTGTTATATGGTTTGTCTACATTAAACCTCTTTGTTTCACGAAACGATTTTAACATTGATGGAACGTTCCATTTGAGTTTTAACGACGTTATATGACGCGATGTCACATAATTCGTGGTGTATCCATTTGGCCTCGCTTTTCAGCCCAGTACACCTGTGATCGTAACTGGTTGGTTTATGGGTCCAACTGTTACAGCTTCAATGATCACCGACGAGATTGGATTGGTGCAGGCCAGGATTGTCAGAAACAAGGCGCCAGTCTTGCAAAGATTTCTGACGTACATGTCCAGGGTTTCATTGTAGGTAAGATGATATTAATTCATTCCTCAACCTAGGTTATTGCGTCAATGCACAGCAGCGGTCAGTAAACTACTAGATGGTTAATTCTAGTCTTTGCTTTCGACAATTCTGTCTTAATAGTAATTTAGTACCGAGACTAAGGTGTACAGGAAATCATATTCGTCAGAAGAATCCATTTCTGTGATCTGGTGGATAGAGCAGACGTTCTTACAACACAACCAGTATGTATGTTTTTACCATTTCTGAATAGAAACACACCTCATTCCCAAACCTATGTAGCTAACATATCGCAGTCAATATTCAAGGGCCTGCTCAAAATATCTCGATTTTCGTACAAGTCGTCAACCGACGGACAAACTCGTAACACGGTTTCAAACGGTACAGGTTGATGGAAAGTATGTGACATTTTTACTGTCGCCACAGTAATGTCATTGAGAATTATTCCGTTTCTTGGTGTGATATTAAACTTGACGTGTTTAATGCTCGCTAGTTTCTTTCTTCTGTGTATATCTTGCCCTAGTTTTATTGAATTTGACCTGAAATCATTATCATGTTGTCTTTATGATGAGCATTTATTTAACTTCACAGCTCACACACACAATCAAGAATACTGGATCGGTTTAAATGATCAAAACGCGGAGAGACATTTTGTATGGGTCTCTGACAAAACCCCGGTAAGTATTTATTTGATATTAATTTATCTTTGGTATCTTACTCAATGCTCAATGTTTATCATAATCAAGGCTTTTATAAGGGTTTACTTCTGTCTATAACAATTTACTTAAACCACGACAGTCTTGTGATCTTGTATATGTTTTCTGATATTTTAATTGATTGATATTTCTTTAACCTCATGTCGGTATGCATGCACTTGTTCGTCACATTTCTAGAGCATCAAGCTCGTGTCAGTTAGCTGGAACCGTTCAAACACAAACAAACATACTTGAAACACTTCATTCGTTTATTAACTGACTTGTATATGTCTAAGGAAACACATTACAGAAGAATCGTTAGTGTATTCATTGCACAGCTGACTGCATTACTAATCTATTGTATTTAGGCACACTATACTAAATGGAATCCCCATGAACCAAATAACCAGGGCGATGAAAATTGTGTTGAGACAAGAGGGAATGGTTGGAATGACAAAGCGTGCACAACAGCCCTCAAATACATCTGCATGAAACCTGCACGTACGTTACCATCTCCGACCAATTTATTCATTAAGTTTTTCACAGAAAGTATTTAAATGGATTTTATTAATCGTGTCTTTCAATCAAAATAAACACTTATATACGAAAATCAGAAACGTCATGCTTCGTCCGCCGTACGTAAACTTTTGACCTTTCAAACTTCTCAAGTTTTACAGGTGGGATTGCCCTCAAACTTCAGAAAATAATTCTGAGATAGTCCTGACCATTTTAAACTTCTTCCTCTCCAGTTCCGCTGGTGCCATTGAGCTAAAAATTGTTGGGAATGTTAAGGAAAGGTAGCCAACAAAGTGTTATTTTCAACCCTGTCAACACTTCGATACAGCAGCAAGGGAGGCCATTTTGTAACATGATTGCGCAATCATGGTTTCCTGTGCAACACCTATTTCAAACTTTTTACCATTCGAACTGATCTCTAACTTTAATGTAAAAAAATAGGTAACACCTCTCATAGTTACCTACTCCTCACCAAATCTACCATCTGCATCATGGAAAACAGTTTCTTAGTAAGCTTTCATTCAAAGTAGAAAAAAATAATTCTTCTCTCGGCTGAAGGTTTTGTAGTCAGATAACCGTCAAGGCCTGTGGGTCTCTTGGTAAGAACTTTGGCTTGAATAGATATCACGCTAAATAACGATAGTTTTCAAATGAATATAACGATTAAAAAAAGAAAGCACCAACATTAAAATAATTCTATACAGAAAGTGGTTTGAAAACGATGCCTCACTATGGAGTTTATTAACAGATGTAATCTGGCGCATTAATGTCAGTGCCACATCTACTGAAGGTTTTACCCCTCCACGAAATACATTTGGTCATTAAGTTTTATACCTCATTTTATCATTATTTTGTGTCATCTCTTTATAAAGCAACTTTATTATTATTATTTTTAGGAAATGCCGGACTGCCTATAGGTCCTGTAACAACAACTGCATGTAAGCTATCTTTTGATGTTTGCGAACACTTAATTCACCAATTTGAAGTTTTCAAAATCTCAGTTTACCGCTGTTATTAAGTTATCCTGACTTGACTGTGATCTGATTTCTTTTTCCAGTGCCTTACAGCATAAAGTGTGGTCTGTTGTGGGAGGAGGATCCCAATTCGAACTACTGTTATCAGTTCCAGGACCAACAGCTTGACTGGAATGACGCCAGGACGACGTGTAGACATCAGGGCGGAGACCTATTAAGCATTGAGTCTAGGGAGGAACAGTTTTACATTGCTGGTGGGACATCTTTGATTTCTAATGTTGTTACAACGTATACGACAATATTTGCCTTTATATCTGATAAACTATGGCGTCCTTCAATATTTGAAGATTTTTTTAATCAGGTTTGACCAGACAATTCGGCATCGTTGATTTCTAAAATGTTTTAATACAAAAGCCGAGGATAAAGCAATGTATATGACGATGCTTGATTTAATATTAGTAAAACTTATGTTTCAGCTCCATGTTTGATATAATGTTTTTCTCATAGTCGTATTTATTTTATTTACAGTCGAACCTTGTTATCTCGAAGTCAGCGGGACTTTTGGAAAACTTGGAGTTATCCGGTTATTTGATTTAAAACTTAGAATGTTTAGTGTAAACTTTGGCCGGGACGTTAACAGTGTTGAGCATTGGTCAATCATATTCACTGTTAAGCATGATACTGAGGATGGCAAAAGGAAAATTGCGTCTTCAATGTAAACCTGAATTTAATAATACAATAAACAATAAAACGGATGAGAAAGTACCAGGTTTGTGTTTGTTTCAGGGCGTATTCGAACCATGTCGTCTATATCGTTGTGGATCGGTGCGAACGACCGAGGGTCAGAAGGTGGTTGGACCTGGACTAGTCGGTCGCCGTTTGCATATTTAAACTGGCAATCGGGTTTGTACATCTTCATAGATTATTTATTGCGTTTCGAAAATGTAAAATCAAACTTAAATGGCGAAGAGCGCATTAAGTCGATCTGTAAGTATTTTTTTATCTCGCGTTACAAGGCATATTACTTGGTAATCCGGTGTTGTCCTTTGTCCCATCTTTATACATTCACTTCTTTGTAATGATATAGGTGAGCCTAACGACCTCCATCACAATGAAGACTGTGGAGCAATATTTACACAGAAAGGCACATGGGCCGACTTTTCTTGCATACAGAGAAATGGATACATTTGTAAAAAACACAGTAAGTATCTAATGCAGTTAAAATTATCATTAAAATAAATTACGACTATTTTGTTCTATACCAAATGTTGAGATATCATTTGTTACTTGTCCACACCTGTACTAGAGAAAAGTCCCGTGAAACTTCCGATGTCCTTGTTGGTATAATAAAGAGATACTTACCCGAAACAGTAAAGCAACAGACATATTTGCTTTAGTTCACTCTCATTACATACTAGTGTGAACATCGATACCATGCCTCGTCTTCAACAGCTTCCTTCCATACAGACTTCTGTCCAAATCGTCTTTCGAATTCACAGCCCGTTAAAGAATTACCGAAACGTAAAAAGACGGTGTTGTGGTATTGTGAACAGTTAGGTCTAGAGAAACCTATGTAAGAACCCGCCACTAGTATTCATAATGCTTGCAAACAATTTTTGTTCATTCCCTATTGACACTAAAATCAAATTGCCAAAACTAACTGGTATCTTACTTAGTGATAAAAGTGAGGGAAAAGCTTTCCTGGGATGAGGCAATGTCTTAAAATGAGTTTTAAAGATGCAAACTAATTGAAAAGGACAGATGTGTAATGAAATTCTTCCCTGAATTAGAATTAGTGATAAGTATAACAATTCGGCACAAAAGAAATGATCCTAAATGTAGGATAATGCTCGTTAAGGTACATCCTAGATTTTGATAGCCTTCTCTTCCGGTAGTGGAACAATATGACACGCAAGTATAATCGGTGATGGGATGTATGTAAAAAAAATCTTGATTCAAATTGACTGAAATAGGGTAAAATGTAGAGTTAAAATTTAAATAGAATTTGATATAAATATATCTTTACTGTTGTAAGAGCTCCGAGTGCGTTTAATCATTATTATATTTTAAGAACACATGGTTCATACTCTCGATATTCTTAAAAATTATATACGTAAATAGAAATACTAAAATGGAATCGACATTACGAAAAAGTGGTCATATGTCATGTACCGTTCTTAGAATAAGAACGGCTTCATTTCAGACATGTACTTTATATATATATATGATAGATTCAATCAACGCAAATTGTTATATGACCTATGATACCTTTATTGTATGTTCTCTTTACCTACAGGTAGAGTACATACGACCGTTCCACCATCTACCACAGTTCATGTACCAGGTAAGGCAGACAACAACAGAACTATTACGACTGAAATAATACTGGATGATTTCTCTTATTTGTTTGTATACCCTGTTCGTATTTGAGAACGTGACCTTGCTAACTTCGATTGACCAAGTTTTACTTGGCAGGTGTCGTCGATGATGCAACAGACGCCTACTCTTTCGGAACACCTGGTCTTATTTTCCTATTTTCCGAATGGTTTTTATTTTTTATTTAATCTTGTTATCAGCTGGAATGATGCTGGGGTGTCCGAACTATTGGAAGGCTCATGGTTCCTCTTGCTACCAGTTGATAAAAAGAAATTTGACCTGGGACCAGGGTCGTACACTTTGTCGGGGACACGGAGGATACCTTGCTACAATATCTAGCCAAGCAGACCAGAACTTCATTGTCAGTCAGTTACCAACTAGTAAGTAATATCACGTCGACCATATGTATAACGATTGTTCGGGCATGGCACGGAATATATTACAACCGCCTTTACCCAAGACGTTTATTTTCAAGAAAGCTTTACACCAAACAATGTTTTTTGCTTATTTCCATAAAAATAATTTATGTAGATGGACAGAGTAATACAAAACACGTAAGGATCGGATACCTTTATTACCAGTATCTTGTTTCATCAGTAAATTGATAAATAAAACGCCATTTTGTAGATCGCACGGGAGGTTACTGGATTGGTCTGAACGATAGGCTTGTACAGAACAACTTCCAATGGTCTGACGGAAGTAAAGTAACCTACACCGCTTGGGCACCTAGAGAACCAAACAACTTCTTCGGGCATAGAGAAGACTGTGTGCTTTTATACTTAAACGTAAGGAAACTATACGGTTCCCGATATTTATATTTTTGAGAGCAATGGGGAGTTATTATTTCGATACAAAACCCACATATCGAAAATTGAGATACTAGTCGTCGGTCAAATTCAATTGTTTATCTATCTTAAAGGATATAACTTGGTGATTTTACTTACTTTACAATAATGCCATTGTTATCCCAGTTTTGCTGTCTTAATTTCAGAAACAGAACAGATATACGTTCTTGTTTGCTATTTTCTATGTTGCTATACACGTTTTACAAATCATTTAGGACGAAGCAATACTGCCTCTTAAATGTACGATAACAGCTCTCTTTACATCAGCTAAATGTTGGGAGATGACATAGCCTGGGTCAAGGCTAAGAAGTATACAAAATTGCATATTCAGGATATAACCGTATTTACTTTGTACACCAGAGCGGTAAATGGAACGACGGAACATGCAGTAGTCTTCAGCAAGGCGTCATATGTAAACGACCAAAACAGATTGTGTCAAAAACACAAAGCCCTCAAACTGTTGGATGTACATTAGTAAGTTGTTTGTTTCCTCTCCAATGAGTTTATGTCCGTGCAAGTACCTGCAAACTGGACATTTGTCTGATGGAGGTAATTGTGTTGTCATCGAAACGTCACTTATATTCACATTACCAACCCGCAAAAAAAATGTTCCAAAATATATATTCGTTGTCTATGATTTATTAGGAGCATTAGGAAATGTCATTCTATAACGATTTATGATTATCCAGTGTTTTTATTAAACGGTGTCTCCATTTGTGAACACCCTCTGTTCACAATATTGAACTCTTTTTCTACTTTTATTCTTGATATCGTTTGATTCATTAATGCCTCCTTCCTACTATGATATACTAGCCTGCTGTTGGATATCAAGCATCCTGTTATTTCTACGTGGCTGGAGCCATGAAGGCATGGTCAGACGCTAATAGGGATTGTATTCGTCGATTTAACGGGACACTTGCCACGGTCAATGACAGGTAGATGTACTTCTAATCAATTAAAGAAGTAGCGCATGAAATACGTTAAAGTCGTGTCTTAATTTCCCGGAGAATACGTGTATTAATCTTATGTAACCGTCACTATTCAACGTTAGAACATCGAGTTGATGTTTCGAACTGTTCATTTGTAATGGTGGTATCGTATACGACTGCGTATGTCAACGTTTGTGTCTCTCAATTTTACGTTACCGTATATCAAATCAATGTAAAGCCATCAGTATCAACCAATCTGCTTTATGATATTTTACTGATATTTCAGTAGAAACATGTTCGCTGATTCGGGCAAAATATTTATACTATTTATATATCTAATATAAATCTGTGACTTTTGACAATAACGAAAATAATTATAATATTAGTATAATATTATGATTAAATAAAGCTTTCAAATTAGCGAAAACTACCGAAGGAAACTTATACAAAATCCAATGTTATTCTTTAATCTGTGTGTTATGACATACTTTTTCAACACTTACATATAGTATTAAATTCACAGTAGTACATTATGTTGGTATTTTTCTGACAGATATACTCAAGCCTTTGTCGCTAATTACCTTAATAACAAGGGAGACATGTTTTGGATTGGAATGTCAGATGCCGTTACACCAGGGACTTATCTGTGGAAGGACGGAACCAAAGTTCAATTCACGTTCTGGGGAAGTGCACATACAGGTGATTTAATTTTGGAAATAATCCATCGAAAGGCATATTTACAATTCTATATTTTGCATATTGGATAGGTTAAAATACGTACGTTTGTTAAATTGTCAGTTAGACATTGCTTTAGCAAAGTGCAATAATAGTTACTAAGGCCATATTATTTAGTATGTGGTAACCTTTTCTATTGTACTATCATTTCACTGTAAAATAATGTCCATGTTGTAATTTTATACAAACATATATCATGTACAAAAATCCTCTGTTTATTAATCAGTATTAATATCATTTTTGCGATCATAAATATTTTACCTCATGTAATATAACCCTTTTGATATGAACACAAATAATATATTCGACTTCGAAAACATCTAAAGAAAAAAAAACTATATTATTTGTATTTTAAATGATCTTTTTCAGTGATCATTTCGTTAACAATTATTCCAAATGACATTATCAACAGAAAGAAATCGTAGTTTGTTTCGTTTTAGGTCGGTTTTCTTCTTCAGTGGAAGAGTGTGCCTTATTCATGACTTTCCCTAAGGATAGCTTAACATGAATTTTATGTTCACATTGTTATGTATGAAGTCTATTTTATCCCTTCGTATCGCTTTACTATATTCTCCAGGTAGGGAGAGGAGCACATGCGTGGCTCTAACGACGGCTGTGCCGATAGGTCTGTGGGAGAACAAGAATTGCACTGAGAAGCATCACTATGTATGTCAGTACCCCAGAATTGGCTTCACCACACCCCCGCCTACTACCACACGACAGCCAATTATATGTCCATCAGGGTGGTCAGGACAGTATACTAACAGCTACTTTTGTTACAAGGTGCGTTATCATTTGATATTATGGTGTTGTATGGTTTTTTATCTTCTATTGAAATTGTTTTATTTCAAAAGCTGTATAGGTAAGAAAACGGTAACTAAAACAATGCTGGAAATGTTTTAAGGTGTTTTACAACGACAACGTTCTTGGTAAGATGACATGGACAGAATCACGTGACTACTGTCGTGGTATAGGAGGTGACCTGGCCAGCATACACAGACAGGCACAGAATGATTATATGGGTACACTGCTGCGGTAAGCGTGTAATGTATTGTATTATCTTGTTTAAACTGAATGTAATCAGAAGGGAACTTCAAAATCACAGTTGGCTTGAGGGTTAACAGCCATGATTTAAAAATATGTCTTATGTCAATCAGAACATTATTAGTTGATCGTGACTTACTGTCATATCACTCGCTGTAGGTCTCCAACTGGTATTATTATTATCATTTCAGACTAAAGACTGGATCGTTTTGGATCGGTTTAAATGATCGAGACTCCGAAGCAGGTAGGTTTTCCTCAAATAATTCGCAAACCTTTCACTGTTTATATCCGTTTTTTGTTTCAAGTGGTTATGCTCCTTAAGAAACGAAAATTGTAAGTGGAGATCTTGGTGAATACACAACTAGGATAAATGCAAAATTATCTTGACGATCGAACTTTTCGGGGTTTCCCAGGTTACGTGTGGACAGATGGCAGAGGAACGGATTATACCAACTGGAACCCTAACGAACCAAACGATTATAATGGTAATGAGGACTGCACACAGATCTTCGCTGGTTCATTAGGGTGGAACGATAACAACTGCTTTATAACGAGTAATTGGATCTGTGAAATTAGAAGAGGTACGTAGATGTTGCCAGATTGTTTAAAAAAGATACAACCAAGGTAATTTATACATATTTTCGTTTGATATATACTGATTTATATCAATATCCTTCTCTATTAACGCTTCTATTTTTACCTAAAGTTGTAGGTATTTTCATCTTTTAAAAAGTAAAGAACATTCGAAACAAACACCAAGATAGCAGTATCTGTTTTAGTGACACCATATAATTACACGTACCATACGTCAAATATAGTTACACATACCATACATTAAATATAGTTACACATACCATACATTAAATATAGTTACTCGTACCATACATTAAATATAGTTACTCGTACTATACATTAAATATAGTTACTCGTACCATACATTAAATATAGTTACACATACCATACATTAAATTGAATTGATTAAATATAGCAAACATTACATCTGATTAAACTTTGAAAAAATAAAGCACTGATTTCATCTATCATATGTTTAAAGGAAAAACACCTTTGACGACTGTTGCACCCCCTACTGGTATCACTTGTAAGTATTGAATTGTTTTTTCATTGTGTTTTTGTTGTTACTCCGTTTTACTACCAAATCATGTCTCGTCTTTTTTCAAATTTCTTTTAATTTTCCTTTAATTGTTTTTAAATGTGTAATATTTTTCAGTTTTATAACTTTGTGTGAAGTCTTATGTATTCTACCATATTTTGAAATTTCATTGATGTTTACATAAATACCTTTGATTAAAGTACTGTAGTACATCCGGAGTGGCAACGCTGTACATGTAGGAGATCTAGTGTGTTGTTGCTAATGCATATCACAAATGAACAATGTTCTCTTTTAAAGCACATGCTTATATGATCGGTTTAAAAAGTGTATTCAGTATAATGATTAGGATACCGTTATACATAGGGCTCTATACTATTTAAATAGCTATGTGTGGACAGTTCATGTCGAGGAATAGTGTTGATAAAGACCATTATTGTCTTTCTAGCCAGTGTTTGCGGAACTGACCCCGGATGGTCATATTACAACGGATCTTGTTACATGACGAGTCCGTCCACCGGTGATGCAGCAGTAGTGGACTGGTATGACGCCGGACAGTACTGTATGAGCCAAAGTGCTACACTGGCCAGTATACATTCATTAAATGAGAATAACTACGTCCTCTCATTGGTTAGTATAATCAATAACTCGCTCATCAATGACATATCTATATGTATATATACTAACATTGTTCAGAATATACATATGTGCTTGACGCTGTTCTAAAATTATCTGATATATGGAAATTACGAAATTTATTTAATTATGGCGCTGCTGCACCTCTCCATCTTTATTCGATCACTTTTGATGTTCACCTCCTATGTCCTTCAAACGTTATGTGCTTAGCATCACTGACGAGTCCAAGAAGGACGAAACATCAGTATGATGTAGCATCACTGACGAGTCCTAGAAGGACGTAACATCAGTATGATGTAGCATCACTGACGAGTCCTAGAAGGACGAAACAGCAGTATGATGTAGCATCACTGACGAGTCCTAGAAGGACGTAACATCAGTATGATGTAGCATCACTGACGAGTCCTAGAAGGACGAAACAGCAGTATGATGTAGCATCACTGACGAGTCCTAGAAGGACGTAACATCAGTATGATGTAGCATCACTGACGAGTCCTAGAAGGACGAAACAGCAGTATGATGTAGCATCACTGACGAGTCCAAGAAGGACGAAACATCAGTATGATGTAGCATCACTGACGAGTCCAAGAAGGACGAAACATCAGTATGATGTAGCATCACTGACGAGTCCAAGAAGGACGAAACATCAGTATGATGTAGCATCACTGACGAGTCCAAGAAGGACGAAACATCAGTATGATGTAGCATCACTGAAAGCGTTTTAAAGGACGATACATATTTGATGAAGATGTTATATATCTGTACAGGGACTGTTTTTGATAGGAAATTAATCCACCACCACATGTATTACTACTGGGATAATCTGAGCATCTATTAGTGTGTTTGTTACCTTGTCGACAACATCAGACTAACCAAGTAATACATTTGTATCGCAGGTATCAAAGGCTTCTCTGGTAGATGTCTGGTTGGGATATAACGAACTCGGATCAACCTCATATTCGTACGTAATAACACATTTTAACCATTGTGGTTATTTGAAGTTTTTTTTATATATGTTTCTTATGTATATAAGTTTATGTTAATTTGCCATTTCCAAAGATATTGAAATGATGCAAACCTCTTAACACCAAATATACAAATGCTGGTAGGATAAAAAATAATGCTACCGATAGGCCAAATATTCTTTATGACGTGTATGCAATTGATTATGAAATAATGAAAATACTTTAATTCGTACTGTCAGATGGTCGGACGGTTCTTTGGTGGATTTCGACTTCTGGAGTAATGGGGAACCTAACAATGCTTTTGGGGCAGAGATGTGCGTAATGATGTCGGTGTATGGTAAATATCACCTGTATTTTTTACCTGATTATTAAACACAAAATTACGATACGTTTTCATGAAATGCAGACTGATATTAATTCGACCGCAGTTATGTTTGTCATCGTGAAATTTTCTGTTTCTTGTGCTGATATGAATGATGTTATCGACGTGTTTTGTCTGGTGATGGTTGTCTGTTTACCCGGAAAGATTAACTTGGTGGATGAAGCTTAAGATGCTAACCTTTCCAGAACAACACTAACCTTTCCAGAACAATTTTCTCCTCTTACATTTTCATTCTTAAATACTCATATTTTGCTTTTCTTTGACATATATGTATGTTCTTGAGCTATTCAATAGTCTAACTTGTATTGAACTTGATAACAGCATTCTCTCCAACTATTCAGTCCTTTAAATATAGTTAATATACATATTCTTTACTTAGATACATAATGTAAAAGTTGCTAGCATGGAAGATGAATAATGTATTTATTCTTTATTTATATTCATATTCCTACCTTTTCACAAAGCATATATTTTACCAAGCGCAATCGGAATACCACCTTTCCCCACCCACCCCTTCCTAACCGTAAAAGTTACACGTCTGCTCCTGTTGTAAATATATTTAAAATAAAAAGTCTTTATGTAAATAGTATATGTATCATTTAATCAATTAAGCTGAAACAGTGTTACATTTAAATTTGCACAAAATTTAGACTAAACTTAGGTACAATAAAACATGTGTGAATACATACTATCTGTAAGTAGCATTGTAACAACAGATGAGTTATTTATTTTACAGGAGGATCATGGAATGACGCTAATTGTGGACAACAAACGGGATTTATCTGTAAAAAGACTCCTGGAAGTTCAGGACCACCAACAATTCCAACTGTGACTGTTTTAAATGCAGGCTGTAATAACGGATTTACTCCCATGCCAAACAGTAAGTTGCGTTTCTTCCCTCAAGATAAAACATCTTTTCTAAGCCAGTTTGTCTCGGCTGCTAAAGACCATATTGCCATATTCTGTTACGAAATCAGAGTAGTTCGATAGATACGTTTGTAGGATCGCACAATGTTACACGATGTGCGCAAGATGTCTGCAGGAGGAATGCACGATAGGAAAACAAGACGAAATAAGCTGTACACTTCTGTGCGCACGTCGTGTCGTTTTATCGTGGTTGATATAAACTTAGAAATCACAAAATTTCTTTTTCATTGCCTCTGTATTATTCTTATTTTGTAACCAAAATTGTGTATATATTTATATACTTAAGTAAATCTTAAGTGTTGTATTTGTTACTTGGAACACTCAGCTGGTACGGATCTGAACTTGTCACATATATAACCGTATGCAGGTATTTTTCTTGCCCGAGGCCCGAGGGTGGAGGGGTGGGGGCTTTTCTTTAGGAAACAAAACAAAACTGTTAGACTGTGTGCATATCTATTACAAATAGGAGATAATTTTAGTGTTTAATCATTCCATCATCTTTTGTCTTTCACAATCGCCTTTTTTACTTTACAATGTTTGCCCTTCGCATAGCTGATGGGTCCCAGAATGATGAAATAACTGTATGGTTTAGTTTCAATACTTATTTGACTCTATCTAGTTATCTTTTTCGTGCCTTTCGTTCAGTGTCTTCCATGTGTTCTACAGATGTGTCATTTGATTAGTTTTTAATTGTGTAAATCTATTAATTATTGTTTAGGTAACAAATGTTATAAACTAGAAGGTACGACGACACCGGTGAACTGGCAGACAGCTTACCAACACTGTCAGAATTACGGAGCGGGATATGATATCGCGTCAATAGCTTCAGCCACAGAACAAGGTAAGGTATTCATAACAGATATAACTTTAACAGGAAGTAATAACATAAAATATGGCCTTATAGACTTCTCAAGACAATACATCAGCGGATTTCGATACAGAGTTTGAGGAGCTGAATGCTATAATATGATATTTCACCAGACCTTAAATATTGATTTCCTTATCGAAATTTGATTGATACCTGTCTTTAAAGTTACTTTCATTCCTAGCATTCCTGGATGGGAATAGCGACCATATGAAGCGTTCTCAATCACAGAAGCTTCTGGCGACTTTTGGTTTTCAGACATGTTGTTTAAGCAATTAACTGTTGTCATAGTAATGAAAGGGTTGTCATAAGTCTCTAACACATTCTATGTTATACCAGTAACCATGGTAACGAAAGGGTTGTCATAAGTCTCTAACACATTCTATATTATACCTGTAACCATGGTAACGAAAGGGTTGTCTTTAGCCGCCCCTAACACATTACATATTATACCAGTAACCATGGTAACGAAAGGATCGTCACAATTTTGACAATTTCTATATTATATCAGTAGCCATGGTTATGAAAGGGTCGTCACAAGTACCTTACACATTCTATATTATACCAGCAACCATGGTAACGAAAGGGTTGTCGTTAGCCGCCCCTAACACATTACATATTATACCAGTAACATGGTAACGAAAGGATCGTCACAATTTTGACAATTTCTATATTATATCAGTAGCCATGGTTATGAAAGGGTCGTCACAAGTACCTTACACATTCTTTATTATATCAGTAACCATGGTTATGAAAGGGTCGTCACAAGTACCTTACACATTCTATATTATACCAGTAACCATGGTTATGAAAGGGTCGTCACAAGTACCTTACACATTCTATATTATACCAGTAACCATGGTTATGAAAGGGTCGTCACAAGTACCTTACACATTCTATATTATACCAGTAACCATGGTTATGAAAGGGTCGTCACAAGTACCTTACACATTCTATATTATACCAGTAACCATGGTTATGAAAGGGTCGTCACAAGTACCTTACACATTCTATATTATACCAGTAACCATGGTTATGAAAGGGTCGTCACAAGTACCTTACACATTCTATATTATACCAGTAGCATGTACTTAAGAACGATCGAGTGATTGATTAATAAACAACACTACGTAGTTTGCATAAAATGCATTGTTTCTGTTATTCTTTCATTTTCTGACAGATCAACATCTGTTCCGCTGAACGAGACACCTAGATGAAATAGAGTACAATAATTTTCCTAACTTGTATAGTTATTTGATATTCATTTACACAACGCATTGCACATTTGGAATCCCAAAACTCCCCTCTGTTTAGTTGTCTTATTTATTCTTATATTTCGCAAAACAAAGCAAATCACGATAACAGCAACCAATTATGAAATTATCAGTTTGATGCCAAACGCTTCCTGTAGTACAAGACGTTTTGAAGACACGACACCTTTGTCATCTAATAAGCAAATATATGTTTTAGTGAAAAATGCAATATTTCGATGTAGTATATTTCATACGTTCAGGTACGATACATGCCTACAAAACTTTAAACTACTAATCACGCTCTGTACGGCTTCTGTTTGCAGCATTTGTGAATACATTTTTGAAAGGACTTACAAATAACGTATGGATTGGTCTAAATAACAACCGCCACTCTCACGAATTTATCTGGCATGATAACTCACATCTTACTTATACCAACTGGGCGATCAACGAACCTAATGGACATAGTACCTCACACACTGGTGGAGCAACGGTAAGGATACTGGTAGTCACAGATATACCTTCTATTACCTACCTCAGTAGAAGTCACTGTCTTACAGACATAATGTTATATTCTGTCTTATTAACTACCTCAGTAGAGGTCACTGTCTTACAGACATAATATTATCTTCTGTCTTATTAACTACCCCAGTAGAAGTCACTGTCTTACAGACATTATGTTATCTACTGTCTTATTACCTACCTCAGTAGAGGTCACTGTCTTACCGACATAATGTCTTATTAACTACCTCAGTAGAGTCCACTGTCTTACAGACATTATGTTATCTACTGTCTTATTAACTACCTCAGTAGAAGTCACTGTCTTACAGACATAATATCATATACTGTCTTATTAACTACCTCAGTATTGTCTACTGCCGTACAGACATAACATTAACAACTGGCTAATTAGCTATATCATTAACCTCTTACTGTCGTATAGACGTAATACTAACTGTTGCCTTATTAGCTACTTCAGTTACCTCTTACTGTCGTATAAACATGACATCAGCTGCCTTTCTATTTACTACCTCGGTAACCTGTAATGTCGTACATATTGCTGATTACATTCCAGTCAACACCGTCAGTATAAGTTACTATCTTATTGCTAAGTTAATAAATACTATTTTAGGCCATCTTATATCTAACTATTATCGCTGAAACTGATATAAATTACTCTGGTTTGTATTCATTTCTTCCCTGTTGTGTTACTGTTGAAATATCCTCTTTGATAATCAATACTGTTGGTTAAGTCACTTAGATATCAACTGTTCGCAATCAATATCATTTTAACAGCGTCTATATTAAGATAGGTAGTAACTTTTACTGTATTTTAGTTTTAAAGTAGTAACTGAATTAATAGTTTTTACCTGTAAGCAGTCTGTAGATGAATAAGATGAATGCTAGGATTTAAATTACATATGTTTCGTGATAATGCTTAAACGTTAATGAATTAATGTAAAATTTACGTAATTTTCATTGTGTGTTCATCTATTTGTCCACACTGTCTCAGATATTTTTATGTCTAAATATTCTTATTTTACCAAAATATCTTGCATAAAAAGACGACAAAAAGCAAAGACAAAACTGACATGTCAGCAGAATCGTAATTTAAGGTTAAATTCGAGATATAAGGGCAACATTTGATCAAACGAAACATTTACAAGAAGTATATGTCATGAAATGGATATTCATCAAATTAATCTGATAAACCTCTTACAGAAATCACCACAACCAGAGACTGTACGTATGTGATTACTAATCGATATATTTAAACTTGAACCTTTGGCTTTGTCAAAAATAAATATGTTATGATTTTCATCTGCTTTCCAGATCAGACAAAAGCTGTTATATTTTCTGCTGCTATCCGGATCAGATTAAATCTGTTATATTTTCCGCTGCTATCCAGATCAGACTAAATCTGCTATATTTTCCTCTGCTTTACAGATCAGACAAAAGCTGTTATATTTTCCTCTGCTTTCCAGAGCAGATTAATTCTGTTATATTTTCCGCTGCTATCCGGATCAGATTAAATCTGTTATAAATCTCACTGCTATCCAGTTCAGATTAAATCTGTTATAAATCCCACTGCTATCCAGTTCAGATTAAATCTGTTATAAATCCCACTACTATCCAGTTCAGATTAAATCTGTTATAAATCCCACTACTATCCAGTTCAGATTAAATCTGTTATAAATCCCACTGCTATCCAGTTCAGATTAAATCTGTTATATTTTCCGCTGCTATCCGGATCAGACTAAATCTGTTATATTTTCCGCTGCTATCCGGATCAGACTAAATCTGTTATATTTTCCGCTGCTATCCGGATCAGACTAAATCTGTTATATTTTCCGCTGCTATCTGGATCAGATTAAATCTGTTATAAATCTCACTGCTATCCAGTTCAGATTAAATCTGTTATATTTTCCGCTGCTATCCGGATCAGACTAAATCTGTTATATTTTCCGCTGCTATCCGGATCAGACTAATTCTGTTATATTTTCCGCTGCTATCTGGATCAGATTAAATCTGTTATAAATCCCACTGCTATCCAGTTCAGATTAAATCTGTTATAAATCCCACTACTATCCAGTTCAGGTTAAATCTGTTATATTTTCCGCTGCTATCCGGATCAGATTAAATCTGTTATATTTTCCGCTGCTATCTGGATCAGATTAAATCTGTTATATTTTCCGCTGCTATCTGGATCAGATTAAATCTGTTATAAATCCCACTGCTATCGAGATCAGGTTAAATCTGTTATATTCCCTCTGCTATCCAGTTCTGGTTAAATCTGTTATATTCCCTCTGCTATCCAGATCAGATTAAATCTGTTATATTCCCTCTGCTATCCAGATCAGATTAAATCTGTTATATTCCCTCTGCTATCCAGTTCTGGTTAAATCTGTCATATTTTCCCTCTACTATCCAGTTCAGGTTAAATCTGTCATATTTTCCCTCTACTATCCAGATCAGATTAAATCTGTTATATTTTCCTCTGCTATCGAGATCAGGTTAAATCTGTTATATTCCCTCTGCTATCGAGATCAGATTAAATCTGTTATATTTTCCTCTGCTATCGAGATCAGGTTAAATCTGTCATATTTTCCCTCTACTATCCAGATCAGATTAAATCTGTCATATTTTCCCTCTACTATCCAGATCAGATTAAATCTGTTATATTTTCCTCTTCTATCGAGATCAGATTAATTTTTTTTCCTCAACGCCATTGAAACTATCTTCTTTATGCAAACGGCCTTAGCATATGTAGGGATATTCACTTCGTAAAACATTCAGATGTATTTTCATACCGATATCCTCATCGTCACATAAAATCCATCCCCAGGGAAATTAATATATATGCACACGGTCATATCATCGCTTTTAAGAATGAAAACAGCAGGGGTTTCAGAAAGACATTTTTTTTCCTGCAATAGCTTGCCCTACCGTGTAATTTGTAGTCAACCTCAGGACAACGTGAGCGCTCAAAATGAGGATAGATTAGCTGGCTACAAAACCAAATTGATAAACAATATAAAACCTTCTAACGCCATCCCACACAACGTATGATGTCGACTGTAACTTTTACTTGACTACCTTTGAAACTGATCCACATTATGTAAACTACATCGAAATATTGATAAGCTTACCTAAAGCCAACTAAATATGATGTTCGATCACCTCAACATATCATTTACAGATCATCCCTCCATATCTTCTTCTTCTTTCTTTTTTTTTTCGATACCATAAGAACAAATAATACAAACTCAAAGTCAATAAAACTAGTGCAAAACATGAATAAAAGCAAGATTTACACGGAGACTCCTGAAACAGTACAAAGATAATAAGACCAGGTGTTCCGGAAGAGTAAGAGTCATCTGCTTCATTGACAACACCCGTCATGTAAACCTGCGTCAATCCAAAAAAATAATGTCACCATCTGCAATAAGAACTAGGTAAAAAGCAACAAAACGAACAGGCAAACTAACGAGCATCAAACATTTCCAGCTTCATATCACACAACGAATTATAATATTTCTCAATGAGTTCACTAGTTCTTATTTGTGCATGTATTAACGGAGCATTTTCGAAAAGCTATTGATATGGGGTAAAAAGTTTCTTATTCAGATAATTTTCAAGGATGATTGTATTTGCAATATCATAGTTATAGTATAGTCACTTTTCAAAAATGGCTTCAGCATGCTGATTGCGCATGCTCTTTATCATAATGATCTGGAAATTTGGTTTACGGGGAGGGGAAAAATTGCCATTTTGTATATTGCAGTTAGCTTATAAAGGTACATGTATCATTGAGCAGAGCAGGACAAGCGAGATCGTACATTGTCATACTCTGTGATATGAATAGATTCACAGTGATCAATCATCAATACATGTTTCTGCTTCCTGCTTTACTAAATATTACATCCACATGTATAAGGTATCTTTATCCTTTTCTGCCTGCTTAACGGCAGCTTTACTTCATCAGTTACAATCAATACTTTGTAAGCATTTTTGACCATAAGATAATCTCTAGCTCACATATAATACACCTGACAAAGGTGTACCATTGGAATAATTTATAATACACCTCACAAAGGTGTACCATTGGAATAATTTATAATACACCTGACAAAGGTGTACCATTGGAATAATTTATAATACACCTCACAAAGGTGTACCATTGGAATAATTTATAATACACCTCACAAAGGTGTACCATTGGAATAATTTATAATACACCTCACAAAGGTGTACCATTGGAATAATTTATAATATACCTCACAAAGGTGTACCACAAAGGTGTACCATTGGAATAATTTATAATACACCTGACAAAGGTGTACCATTGGAATAATTTATAATACACCTCACAAAGGTGTATAATTGAAATAATTTATAATACACCTCACCTCACAAAGGTGTACGATTGGAATAATTTATAAAAAAAAAGGAGATGAAATAGTCCCTGTTCCTTATTATTCACGAGACTTGACAGCAGGATACAACCTACATTTTTTAAACTGATTTTTACTCACAAAGCGGATATAGATTAGTTTGATGCGGACTAGAGACGCACAACTAGCTGATTAAGTATACATAGTAAGTAATGCGTTATCACAAATAACTCAAAGTGAAAATTCCTCAGAATGCAGCGAATCAAGTCTAAATACGACAGGAGTGTTTGTCTACTGTTATAATACATACAAACTACAGCGAATCAAGTCTAAGTACGACAGGAGTGTTTGTCTACTGTTATAATACATACAAACTACAGCGAATCAAGTCTAAGTACGACAGGAGTGTTTGTCTACTGTTATAATACATACATGATTCACTTCTTAGTTTTGATTTTTTCTCAGTTGTAGTTTTTCCTCAAAATATAAGTCCGAACTATATGCATTGTAGGAGGATTGTGTTGAGGTGTACACCAAGGCACTTCAAGTTGGGAAGTGGAATGACAAAAAGTGTAGTACTCCGCGACCTTACCTGTGTCAGGGATCGAGAGGTGAGTCTTTATACCATCAGTTTCCTTCAATGTTGGCAGTTATGGTCTTTCTTTGCATTTTTTTTATTTTAGCAACTTGCTCTGCTTTTCACTATCATGTTTTTGTCGAAAGCATCACTACTTACCTGTTTCAACATGTTGATGAAACCTTATATATGATGAATTGTGTGATATTCTAATACTCGCTATGCACTTTTCCTCATTTCCAAAAAAAAACGTGTTTCTCTTTTATGCTTCTATTTCATTTTAGAGTTATCTAGCAAACTATAAAAGAAACTTCTAAATAATTTATCATATTGAAGAAGATTGATTTCTTGATTTGAATGATATAAGTTAAAATGTTTTATCAAAGCGGTTAGATTACATACATTACATACAAACTTTTTTCTTTAAACAGTGAATCACGTGCCGTTACCAAATACACAGGGCACGTGTAGAAACGGGTATAAAACATTTGGGACCAGCTGTTATAAAGTAGTGACGCAACCGACATCCTGGACCAACGCTAATGCAGTTTGTTCCCGTGACAGTGGCTCTCTCGTTATTATCAATGATGTATATGAGGATTCTTATGTGTTTAACTTGGTGGGAAACACACCCTACTGGATTGGACTCTCGGACAATTCACAGGTACCGACGTATTGCATTTCATCAAAAGATGTCGGCTATTGAATTCAAGTTTAACTTACTTCCGGTAGTGGGCTATGATATCCTTCATACCTCTATCCTCTTATAATTGTATTAACACTTCTCATATTTTTACTTTTACAAACGTGTCATCACACCCAGTGGAACTTTTCAGTGGTTTATATCGTGACGTCATAGGTTCATGATATCATAAGCTTGGTAAATCAACGCAAAAAGCGATGAATGGTTATATCGTCACCTGAGATTTTGTATCAACCTTATAAAATGTTTTCGTGAATGTTTGTAAAGTTATCTATATTAAACACAATCTGGTATTATTTCCGCTTCAGAGGCACAGTAAATCCTCAGACTCGTTTCTTAGACCCCATATGAATGGGGCCCATTGTGAACTCCTCTATATATCCCAGAATTATGACAGAATATCGATGGTTTCACGGGCGCTAAACAAGTATATACCGGTAAAACATACCCTGACGTACGATGTTAATATGCAATGTGTATGATATTCAACGATATTTCTGTTGAGCGGGCTCCTAGGTGGTATCTTTGATGATGTACTATATGTCACCGATCATCTGATCATCGATCAACTAGCTTTTTCTATTACTATAGGTAGGATAACCGGAAGCGTATGTAATTGAGGTGTGAAGTTAACCAGTTATATTCAACATTCGCTTCATTCGCATATGAACTGAAACCAAACGACTGATTTTAGTGCAGTTTGCAGTGATTGATCGATAAAAGTTTAAAAAGATGTCTTAAATCTCCGCTGCAATTGTAGTGGAGATATGCGTTTCATCACTTGATATTTAATAGCACAGCTGTAATAAAATCCTGAAAGAAAGAAGACAACTAAAGTTGTAAAATAAGACATCTTCTGAATCAGTTGAAGTTTTCTGTTTCATTTTCTGTTTCAGTAGTATACAGCGTGTTATGTAGTTGGCACAGTATTGATATGTAATTGTTTAATGTTATTGACACAGACTTCCGACACTTACTCGTGGACACTCAACTGGCCTGTTCAATACACCAACTGGGGGTCGGGCGAACCTACCCGGGGGACCGGGGAGGGATGTGTTGCTGTAATGGGAGGAATGTGGAATGACACCTTATGTACCGCTTCAATGGCGTTCGTTTGTGAAATCAATTCAGGTAATGCGTCTTTTACCCCTCGCAGAATTACACATATAGACATTGAATTAAGTACCATTTTGTATTTAATCAAAACGGGTTCATATTATATGTTATATGCTACTTCATTTCCCAAGTACATTTTTATTAGTGATTTTAAACTGATCACATGATCACATCCTGCTTTTGTGAATGATTAAACGTCATTGTGACAAACTGACTCTCTCACCGCTGATATTTCATGAAGAACTGCATTATGAAAAACAATTACCCATTTCCTTGAACAGAAATACATAGAAAGCAAATTGATTATCAGGCGCCTAGCGTTTTACTACTAGGTTTCAGTGATCATGTGTTGGGATTTCAATGGCATGCTTCGCTCTCAGCATTGACATGTGAAGTGTATGCTATTTCCCGCCATTTTTTACCCTCATTAAATGCAGACGTACACCGCTTTTGTATTCAGGAACAACACTGTGTTTACCTTTACAGTCAAATATGTCCCTAGTAAGTATGTGTTGTGTGATGGAGATTTCGTACGGGTAGAATCTCATTCGTTCGGACGCGGACTGATTTATTGCTATCTAACAGCTAGCGATAATACAATGTCATATTACATTTATTTTACACCAATTTGAAAATATATTACACCTATCTAACATTATATCTGGTTACGTTAAGCATCCTGATCAATGAGATTCTATCTGTAGTTTTAGGTGGTGGTGTGTGTTGGTATTAGTTAGACACGATACCTGTCTGAAGGTCTGTATGTTTGTCGCTATTGATGCTTTCCACCAATGGTACTATTTTCCCTGTAGTAAACATCACATTTTAGAGGATTCCTGATGGTACAACGAAACTAGACTGAAATCAAATAACGCGATCAAATTCTAAAGACAAACATCGAAACCGATAGAAAATTGTGGTAGCTTTAGGAGAAACATGAACGAGGATGAAGAACATATTTTGCTTTGATTTCATTTTTCTCTAATCAACAATCACTCATTCTTTTCTTATGTAATGTATTGCTTATGCTAAAATATGGTGTTGGTCCTTTCTAATATCTTGAATTTCATGATAGCAAATATGTGTATATCGATTCCCACTATATGTTTAAGAGATATAAATATGATGATCGTTGATGGAATCAAAATATTTCCATTCTCGATTTACACACAGTACTAGTTCGAGCGATCCTTTACCCTATTCTGTCTCTGATTTCATTACCAGTTTCATTGCTTCGCTGTCTTTTGGCACGAAATCTATGCCATGTTGGTTCGTGCATGTTCACCTTTCATTTACCTTCCCATTGCCTCATCACTCCGTCATGACGTGTCATATCATGCACATGTTTCCGTGAAACAACAAAACGGTTTGTTCACATCAATTGTTATGTCAATTATGTGTTGAGTTTTCCTTTCTGAGGATATCATTTACTTACTGGTGGCAATATTGCAATATCATTTCATAAAGTTTACTACTCTATTCACATTTAATGTCATAACATGACTAGCATGTTAAAAATGAAATAACTTTTTTGAACTTAAATTCTCAATTGATCTTATTAACACCTAAGATTTCCGTCGCATCATTTGTGACTTCATATCTTCATGGTGACGTCGTATGATATTTCTAAAACTCATCCAGTTCAACATTTTACTTCGCCATTCATAGTGATTTTACGACTCATTCCATAGGTCTAAGATCTCGTGTAAGATTCCCTGTCTCCAAGCTAATGCATATTTATTTTTATAACTTAGATATGTTGATGTGGTTTTTTTTTCTGCATTTGAACGTTTTCAGCAACACCTCCCCCGGTGACCAAACCGCCACTAGGTCACTGTGCTGACGCCAGTTATCTCCGATATGGTGACTATTGTTATTTCATCGAGGCCTTCCACACCTTATCGTGGCCAGAGTCACAGTATGCCTGTCAGGTACGTGGCATGCAACTGGCCAGTATCCATTCTTCTGCTGAGCAACGATACCTCATCACAAACGCCAATAACACGAAACCACTTTCAAATGACACGGCATCGATAGCAGCGGGGCGGCAAAACATGTGGATTGGTATGAATAAGGGTTTATCGGGTAAGCACAATGTTATCATAGACTTTTTACAACAGGAAATATATCCATCGATATTTTGGAACATTGTCTTCAGGTCGGTAATGTCAGTAGAATAGAAGTTCTTATAACACCAACAGTAGAAGATTTTATTTTGACGTTTCAATGACTACCTTAATCTGACGAATGACCAGTATGGTGTGTACCAGCACTGACATAAGTAGTGTACGAAATGGTAACGAATCGACTAACTTGTTCGGCTGTACTATAACCCTATGTACACTCATGTCGAAAATAGTGTGACGAGATGATAAACAAATTATAGACCAAGTAATACACAAGATCGTAACAACAGACTGTAGTTAGTTCGGCTTTATTTAACACTTAGGGTTGTAGTAAACTGGTTGTGTTATAAGAACTTTTATTCTGTATCCATTGATATCCATGTTTAATGGTTTCTCGGTAAATCCTAAAACTAATGCATCTGAGATATCAAGCCAATTCCTTATTCATCTGCAAAAATATATCGATTATTTATAAGACGTTTCTGTACACAGATGGATTCACGTGGACTGATCGAACAGCGGTGAATTTCGTGGCGTGGGCGGATGGCGAACCCTCTGACGCCAAAGGAAGCCATAACGAGGAGTGTGTGGAAATGTACCAGTCAAGTGGAAAATGGAACGACAATAATTGTTTCAATAGCAAGGGTTACATATGTAAAACGCTTGCCAGTAAGTTCGTGTGTAAGAGATTCTCAGAAATTTACAAAACTAGATATACACATGTATAAACTGTATAACTAAATCGCGTTACCTATAATGTCACCATTTTATATATGGTCATTCTTCTTACAACACATGTATCTTTTTTTCCTCTCAAAGAACATTACATCTTCCAACATGGATTACCTACCTTGTAATTCGCTTCTTACACATATTGTTTTCAAATATCAGTGATAGTCATTAGATATTTCAAAGTGACCCTGTTAAACTATGTAATAATTGAAATGAATAAGTGTCTCGTACAACGCAGGAGTGATATTCACAACAATCAGAATTTGTGGAAATGGGTATTTTTTGTTTTGTGAAGCTAATATGACTTTGTTTCATTTAAACATTTCATGAAAAAAATGAGTTTCTTAATGTATTTGTGTATCTAGTTTGTTTATTGTAATAATGTACATCCACAATCACATCGTGACGTTAATCTCAGGCTGTTGATATTGTTTCATTTCGGATTCTCACGTAATATTATGTCGGATGTAAATCCGAAGACTTTGTTGCAGTACTGCTACAGAAATGTTTTAATGAAGTAAATATAGCTACGCATCAAATTATCTTTATAAAAAACTGACCATAGATAAATAATTATATAATTTAACAAGATTGTACAAAAGACAATCGAAACTTAATCCCTCTAATATCCTGATGCTTGTCACTATTGTTACTACGTGATGAAGAAGATGAGGTCGGTTATGGGTAGATTTCGTTTTCATTTTCTTCAATGTTTTTTCTTTAATTTTTAATCGCTTTATCTCTGTAAGTACTGAATAATACATTAAAACATTAATTCAGATTAGCATTCAACAGCCCAGAAATTCACCATCCCCGACCGAACCTCAAGGGAGACATCTGCACTGAAATGAGTTCAAAATGTTGTTTTTAAAACACCAAATTGTCGTTCGTTTTAATCATTCCTTCCGCTTTAAATAAAACAATCAGCGCAATAAAACAAATAGTTACATAAATAAGTATGACAGATTTTTAAAAGTCTGAAAATGTTAGCCATTATGAATTTATGTTGAAAAAATATTTTTGAATTAATTATCATAAAAATCGATATTTTTGTTTGACGCTAGATTTCTGGGAGTAAAGAAACTAGGAAAGACATCTTACTTGACGCTAGATTTCTGGGAGTAAAGAAATTAGGAAAGACATCTTACTTGACGCTAGATTTCTGGGAGCAAAGAAACTAGGAAAGACATCTTACTTGACGCTAATGAAACCCTTTCGATGTTTATCTTGATTTAGCTATTCCAACTGTCGCGGGAACTGCAGCCCCTATTACACCAGCACCAGTTACACCAGGTCGAGTTACACCAGGACCAGTTACACCGGGTCGAGTTACACCGGCGCCATTTACGCCATTCCCTACACAGCCTCATGTCAACACCAACAACCAACCTCATGTGACGTTTACTCCAAAGCCAGGCCCAACTATGCCGTCATTTGTGACCTACAAACCAATCAGCGGTCACTCACAACAGCAACGTGCGTCCAACACAGGTAAGATATAATTATGTTACTCAATATAAATCTGATATACTGAAGGTTTAGTGTTTATTAAATGAACCCAATACCACATAACCCTAAACACTTCATTTCACCACGGATTTCTAGTTCACAAATGAAGAGACAGGTTAATATACTTGTGCAGTGTCAATATTTCTTCCTCTCGGTTTTTGACACAATTGGTATATTCCTCATTTTGTCCTATATTCATTTTGTCCATCCGTCCGTGTAATCTGTCTCATCAAATTATATGCCAAGAGTCAATATGTTTTGTAATACTATGCCAAATTTACATTTTAAAAAATCAAGGTCGCTGTTCTTAAATCAGAATACGTCAAATTAAATGGTATACTTTAGAGGCAATATATTTTCTTATAAATACTTTCAAGAAAAAAAATGTCATTATACTTTACTCTTGTAACATCTGTACATACCACGACGAATATTTCAGCTAACAAATCAAAGGATATATCCGGTGGTGCTGTGGCAGGAATCATCATCGGCGTTTTAGTGGTCTTAGGAGGAGTAGCAGTGGCTGCCATCTTTATCAAACGTCGTAACGGTGGCTTCCGGAATTCTGACGAAAATCTAGGTTTCGACAACGCTTTATATTCGAAATCCCAACAGTCTGTGAATATAGATCCAACGAGAACTAACGGGTTTTCTGTGTCTTCTGGTCTGCCAGGTGAAGAGGATGACGCGTAATGGCTTATGTGACATGTTGCGTCATTAGATCTTTGAACCTCCTTCATAAGAGTTGTCAATTGAACACTTGTGGTATACGTTGCAGTATACTGATGATGTCATCAATGACGTATTTTGGGGTGTCATTTGGAGAATATTGTCAGTATATGTATATCATTTTAGAGACCAAATATTTCATCACCATGGAGTTGTACCTCGTTCTCTAACTGTGTCGTGACGCACCATGGGTAGTGTGGTAACTGTGTATCTGATAGGTAGAATATTATGATTATAAAGACACGGTGATAACGTTCTCTGAGTTGTATATTGCCTGGTCGATCCTGTCAACAGTTACTTGATGAAAACAATGTTTTAGAGGATACTGAGGAGACCTTGCTCAAATTATCTGATATATCATATACAATCTAGATACATACTAGATATATACAAAATAGATACATACTAGATATATACAAAATAGATACATACTAGATACATACAAGATATATACAACATAGATACATACTAGATATATACAATATAGATACATACTAGATATATACAATCTAGATACATACTAGATATATACAATCTAGATACATACTAGATATATACAATATAGATACATACTAGATATATACAATCTAGATACATACTAGATATATACAATATAGATACATACTAGATATATACAATATAGATACATACTAGATATATACAACATAGATACATACTAGATATATACAACATAGATACGCACTAGATACATACTAGATATATACAACATAGATACGCACTAGATATATACAATCTAGATACATACTAGATACATACTAGATATATACAATCTAGATACATACTAGATATATACAATATAGATACATACTAGATATATACAATATAGATACATACTAGATATATACAATCTAGATACATACTAGATATATACAATATAGATACATACTAGATATATACAACTAGATATATACATACTAGATATATACAATATAGATACATACTAGATATATATATAGATACATACTAGATATATACAATATACATACTAGATATATACAACATAGATATATACATACTAGATATATACAATATAGATACATACTAGATATATATATACATACTAGATATATACAATATAGATACATACTAGATATATACAATCTAGATACATACTAGATATATACAATATAGATACATACTAGATATATACAATATAGATACATACTAGATATATACAACATAGATACATACTAGATATATACATACTAGATATATACAATCTAGATACACTAGATATACAATACTAGATATATACTAGATATATACAATATAGATACATAGATACGCACTAGATATATACAATCTAGATACATACTAGATATATACATACTAGATATATACAATATAGATACATACTAGATATATACAATATAGATACTAGATATATACTAGATATATACAAAAAAGATACATACTAGATATATACAATATAGATACATACTAGATATATACAATATAGATACATACATACTAGATATATACAAAATAGATACATACTAGATATATACAACATAGATACATACTAGATATATACAACATAGATACATACTAGATATATACAATATAGATACATACTAGATACATACTAGATATATACAACATAGATACATACTAGATACATACTAGATATATACAATATAGATATGTACAAGGGAATCCAATCTATCTGATGATATGTAAGATTTTTGCCTCAGCGATGTATATAAAGCATATCCGTGTAAATGTGCTTCAGTATATGTTAGTTGTGACTAGATATAGATCACGTTGTATTTTACGTGTTTCCAGCAATACTCAACACAGGTTTTTATGCGGGCTGTCTGATGTACGGTATTGTATTTCTGCGTCCATTGTATCTATAGCAAACAATAAATTATATTTATATTCTACCACCGGTTTCCCGCTTATTTCTATGTAAATCAAATGTGTGTGTATCGGGGTATGGAAGTCCATCTGGTCAAGCATGAGAATGCAACCTCGATGGTCAAGGTGAGATGTCCACCAAAACATAATCCTGGTAGATATAAATATTTACATTCTGTGTAGCGTATACATCATTAACATGCCAACCTGTAGAGTATGAGACTGTATCCTACAATTTACAGTGATTCGGTCAGTGTTGTAATTAGTAAGTTTAGACGTGTACGAAGTAAACAGAACTGACCGCCGGTCACTCTCACTATCAATATACAGTGTACTGATATATCCGGGGTTTGTTGGATTTAAGTAAGACCTTCACAAGAATAAGTAACTTTACAAAGCTTTCAAATTATAACACAAAAATATTGTCCAACATGTTATTTGGCCACATAATCATTATTATCGCCATAACATACTTGATTACTAAGTTTGTAAACTGCATGTGCTACAGGAGACGTCGATCTGACAGTCCAAAGCACAAATGTAGAATCCGTTTCAAACAAAATGACATACCGGCTTCCATTTACAATTTCCATGTATCTGCATCAAACAGATATCACTGACTGGCAAGTTAGGGGAACAGGTGTGTGGAATTGGAGAATATGTTAAAAATATAATACAGTATAGATCTGTATACATGGTTCTTTCTGTGTGGGGTTGATTTCATCTTGTACAACGGATAGATCAAACAGGACAAACTGAAAATAACAAGATGCCCTCGGCATTTATCCATTAAATATCCTTTGTTTACGGGTTGTCACTATCGGACAGTCTATACAATCATTTCGGAAAGCATCCGTCCACAAGTTTTTATAACGACACTGCATAGTGATTTAATGTGCAGTGGAAATAATTCAATTCATCCTTGTGCCTTTATCAAATGTTACCTCTATATATCATGTTGTCTACATTAGGACGACACCCTGGTAATGCCATTACTTAGACATAACTGTTAAACACAAAAACACCGGAGGCCACTGTGTTCAATTAGTGCTCGGTAAACAATGTTAACAGGGTATTCTACAATACGGGATTGTCTTCTGTGTGAACAAAATAATCAAGTATTTCAAGGAATATGAATTAATAGTAGAAATCGTATTTCCTATCTGGACCATCTACCTCCGTGTCATGATACAATGAACGACCATGTTTTCTGTAACGGTAAGACACTACAACAGTCAGAGTTCCGTGTCATGATGCGATGAACGACCATGTTTTCTGTAACGGTAAGACACTACAACAGTCAGAGTTCCGTGTCATGATGCGATGAACGACCATGTTTTCTGTAACGGTAAGACACTACAACAGTCAGAGTTCCGTGTCATGATGCGATGAACGACCATGTTTTCTGTAACGGTAAGACACTACAACAGTCAGAGTTCCGTGTCATGATGCGATGAACGACCATGTTTTCTGTAACGGTAAGACACTACAACAGTCAGAGTTCCGTGTCATGATGTGATGAATTCTATGTTTTCTGTAACGGTAAGACACTACAACAGTCAGAGTTCCGTGTCATGATGCGATGAACGACCATGTTTTCTGTAACGGTAAGACACTACAACAGTCAGAGTTCCGTGTCATGATGTGATGAATTCTATGTTTTCTGTAACGGTAAGACACTACAACAGTCAGAGTTCCGTGTCATGATGTGATGAATGCCATGTTATCTGTAACGGTAAGACACTACAACAGTCAGAGTTCCGTGTCATGATGTGATGAATGTCATGCTTTCTGTAACGGTAAGACACTACAACAGTCAGAGTTCCGTGTCATGATGTGATGAATGTCATGTTATCTGTAACGGTAAGACACTACAACAGTCAGAGTTCCGTGTCATGATGTGATGAATGTCATGCTTTCTGTAACGGTAAGACACTACAACAGTCAGAGTTCCGTGTCATGATGTGATGAACGACCATGTTTTCTGTAACGGTAAGACACTACAACAGTCAGAGTTCCGTGCCATGATGTGATGAATTTCATGTTTTCTGTAACGGTAAGACACTACAACAGTCAGAGTTCCGTGTCATGATGTGATGAATGTCATGTTTTCTGTAACGGTAAGACACTACAACAGTCAGAGTTCCGTGTCATGATGTGATGAACGACCATGTTTTCTGTAACGGTAAGACACTACAACAGTCAGAGTTCCGTGCCATGATGTGATGAATGCCATGTTATCTGTAACGGTAAGACACTACAACAGTCAGAGTTCCGTGTCATGATGTGATGAATGTCATGCTTTCTGTAACGGTAAGACACTACAACAGTCAGAGTTCCGTGTCATGATGTGATGAATTCTATGTTTTCTGTAAATGTAAGACACTTTAACAGTCAGAGTTCCGTGTCATGATGCGATGAACGACCATGTTTTCTGTAACGGTAAGACACTACAACAGTCAGAGTTCCGTGTCATGATGTGATGAATTCCATGTTTTCTGTAAATGTAAGACACTTTAACAGTCAGAGTTCCGTGTCATGATGTGATGAATGTCATGTTTTCTGTAACGGTAAGACACTACAACAGTCAGAGTTCCGTGTCATGATGTGATGAATTCCATGTTTTCTGTAAATGTAAGACACTTTAACAGTCAGAGTTCCGTGTCATGATGTGATGAATGTCATGTTTTCTGTAACGGTAAGACACTTTAACAGTCAGAGTTCCGTGTCATGATGTGATGAATGTCATGCTTTCTGTAACGGAAAGACACTATAGCAGTGATGGTGTATATCTAACGGTACATTGGTCAACTGTAACAGAATAGATTGGACAAGATACAAGCAAGTTAAATACATTCCTATACTTATGAGCATCGAATACGGTAAAGTGAAAAATAAGATATACATTTGTAGGACTCGGCAGTGATGCTGGGGACCTGAATCGTTTGAAACTATCAAGCGACAGAGGGAAATCACAAATTCATATCAGAACCAGTTGGGGAGGTACACTTATCCAGAATATTTAAGAGTACACTAAACCATACCTGAATCTGTCATTCATTATTCTAATTGTGAAATGTTAAAGACCCACAGAACCTGTATTTCGCTATCTACACACTACAAACCTTCATGTACCGCAAAGATACCCCATGTCTACATCTTGAGAAATATTTTTCTCACTGATTTGTTGAAGACATTTTTTTACTTCGTTTCCATATCAATAATTAACATTTTAAAGTGATCACTTTATTCACAACTTAGGGAAGGGCACGCCGCAGTATTTTTCAATTAATCAAACCTCAATTTATCAACCCGCTAAAATCATATTTTTGTCAACCATTTGAAACATAATATATATGCATCCTCAGTAAACAAGTTTCCGTGTTCCTTACTATGATATGTTTAGTTTCAGGCCGCACAAATCAGGTTCCTGTGTTATATACTATAAAGCGGGATATAAGATAAGATTATATGGGCTGTACTTTAAAACACAGCCAGTTCAGATCACACAAAACAAGTTCCCATACTATACCATACTATGATAACTATTATTTCGTTGGTTGTACATAAATTGCTGCTTTCTGATTCGTCGGGGTTTTTTTCTGAGTGAAAACAAAAACTAGTTTCACCCACTTGATAATGATTGGAGGAGTCCAATGGCAACACGCCACCTAGCGGCGGGTCTGTCGCAACGCCTTTTTTGTATGAATGTAATGTGTTTTAACATCGATAGGGTGTGTGTTGATCGCTGTCATTCAATGATGTAAATAAAAAACATACTAAAACATCACAAAATACTGTACTGAAATATCTTACAATGTTCAAAAAACTACAATGAATACATAATGGATTTATCACGGGAAAAGTCGGTGGTTTTATAATGTCACACATTCTGAACTTCGACGAAAAACAAATAGGAAAGTCAATAATACGGGAAAGTCAACAATACGGGTAAGGCAATAATACGGGAAAGTCAACAATACGGGAAAGGCAACAATACGGGTAAGGCAATAATACGGGAAAGTCAACAATACGGGAAAGGCAACAATACGGGAAAGGCAATAATACGGGAAAGGCAATAATACGGGAAAGTCAACAATACGGGAAAGTCAACAATACGGGAAAGGCAACAATACGGGAGAGTCAAAAATACGGGAAAGGCAATAATACGGGAAAGGCAACAATACGGGAAAGTCAACAATACGGGAAAGGCAATAATACGGGAAAGGCAATAATACGGGAAAGTCAACAATACCGGAAAGTCAACAATACGGAAAAGGCAATAATACGGGAAAGTCAACAATACGGTAAAGGCAATAATACGGGAAAGTCAACAATACGGGAAAGGCATTAATACGGGAAAGTCAATAATACGGGAAAGGCAACAATACGGAAAAGTCAAAAATACGGGAAAGGCAATAATACGGGAAAGTCAACAATACGGGAAAGGCAACAATACGAGAAAGTCAACAATACGGGAAAGGCAATAATACGGGAAAGTCAACAATACGGGCTAGGCAACAATACGGGAAAGTCAACAATACGGGAAATGCAATAATACGGGAAAGTCGACACTACGGGAAAGGCAATAATACGGGAAAGTCAACAATACGGGAAAGTCGACGATACGGGAAAGGCAATAATACGGTAAAGTCAACAATACGGGAAAGGCAACAATACGGGAAAGTAAAAAATACGGGAAAGGCAATAATACGGGAAAGTCAACAATACGGGAAAGGCAACAATAACGATATTATACCGTTGTTGTTTCGCCACTGATATCGATAGATAAAATTATCTTATTACACGACAAAGTTTTAAGACAAGAAATGCCGGAAAAATCATTGTTATCTCTACAATTCAAAACTGCTACAGTTCCGATAACAGGCATTAAGATGTACTGAATCCACTAAGGATGTTCCTATACAACACTTAGGATGTCCCTACTTAGGATGTCCCTATATATCACTTAGAATGTCCCTATATATCACTTAGGATGTCCATATATATCACTTAGGATGTCCCTATATATCACTAACGATGTCCATATATATCACTAAGGATGTCCATATATATCACTAAGGATGTCCATATATATCACTTAGGATGTCCCTATATATCACTTAGGATGTCCCTATATATCACTAAGGATGTCCATATATATCACTTAGGATGTCCCTATATATCACTAAGGATGTCCATATATATCACTAAGGATGTCCATATATATCACTAAGGATGTCCATATATATCACTTAGGATGTCCCTATATATCACTTAGGATGTCCCTATATATCACTAAGGATGTCCATATATATCACTTAGGATGTCCCTATATATCACTTAGAATGTCCATATATATCACTTAGGATGTCCCTATATATCACTTAGGATGTCCCTATATATCACTAAGGATGTCCCTATATATCACTAAGGATGTCCGTATATATCACTAAGGATGTCCCTATATATCACTTAGGATGTCCCTATATATCACTAAGGATGTCCATATATATCACTTAGGATGTCCCTATATATCACTAAGGATGTCCATATATATCACTAACGATGTCCATATATATCACTAAGGATGTCCCTATATATCACTTAGAATGTCCCAATTATCACTTAGGATGTCCCTATATATCACTTAGGATGTCGCTATATATCACTAAGGATGTCCCTATATATCACTTAAAATGTCCCTATATATCACTTAGGATGTCCCTATATATCACTTAGGATGTCCCTATATATCACTTAGGATGTCCCTATATATCACTAAGGATGTCCCTATATATCACTTAGGATGTCCCTATATATCACTAAGGATGATATATATCACTTAGGATGTCCCTATATATCACTATGTCCCTATAGGACTTAGAATGTCCCTATATATCACTTAGGATGTCCCTATATATCACTTAGGATGTCCCTATATATCACTAAGGATGTCCCTATATATCACTAAGGATGTCCCTATATATCACTTAGAATGTCCCAATTATCACTTAGGATGTCCCTATATATCACTTAGGATGTCCCTATATATCACTTAGAATGTTCCTATATCACTAAGGATGTCCCTATATATCACTTAGAATGTCCCTATATATCACTTAGGATGTCCCTATATATTAGGATGTCCCTATATATCACTAAGGATGTCCCTATATATCACTTAGAATGTCCCTATATATCACTTAGAATGTCCCTATATCACTAAGGATGTCCCTATATATCACTTAGGATGTTCCTTATATATCACTTAGGATGTCCCTATATATCACTTAGGATGTCCCTACTTAGGATGTCCCTATATATCACTTAGGATGTCCCTATATATCACTTAGAATGTCCCTATATATCACTTAGAATGTCCCTATATATCACTTAGAATGTCCCTATATATCACTTAGAATGTCCCTATATATCACTAAGGATGTCCCTATATATCACTAAGGATGTCCCTATATATCACTTAGGATGTCCCTATATATCACTAAGGATGTCCCTATATATCACTTAGGATGTCCCTATATATCACTTAGGATGTCCCTATATATCACTTAGGATGTCCCTATATATCACTTAGGATGTCCCTATATATCACTTAGGATGTCCCTATATATCACTTAGAATGTCCCTATATATCACTTAGGATGTCCTTATATATCACTAAGGATGATGTCCCTATATATCACTAAGGATGTCCCTATATAGGATGTCCCTATATATCACTAAGGATGTCCCTATATATCACTAAGGATGTCCCTATATATCACTTAGGATGTCCCTATATATCACTTAGAATGTCCCTATATATCACTTAGGATGTCCCTATATATCACTTAGAATGTCCCTATATATCACTTAGAATGTCCCTATATATCACTTAGGATGTCCCTATATATCACTTAGGATGTCCCTATATATCACTAAGGATGTCCCTATATATCACTAAGGATGTCCCTATATATCACTTAGGATGTCCCTATATATCACTTAGGATGTCCCTATATATCACTTAGATGTCCCTATATATCACTTAGAATGTCCCTATACATCACTTAGGATGTCCCTATATATCACTTAGGATGTCCCTATATATCACTTAGAATGTCCCTATATATCACTAAGGATGTCCCTATATATCACTTAGAATGTCCCTATATATCACTAAGGATGTCCCTATATATCACTTAGGATGTCCCTATATATCACTTAGGATGTCCCTATATATCACTTAGGATGTCCCTATATATCACTTAGAATGTCTCTACTTAGGATGTCCCTATATATCACTTAGGATGTCCCTATATATCACTAAGGATGTCCCTATATATCACTTAGGATGTCCCTATATATCACTTAGGATGTCCCTATATATCACTAAGGATGTCCCTATATATCACTTAGGATGTCCCTATATATCACTTAGGATGTCCCTATATATCACTAAGGATGTCCCTATATATCACTAAGGATGTCCCTATATATCACTTAGGATGTCCCTATATATCACTTAGGATGTCCCTATATATCACTTAGGATGTCCCTATATATCACTAAGGATGTCCATATATATCACTAAGGATGTCCCTATATATCACTTAGGATGTCCCTATATATCACTTAGGATGTCCCTATATCACTTAGAATGTCCCTATATATCACTTAGAATGTCCCTATATATCACTTAGGATGTCTATTTATCAACTCGGTACCCATCATATATATCAAGTTGTTTATTTTCCATGTACCCCAAAGTCCAGCCCCGTTTAACGACTGGTATTTTGTTATTTATTACAGATAAGTGTCTTGGTCCTGGGTATTCTACCTTTTGTGACACCAATTGAGGACCTACCCTACCCAGACGCACTAACGAATTGCTTCATGAAACAGACTAACAGGTCGGATAGTGATGTCGCTGGAGAACTTATCAGTACCTACTGCATCAACCAGTTCCTGTGGGTATCTGGTCGCCCCAGCTGGCAAGCGCCCCGAGACAAAGTCGCATACCAAGTCATACGGAAGCTTTTAACACAGGAGTCAGAAAAGAAGACCAGACGTGCCAAAGAACCTCCTCGTGTCCGGAAGGAGTATCGCATGCTGACACGAGCCGAACGCAGACGGTTTCACGACGCCTTGAACAAGTTAAAAGAAAGAGTATGCATCCTCTGATTCCACATCGGTTCTTTGGTCACGGCACAGAAAATAATTATATCAAATATGATCGCATTCCATTCTAGTGCTTTTAAAATACCCTATGTTTCCAGTAAACATAAAATATTTTTACAAAGTCTTCTCATAAATGTATCAGTTGTTTAATCAGTGATAGTTCTTAAACAGTATACAAGAGTATATCTCTGAAATAACAAGGATCCACTATGATTCTTCTTCCAGATTCCGAATACCCGCACAAGCGTGTACGATACCCTGGCCGACATACATCAGGGGAGGACAATTCTTCAGTCTGTCCATGGTGGTGCTAACTTCCTTGGCTGGCACAGGGTTTATATTTACCTGTAAGTAATCTCATGTGAAGACAACACATACAGTGATGATTTCACACAGTCTGGGACACTTACTTCTGTTGTCTAATCTAAAACAATGATATCACACAGTCTGGGACACTTACCTCTGTTGTCTAATCTAGAGTGAATCTATCACACAGTCTGGGACACTTACCTCTGTTGTCTAATCTAGAACAATGATATCACACAGTCTGGGACATTTACCTGTATTGTCTAATCTAGAGCGAGGCTATCAGACAGTCTGGGACACTTGCCTCTGTTGTCTAATCTAGAACAATGATATCACACAGTCTGGGACACTTACCTCTGTTGTCTAATCTAGAACAATGATATCACACAGTCTGGGACACTTACCTCTGTTGTCTAATCTAGAACAATGATATCACACAGTCTGGGACACTTGTCTCTGTTGTCTAATCTAGAACAATGATATCACACAGTCTGGGACACTTACCTCTGTTGTCTAATCTAGAGCGAGGCTATCACACAGTCTGGGACACTTACCTCTGTTGTCTAATCTAGAACAATGATATCACACAGTCTGGGACACTTACCTTTGTTGTCTAATCTAGAACAATGATATCACACAGTCTGGGACACTAACCTCTGTTGTCTAATCTAGTGCGAGACTATCACACAGTCTGGGACACTTACCTCTGTTGTCTAATCTAGAACAATGATATCACACAGTCTGGGACACTAACCTCTGTTGTCTAATCTAGAACAATGATATCACACAGTCTGGGACACTTACCTCTGTTGTCTAATCTAGAACAATGATATCACACAGTCTGGGACACTAACCTCTGTTGTCTAATCTAGTGCGAGACTATCACACAGTCTGGGACATTTACCTCTGTTGTCTAATCTAGAACAATGATATCACACAGTCTGGGACACTTACCTCTGTTGTCTAATCTAGAACAATGATATCACACAGTCTGGGACACTAACCTCTGTTGTCTAATCTAGTGCGAGACTATCACACAGTCTGGGACATTTACCTCTGTTGTCTAATCTAGAACAATGATATCACACAGTCTGGGACACTAACCTCTGTTGTCTAATCTAGAACAATGATATCACACAGTCTGGGACACTAACCTCTGTTGTCTAATCTAGAACAATGATATCACACAGTCTGGGACACTAACCTCTGTTGTCTAATCTAGAGCGAGGCTATCACACAGTCTGGGACACTTACCTCTGTTGTCTAATCTAGAACAATGATATCACACAGTCTGGGACACTTACCTCTGTTGTCTAATCTAGAACAATGATATCACACAGTCTGGGACACTTGTCTCTGTTGTCTAATCTAGAACAATGATATCACACAGTCTGGGACACTTGCCTCTGTTGTCTAATCTAGAACAATGATATCACACAGTCTGGGACACTTGTCTCTGTTGTCTAATCTAGTGCGAGGCTATCACACAGTCTGGGACACTTGCCTCTGTTGTCTAATCTAGAACAATGATATCACACAGTCTGGGACACTTGCCTCTGTTGTCTAATCTAGAACAATGATATCACACAGTCTGGGACACTTACCTCTGTTGTCTAATCTAGAACAATGATATCACACAGTCTGGGACACTTACCTCTGTTGTCTAATCTAGAACAATGATATCACACAGTCTGGGACACTTACCTCTGTTGTCTAATCTAGAACAATGATATCACACAGTCTGGGACATTTACCTCTGTTGTCTAATCTAGAACAATGATATCACACAGTCTGGGACACTTACCTCTGTTGTCTAATCTAGAACAATGATATCACACAGTCTGGGACACTTACCTCTGTTGTCTAATCTAGAACAATGATATCACACAGTCTGGGACACTTACCTCTGTTGTCTAATCTAGAACAATGATATCACACAGTCTGGGACACTAACCTCTGTTGTCTAATCTAGAACAATGATATCACACAGTCTGGGACACTTACCTCTGTTGTCTAATCTAGAACAATGATATCACACAGTCTTTGAAATCGCCATTTATATTCTAAGACCAGGCCATACAAAAGTCAATCTATATAATCGTCCATATCTATGATTGATTTGAAATTGTATGATATACTCTGATGTCATAGTCACATATTCAAAGTAAAGATTAGAAGTTCTTATAGCACGACCAGTAGGAGATTAGAGTGTGACGTTTCGATGACTAAACTGTCACCTTCATCTCATAACACAACCAGTAGAAGATTAGAGTGTGGCGTTTTGATGACTACACGATCACCTTCATCTTATAACACAATCGTGAACAATAAGGTGACCCTGTAGTAATCGAGAAGTCACACTCTAATCTTCTACTGGTTGTGTTATAAGATGAAGGTGACCGTGCAGTCATCGAAACGTCACACTCTAATCTTCTATTAGTTGTGATACAAGAACTTCTATTCTATTGACATTATTGATGTTAAGAAAATGATCCAAACTAACCAAAGTGATTGTGGTTCTGTTCCAGACTAGAGGAGGCCTTACGTTCTGTAGATAACAACGTCACGCTGCCCTACTGGGATTGTACGTTAGATTACGAGATGGAGGATCCCACAGAATCCGTTATATTTTCTTACCGATTTGCTGGCAATGGTGACGGGGAAGTGACCAATGGAAAGTTTAAAGACTGGAGACTAGTAAGAAATGTTGGGTTAAATGGTATTCTAATGAGCAAACAAGCCATGAATGCAATCTTATCACGTCGGCGGACACGTAGAATCACAGAACCTGCTGCTCAAAACCAACATAACATTGAATTTCGTCATAACAGCATTCACTCCTGGATTGGTGGAAACGTAGCCTTAATGAACACGGCAACAAGAGATCCACTGTTCTTTTTAATACATTGCTTCATTGACTATATTTGGTGGCAATTTCAACAGAAGCAAATAAAAAGAAATATTGACCCGTCTTCTGACTATCCGAAAGAATATGGAGATCGTTCACATCGACCAAACGCAAAAATGGAGGGATTCACAGGTTATAGAAACCGGGATGGATATTCCAACCACTGGACTAGGGATATCTATACGTATCAACTGTCTCCAGAATGTCCCGATTGTGGTAATTCAACATGGCTCAATTGCATTCAGGGAGTATGTGTTTCTAAAGCTCAAATCAGGCGTGGACGGGGAAGATCTAAGTTTAAAATAACTGAACAAACTGCCCATGTTTCACAGACGAGAACTATGGGCAAACTTTTTGATGCAGATCATCGTAGGAACTTAAGTAATGAACATATGTCGAAGATGACAGCACATGACATTTTCTATGGAAAATCTCCAGCACAAAATACATTCGAAATAAACGGTAAAGCGAGCACAGATCAGTGGGTGTTTTTGCCAGTAAAAGTTATTAATAAGAAATCGGGGGATCTTGTATATCACTCTTATCCTGTATGGAATAATGACATATACGCGATATCAAATTCAGAAGCTTTGTCGTCGTTCTTACCCAAACAAAGCGCTGCCAAGTACGAGCATTGTAGACGGTCACGGAATGGGGCTTTACAAGTGTTCGTACGTGTAGATGGTTTAAACTATGATGGTCATTTTAAAGAGCAGGCGCTGACCGACGACCGATTACCGTTCTCGTCAGGATATACTTATATAGCGATAAAACGCCCCGACCATACCCCTGTAGAACTGATGAGTACCGCACATGATGAGTGCGGGCGAATGTGTCGACCTATGTGCCGGACCAGAGGTGTCCCCGACTACATCCCGTGTACTGGGCACATGCGCATAAGTTCCAATGATAGTGATATGTTTGCGTCCACGGTGACGGATGCCATGCTAAAGGTCTGGAAGTTTGAAAACGAGAAAAACTCTTGTCCATCCACTACAGACAGTCGTGTGTATGTTACCTTTCTCTGTGATTCTATGGCAGTGTTTCCGGGGAACTAATTCACTTCAGTCCTTCATTCATTTCGTCGAAGTGAATGTGGATAAGTACTTTTTTTAAAGAAAATATATATTGATGATAAAACAAAATAGAATAACTAATATAATCGTTGATTTATCAGCATACAACTTTCATAAAATGAAATTTAGAAGTTGTCAAAAGATGATGACTGATTATTTAGTCTTGTGTTAATCATCAAATATTTACTAATTTGTCCAGGTGATACCGCGGTCTTTTTTTATAAATTGTGAAATATCATGGTAGTTACTGTTTATATTTCTCTATGAGTTGTTTCTATTCCATGACTAGCTATCTACCTTTCTTGACATTTCCTCGACATGGCTGTCTACGGAGATATTAATCACAACCACTCAGTTTCATGTCCATTTCGAATGATCTGGGTTCTGGATAGGTGTTCTACATTAAAACACTGGTTTTAAACTCAGAATCGTTAATCGAATCCCTGCCTTATCAGCTTACCTCTTTACTGACCGCAAACCAAATAGCTGATTTACGAAGCAGAAGGCACTTCTTCTCTCAGAACACCTGGTCTTTCCCTTTTCCATGTGTTCCTATTTAGTTTATCATTTCCCCAAAGCTTACTGATATACCATAGATGATGAATTAGAATTGTGATTATTCCATTATATCTTCGGCGTAGTCTTACGTTTACGACGTCATCAACGACATTTGTCTGTGGAAGGTTTGTCAGAAAGTAATGTTCAACACTGTTTGTCTACAAAGCTGTGTAGTTCCTGTTGAAATGACAAGGAAGTGAATTGTAATTTCATTAGAGAACGAATAGTCATAGACATATGAGGACGATCAGACAGTATAATCATTGATTAAAACGTGCTCCGCTCACAGTAAATGGTCATCAATTCATTGTAACAAGTCCTTTCATTTCGTTCAGCAAAACAAGCACTTAACGTATCATACAGACCATCACATTATCTGTCAAGGTGTTAGATATTTTTCGTACAGTACTTGTGTCAAAGTGATAAAGGGTTAATTACTTTGATTGAATAAGGTTTACATGGTGGTTGTCGTCGATGAAACAGAAGACGCTTACTCTTCCCGAACACCTGGATTTATTCTAGTTGATTCTTTTATGAGTATTCGTGTGAATCATTCTTATGTTTGAATTTGAATTGAACTTGAATTTGGATTATGAATATGTTGACATGTTTGTTTGTTTGTTTTTTTTTTTTTACTTACTAATATACACTTTTGGCACTGCTGACCATAGACTGTAAAATAGGTGTATTTTAAGTTAACATCAAGGTCTGTATAGGTTCTGAACGACTAATCAGATCTACAAAACATTTACAAAGAACGATCGTCTTCCACTATCTATATGATTAATTGATTTGCGTGACTATATTTTGTCAACAATATTTATTTCATGTATTCCGTTCCCCGATTAATAAATACACTCAAGGGATAAAGAGACGCAGGGTGGCATTATTTGTAATACCCTGCGAACGTGTTGTTCAAAAACAATGAAAATCGGTCAAGCAACTTTCTAGGTTATAGTGCACGTGGCCATTAAATTAATTATGCAAGGTCAAAGGCAAATACAGGTTGCCAGACATTCCGATGTCCATATTTGCAGTATAGAACGTCTTGTTAGACGTCTAAGGGAATCTGGGCTGGTTGCTGACAGACCTAGGTATGGGCGTCTGCGCGTTACGTAACAACGTCAGGACAGGTTTGTTCGTCTCGCGCATTTCGGCAATTAATACCTTACTAATACTGAACCTTCCTTTCATATCATAGGTACTCATAACCGTCCTATCCATGCGAAAACTGTAGGTCTGCCCCTTACCACTTCTCGTCGCCAGCGTCATATGGCTGGGGTGGCGCATTATGCCCCCAAAATATTCCCATTGAGGCAGTTGAGGTGAGTCTTGTTTACTAATGAGTCCCGGTTCACCATGTTTAGAGCATGAGTGTATACCGACGTCGTGGATAACGTTTTGCTGACTGCTGGGAAGTAGAGACGGATAGGTTTGGGGGTGGATCGGTTATGGTGTGGGGAGGAATCTCACATGGAGTTAAATCACCACTGGTTGTGGTAGCGGGTAATTTAACTGCTTTAGGTATAGAGATGAGATCCTCCGACTCCATGTTGTACCGTTATTGCTGCAAAACATTTTCTCACCAATAACAATATCCACCCACTGGCCGTCATATAGCCCCGACCTATCCCCTATAGAACACTTGTTGAACCAGTTGGATAGACAGGTTCGACGACGCCAGCCTCCCCTTGTTCCTCTGGACCAACTGAGAGCAGCTCTCTTGGGAGAATGGGCCAATATCCCAATGAGGACAGACTCACTCATTACCTCCCATGCCTAGGAGAATCAGGGCTGTCGAGAGAGCGCATGGGGGACATACCCGGTATTGACTAGCCAGCTCCCACAGTCAGTCCATTTCGATTTCAGATTACAGAATTCTCTTTCCATTCCCTTCAATTACTCAAAACTCACTTTCCAAATACAAATCGTTGATTTTGCAGTTTGTTCTGCATGGAATAATATGCATTCTTACTTTAAAATATTAAACATTATACTTGACGTCTTGCCTAGAATCATCTTCAAAGTTCAACCTGCGGTTCTTTATCCCTTGAGTACATGCGTGTACAGATACCAAAAACACGCATCGCTTACCTTCATTGTTATGTAAACAATACAAGACAACAGAACCAAGACAGCAGAAAATAAAAATATTTAATATATAAAAAATAATAATAAACAACAAAGATCATAATATAAGATTAAATAAATCACAGTCCTGTTTCAATATATGTTTATACCTCTAATAAAACGTTAGTACAAATTACATTTCAATTGTCACAAAGTTAAAAACAACATGAGTCACACCACACAAACATAATTATTTGACATTGTCCGTCGTCAGTATTTAAATTATTCTGAGATAATTCAATATTTTTATTTCTCTTGTTTTGTCTACAAACATGACATTGCAACATCTAACTACAAGTTTAATATTTTCAATGTCACACAAAACTACTCTCAAGAAATCAGATCCATTCAATTTCACCTGTCTCACCTCTATCACAATTATACTCCAACCTATCGCAGCATTAGAAAAACGGTTAAGAATACAGGTTTTACATCACTTAATTGTAATATAACTGGCTTAACTTATAGTACGGACCGAGACTTGGAATAAAAATATAGACACTTTAGATCAAAGGTTTAGCGCGAAATACGTCGTAGTTATTTCATTTTGAATACTTTTTTTACCCAGCTCTTTTTGACAACACGACATTACCTGCACTGAAACTAAAGACGGCCTTCCAACCTCTACACCAGCGCATTTTTTCCACATTCCTTTACACTACATTTTCCGCGTACTTCTATCTCCATCAAACACTCAGTCACGTCCTTATATTTTCTTTCCAAGGCAACCAACACTGTCACACATTACACAGTGTTATTTATACATTTTCTATTTTCTCATTTTTTTTTACCGATCCAAAGCACACACAGTCATACTTTTTCATTATGTCAGCCGATATCTCAATTCATAATAATTATATAGTGTAGACATAGCAATCTTTACAAAAATACAGACAGTACATATCAACGCGTGATTGCTTCGGAGGTGCAAAGTCAACACGTGCAATATTCTTTTCTACAAAATGTGAAACTGAGCAAACTAGAAAAAAAACCTGGATTGGCACAATTAAGATAGAAATGTGGACCACTGTAAAACTGGTGACGTACAATAAATTTTCGATATTGGTAGAATTTCCCACCCTGTTCATAATAAAATGTAATTTCCCATACACAAACACCAAAGAAAAAGTTTTCACCACAGTTATCACCATAGGAATGCCTTGTGAATTATCTTGAATTCTTTTGTCGAAAAAATATCTTTCCACCTAGCGGTATTTAAGTTTACTTGTCTTCTGTAAGGCATTGAAACGTCTTTTCAAAAATTGAAAAAAGAACAATGTCTATAAGTTTGAAATATATGTAAATTGAAAAAGGTTCACAGTAATTAATGTCATGTTTAGTATTAACGTAAGTGTATTAGGTCACTGACCACAGAAGTCTGTTACCCTGGACGATAATCATCGCCATATTGTATAATGATATCACAGGCCACCAATACTGTAGAGTAGATATAAGTCGTGTATTTTATATATTTGGCCTGTAAATAAATATTACACACAATACATATTTTTCACAAGTTTCCGTTTGATATGCGAGTTATGAAATAAAGTGTCTCGGCATTTGAAAGATGAAAAAAAAACTGTGACGAATTTCATAAATCACATATCAAATAAGTTTATGACCTTCTAGATCACATGATCCATATTGAGACAAATATTGTAGTAGAAAATAGACATTCCCACACCAATTTTATATTTAATTCAGCTCTGTATATATTGTTAACACAACGCATTCTGTGTGTGACGTCACTATAGTATCCCAACCTGACGTCACAATAGGGTATATTACTTTTGTAAACTGCGGTAAATGTTACGTTGGTAATTAATTAACCAGGAAATGACGATAATGATTAATAGATGTTTTACACAATACATTAATTTGATAAATTTTGCATATTTTTCGGAAGGTTGATAAATACTTCTGCCAATTTATCTTTTCACATACCTCAATAGAACATCAATTAAAAGACATACCAAGATACTAATACATTTTAAGCACACGAGTTTGTCATTTGGGATTAGCTACTCTGACTGAAGTTTCCAGACACACAACAAATGAAATGAGATACACTTACAATTAAACACAATTTACGTCACCAAAAATTCTAATATATCTTCAGTAATAACATGTAAAACAACTACCATAGTAACAACGTATTATACGTTGTTTGTATTCAGATCTGTACTTCACAACCTAAATTATACCTATAAAGTATACACTATCCTATGTAATCTTGTCTTACGTCAATATAGAGCTGGTGATATATATTCTGTATTCTTTCTGAGCGTTAGGTAGTATAAAACATATTTACCTATCATATTTAGTCGTTAAATGTTGGGTATTCGTATGTTATGTACTCTGTATGTAAGGGAGATACAGTTTCATTACGTCATTGCGGTGTCTAAGATCTATGTTACTGAGTCTTTGCTGTAAGACATACTGGGCGTAGTCACGTCTTTGGTCCACCTCAGGAATTCCCATCAGGTGTTCGCGTTCAACAGGTATCCGATCACGTGACGCACTCGCGCCGGCCATGACTTTGACTTTGGTTGGCGTAGTGCGCGGACGACCAAATTTAGAAAGAGCTTCGTTAGCCTGAAAAAAGACGGAGCATTGTGAAGACATGTGAATATTTTGTGTTTTAATAGAAACTCTGTTCATTAAATGTTGATTAAACATTTGGAATGATGTCATATAGACAGAACCACAAGAACAAACGAATAATTGCCCTAAATTATTGACATTTAAAACCTTGGTTTTCCTAAGTGTTATTTCAGGAGCCATTAAGAGCAATCCCTGATGACAAAGCTGATTAAAGGCACACAACAGATATAAATTCTAAGTTTATTCACAGGTTACAGTAACAACAATAAAGAACTTCTCTTGTCCTACACAAATCTCTAAAATTGATTTTAAAAATATGAATCGAGATTTTTGGGAAAAGGTTTAGATCCAAATTTAGAAAATTTAATATAATTTCATTATCAGATTTCTTTTTCATAAATCATACACCTGAAATGATTGTTGATATCTATTACAACGTGTGGAATGCAAAGATACAAAGTAACAACTTTCAAAGACTTGAAAGATAGTTTTAATGTTAAATCAAGTCCTAAATATGGTGATATCAAAAGACAGACCCAAAAAAGTAAGTTCTAAATAATATTGCTGTATGGTAAAATAATATTGCTGTATGGTAAAATAATATTGCTGTACGGTAAAATAATATTGCTGTATGGTAAAATAATATTGCTGTACGGTGTGTCACTACTTCTACACCATTAAAGAGTGTACACACAGTAAAGAAGGGATTGGATGTGGACAAATGGAAGTAAACAAATATTAGTAATCCAAATAATAGTAATTCAAATATCACCAACTCTTAAAAACTGTAGTAACATACATCCTTATGGACTTTAAATCACTTTACAATTTACCCTCCCCCCCCCACCCCCAAAAAACACAAACAAACAAACAAAACAAAACAAAAAACAAAAAATCTTAAAGGCCGACGGAAACAGTAAAAGTTTTACAGTGAAAAACGTAAGCCTCTATTTTTGTCTAACAGGACTGGAGACACAGCACACAGAAAGTAAGCAACAGGACGATAAAAACAGTAGACGGGAAAGTATTCAGTAAAGAATGGTAGATATACACAGAACTCACAATGATAAAATGCAACCACAAAAATATTTATAGAAACAAAAAAGCAACACATCAGCTGATAAAAAATGCATGCCACACCATACAGGAAAGTCCCTCAATTAATATCATATTTTGGTAACAAAACCTGCTCCTTGACAAATTTGTGATTTTGTTTTAATTTCTATACACGCCCTATAATGTATCCTTATTCCATCATGTTAGGTAAAGATTTGTGTCGATCTATTAAAAATATCACACAACAAAACAATACACTAACGGAATTAAGGATCTGTGCATAGGTAAAATGATATATAAGACAATAACAACAGTAACAACATCAGAATTTTGAAAAGGCACATTTTATGAAACATTAGTTTGATAAAAATTGTCCAAATCATTCATTTTCATAGCGAGACACTCGGCGGCTTAAAATTCGGAGATACTTGGAGCCAAGCAACTCATTCACAGTCTATCGGGTCCGTCACAAGGTTTACAACGAGGGATCTAACATTGTTGTATTACAGAGCAGAGAGATGTTTGTATGTGTTCATGTGGACGTTCAAGATCTCGTAATGATCACGTGAATCGCTTAAATTGCCATCGACGATAACCAAACGTGTTCTGGCTGTTGTCCCCACACGGTAGTGACACTGTCTCCTTCTAACTAACGACTTACAACGACGCACCTGTGTTGAAAAGTTCGAACGGAGCGGTACACTCCACATCGGCCATTATTACTGTTAAATTGAAACTGAAACTTGTTTTAAAACAAAATATACGCCGAAATATCGTCTTGTAAGACATTTTTCTGTAGCAAACTATATGACATTTGTGAAGGGAGATGAACGGTGTGAGGTTGTGGATGAATGTGCCAGTCACGCCCAGTTTTTAAACTGACTCTTCGTAGTCAGGTAACGTTCCTTTTGGGGAGTGTAATAAGTGTCTGTGATTCTACAGATTCAAAGACGTCACACGTGGGCGTCCCGATCTGTTGTGACTGACCAAACTGCTGTTGTGTTCCGACACACAACGAAGTTTCTAACATTAGAACTACGACAGCCAGGATTATCCACTTAGTCTCGGCATAGTTTTCAATCCTTTATACACAAAAAATCGGTATGTCGATAAATATCAGTGCCAACTCCGTCAAGGGAAATTTCATCCATTGTAAGTCATCCGTGAAGATTTTAAAGGTGTTTTCATATTTTGTCTTTGTGATGTTTTATAACTGTGTATATCATTTTCTATGTACGCACAAATTCTGTCTCCCCATGATACACATGCTATATTCACTCTTTCTACACTTCAACATAACGTTACACAGACAAAATACAAACAATTTACACACACAAGCAAAATGATAATACATCGCAAGCATCAAACGTTTAAATTCACATGATAATCATGTCAATTTGAGTTCCTTTCAATTCAGACATAAAAAAGATTATAGACAATATGTTATCTGTGTAATTAATCAACAATGTAAAAACTGGCTAAAGTAAACTAGTAAGGTAATTCAGACATAAAAAAGATTATAGACAATAAGTAATCCGTGTAATTAACCAACAATGTAAAAATTAGCTAAAGTAAACTAAATACAATATGAATAGATTTTAACAAATATGTGGGAATTTTTAAGAGAATTATGCTGTATTTAACTGTTTATACTTCAGTGATTCAAGTAACGATAATATCAATATTATTCAAACTCACTCAATGGTCATTAACTAATAGATATAACATCAACACAGTAGCATGCATGTTGGCTTACCTTGACCGATTCCGACTAATGCATTTGAATAATGAGGTTTAAATTAATTCAAATTATTTCATCAGAATTGACAACTCAAACAGGTATGATGTTTAACTGTCAGAACAGTAGAAAATTACCCCTTAGATAATAAGTATTCCCACGGTAATCAGGTTGTAGGTTATCATATATTAGAGACAGTAATCAGGTTGTAGGGTATCATATATTAGAGACAGTAATCAGGTTGTAGGGTATCATATATTAGAGACAGTAATCAGGTTGTAGGGTATCATATATTAGAGACAGTAATCAGGTTGTAGGGTTATAGATATTAGAGACAGTAATCAGGTTGTAGGTTATAGATATTAGATACAGTAATCAGGTTGTAGGGTTATAGAGACAGTAATCAGGTTGTAGGGTTACAGATATTAGAGACAGTAATCAGGTTGTAGGTTATAGATATTAGAGACAGTAATCAGGTTGTAGGTTATAGATATTAGAGACAGTAATCAGGTTGTAGGTTATAGATATTAGAGACAGTAATCAGGTTGTAGGTTATAGATATTAGAGACAGTAATCAGGTTGTAGGTTATAGATATTAGAGACAGTAATCAGGTTGTAGGGTTATAGAGACAGTAATCAGGTTGTAGGGTTACAGATATTAGAGACAGTAATCAGGTTGTAGGGTTATAGAGACAGTAATCAGGTTGTAGGGTTATAGAGACAGTAATCAGGTTGTAGGTTTAACGATATCAGAGACAGTAATCAGGTTGTAGGGTTACAGATATTAGAGACAGTAATCAGGTTGTAGGGTTACAGATATTAGAGACAGTAATCAGGTTGTAGGGTTACAGATATTAGAGACAGTAATCAGGTTGTAGGGTTAAAGATATTAGAGACATGATACAGTAATCAGGTTGTAGGGATAGAGACAGTAATCAGGTTGTAGGGTTACAGATATTAGAGACAGTAATCAGGTTGTAGGGTTACAGATATTAGAGACAGTAATCAGGTTGTAGGGTTACAGATATTAGAGACAGTAATCAGGTTGTAGGGTTATAGAGACAGTAATCAGGTTGTAGGGTTACAGATATTAGAGACAGTAATCAGGTTGTAGGGTTATAGAGACAGTAATCAGGTTGTAGGGTTACAGATATTAGAGACAGTAATCAGGTTGTAGGGTTAACGATATCAGAGACAGTAATCAGGTTGTAGGGTATCATATATTAGAGACAGTAATCAGGTTGTAGGGTTACAGATATTAGAGACAGTAATCAGGTTGTAGGGTTACAGATATTAGAGACAGTAATCAGGTTGTAGGGTTACAGATATTAGAGACAGTAATCAGGTTGTAGGGTTACAGATATTAGAGACAGTAATCAGGTTGTAGGGTTATAGAGACAGTAATCAGGTTGTAGGGTTATAGAGACAGTAATCAGGTTGTAGGGTTACAGATATTAGAGACAGTAATCAGGTTGTAGGGTTATAGAGACAGTAGGGTTTAGAGACAGATATCAGGTTGTAGGGTTATAGAGACAGTAATCAGGTTGTAGGGTTACAGATATTAGAGACAGGAGACAGTAATCAGGTTGTAGGGTTATAGATATCAGAGACAGTAATCAGGTTGTAGGGTTATAGAGACAGTAATCAGGTTGTAGGGTTATAGATATTAGAGACAGTAATCAGGTTGTAGGGTTATAGATATTAGAGACAGTAATCAGGTTGTAGGGTTATAGAGACAGTAATCAGGTTGTAGGGTTATAGAGACAGTAATCAGGTTGTAGGGTTACAGATATTAGAGACAGTAATCAGGTTGTAGGGTTACAGATATTAGAGACAGTAATCAGGTTGTAGGGTTACAGATATTAGAGACAGTAATCAGGTTGTAGGGTATCATATATTAGAGACAGTAATCAGGTTGTAGGGTTACAGATATTAGAGACAGTAATCAGGTTGTAGGGTTAACGATATCAGATACAGTAATCAGGTTGTAGGGTTATAGAGACAGTAATCAGGTTGTAGGGTTATAGAGACAGTAATCAGGTTGTAGGGTTCAGGTTGTAGGGTTAGAGACAGTAATCAGGTTGTATTAGTAATCAGGTTGTAGGGTTAGAGACAGTAATCAGGTTGTAGGGTTACAGATATTAGAGACAGTAATCAGGTTGTAGGGTTATAGAGACAGTAATCAGGTTGTAGGGTTACAGATATTAGAGACAGGAGACAGTAATCAGGTTGTAGGGTTATAGATATCAGAGACAGTAATCAGGTTGTAGGGTTATAGAAATTAGATAAAGTAATCAGGTTGTAGGGTTATAGAGACAGTAATCAGTTTGTAGGGTATCATATATTAGAGACAGTAATCAGGTTGTAGGGTTACTGATATTAGAGACAGTAATCAGGTTGTAGGGTTACAGATATTAGAGACAGTAATCAGGTTGTAGGGTTATCAGATAGGGTTACAGATTAGAGACAGTAATCAGGTGTGTAGTAATCAGGTTGTAGGGTTATAGAAACAGTAATCAGGTTGTAGGGTTATAGAGACAGTAATCAGGTTGTAGGGTTACAGATATTAGAGACAGTAATCAGGTTGTAGGGTTACAGATATTAGAGACAGTAATCAGGTTGTAGGTTACAGATATTAGAGACAGTAATCAGGTTGTAGGGTTATAGATATCAGAGACAGTAATCAGGTTGTAGGGTTACAGATATTAGAGACAGTAATCAGGTTGTAGGGTTACAGATATTAGAGACAGGAGACAGTAATCAGGTTGTAGGGTTACAGATATTAGAGACAGTAATCAGGTTGTAGGGTTACAGATATTAGAGACAGTAATCAGGTTGTAGGGTTATAGAGACAGTAATCAGGTTGTAGGGACAGTAATCAGGTTGTAGGGTTACAGATATTAGAGACAGTAATCAGGTTGTAGGGTTATAGAGACAGTAATCAGGTTGTAGGGTTACAGATATTAGAGACAGTAATCAGGTTGTAGGGTTACAGATATTAGAGACAGTAATCAGGTTGTAGGGTTACAGATATTAGAGACAGTAATCAGGTTGTAGGGTTACAGATATTAGAGACAGTAATCAGGTTGTAGGGTTACAGATATTAGAGACAGTAATCAGGTTGTAGGGTTACAGATATTAGAGACAGTAATCAGGTTGTAGAGTTACAGATATTAGAGACAGTAATCAGGTTGTAGGGTTACAGATATTAGAGACAGTAATCAGGTTGTAGGGTTACAGATATTAGAGACAGTAATCAGGTTGTAGGGTTACAGATATTAGAGACAGTAATCAGGTTGTAGGGTTACAGATATTAGAGACAGTAATCAGGTTGTAGGGTTACAGATATTAGAGACAGTAATCAGGTTGTAGGGTTATAGATATTAGAGACAGGAGACAGTAATCAGGTTGTAGGGTTACAGATATTAGAGACAGTAATCAGGTTGTAGGGTACAGATATTAGAGACAGGAGACAGTAATCAGGTTGTAGGTTACAGATATTAGAGACAGTAATCAGGTTGTAGGGTTATATAGTATGATATCAAACAAGAGACCGACAGGGCCTATATCCCTCACCAGGCTTTGCTATAGGAATGCCTAAGGTTTAATATATCTAACTCCCCAATGGGCCACCCATCTGGCCTCTAAGGGGTTAGCAAAAACAATTCATACAAAAGTCTTCTTCACCTAAGGATACTTCAGACAAAGAAAACAACTGGAGGCTATTATATAATAACCTACTTTTCAATGGGGCTAGGAACTATGGTTGGAAGGTTTTCTGTGGAAGGAACTAGGATTGGATTGGAAAGGGACTGGGGACTAGTTTAAGCCAGCTGACTTTACATAGAAGATGGAGACTATCAAAAGAAAACATTGTTAACTGGGGACTATTATATCTTTATTATGGGGATATAAGAGGTAGGCCTATCCTTGAATATAAATCACAGTGGACAGCATAATACAAGTTGTTCAGTATGTTACGCTACTTAGATCTAAGGAGACTCACCTGTGCTACCACAGTGATCTGATGCCAGGTTCGTGCCCGCTCCTGGTACTCTGTGTAACGCTCATCCAGATCCGACTTCCTATAAACAACAACAAAAATACATGTCAACATAATCTTCAATTCAGTCGATGAAACGGGTACAAAAATATCAACAAACCAATCACTTATATGGAGATTCCTGAATAAGTACAAGGAGAATACCACCAGGCATTTTAAGTTTCATGTCAGATGTCTTTCTACAGACGCTAACAAAATCACATGATTTTTCTACAGACACTGACAAAATCACATGTCCTTCTACAGACACTGACAAAATCACGTCTTTCTACAGACACTGACAAAATCACATGTCTTTCTACAGACACTGAAAAAATCACGTCTTTCTACAGACACTGACAAAATCACATGTCTTTCTACAGACACTAGCAAAATCACATGTCTTTCTACAGACACTGACAAAATTACATGTCTTTCTACAGACACTAGCAAAATCACATGTCTTTCTACAGACACTGACAAAATTACATGCCATTCTACAGACACTGACAAAATCACACGTCTTTCTATACAGCCAGATAACATGTCTTTCTACAAGGACAGATTACATGTTTTTCTTCAGATACTGACAGATCACATGTCTCTCTACAAAGACAGATCAGATGTCTTTCTTCAGACACTAAAAGATTACATGTCTTTCTACAAAAACACATCATCTGTCTTTAGATCGCATGTCTTTCTATATATAGATTCAGACAGGTCACACTTACCATACACAATTCAAAGTAAACTATTACTATACAATAAACGAAAAAAGAGAGGACAGTTTCCGCAATTCCTAAATAAAAATATTCCTTGTAAAGACATTTCTCGTTGTCCTCTAGTCTCTATATTAACTTAATGTAATCTACAGAAATATGATCAGATGAGGGCACTCTGTCACACAACTGTCACGATACCTTATGATCCAGGCATTATTCCTGGCTTGAGTATAAGTATCAACACTTCTAATTGACAGCGATTTCTTTATAGCTCATCATCAATACTTTCCTACATACAAGAATTAATGCATCACGTTAACTTTTGGAGTTGACAATGTGCAATTAAATAAATCTGAAAAAATTTAACTTTTAATTTTGTTTGAAGTTTTTTTCAAATCAGAATAATAACTTATATTTAAATGAGCACAGTATTCTGCCATCACCATGAAGGTTTCAGTAGTACAGTCAGTACATACACTACCCAGTAAAATGGTATGTAAATAGACTCTTACCCTCTAGCTAATTTAATCTTCTCATCCATCTCATCTGCCTTTTCTGCTCGGCTAAGCCAGGGTGTACTCATCCTCAGCTTGAAAAAGAATAACAAAAAAAACAGTCATAAGTAAATTGTGTACTCAGATGTGTATACTCATATGTGTATACTCAGATGTGTATACTCAGATGTGTATACTCAGATGTGTATACTCAGATGTGTAAACTCAAACATGTATACTCAAACATGTATACTCAAACGTGTATACTCAGATGTGTATACTCAGATGTGTAAACTCAAACATGTATACTCAAACATGTATACTCAAACGTGTATACTCAGATGTGTAAACTCAAATGTGTATACTCAAATGTGTAAACACTAACATGTAAACTCAAACATGTATACTCAAACATGTATACTCAAACGTGTATACTCAGATGTGTAAACTCAAACGTGTATACTCAGATGTGTAAACTCAAACGTGTATACTCAAACATGTATACTCAAACGTGTATACTCAAATATGTATAGCAAATATGACTACCAAACGTGTCTACCAATTGTGATTATCAGAAAATGAATAAAGATATCAAAATTGTTTCATGAAATTTAATTATCAGTGGTGCATTGAGATTTTCATACATCATACAAAGAAATTTCTATTTTATAAAAATTCACTGTAAGTATCACTGTTTTTCATACTTATACATAACCTAACCTGTCTGTGTTTGTGTCTGTGTAAATCATGTCATTGTCACATAATACATACTAATACATATATAATAATGAATTGCATTAAAACATTTGAAATTATTTTATTCTTTTTTGTTTTTATCTTCAATCTATCATATATGACTGACAACTCTAAATATAAATATGTGAAGGGAGGTAATCCAATATGGTGGACAGAGAACTTGAGAATGCATAAAGTACGCACCCCATTTTTGAAACAACAGTTTTTGCTTAAAAAGTGTGCACTATACGCACAAATTTATGATATATATCTTATTTCTTATATATATATATATATATATCTTATTTCGTATATATATATATATCTTATATGTATCTTATACTTTACCTGATTCCTTGGTAACAGTAATGGTGTCAGGGAGGGAAGGCGACCCACTTCCTGTAACATGGTTGGCTGCAAAATACAGTGTACAATACAAAATGCAGCCTTACTGGTGTCATACAATATGAATCAAATTCTTACTGTACAACACAAATTGTTGTCTTACAGATGTACAGCACAAATTGTTGTCCTACAGATGTACAACACAAATTGTTGTCTTACAGATGTACAGCACAAATTGTTGTCTTACAGATGTACAACACAAATTGTTGTCCTACAGATGTACAACACAAATTGTTGTCTTACAGATGTACAGCACAAATTGTTGTCTTACAGATGTACAACACAAATTGTTGTCCTACAGATGTAAAACACAAATTGTTGTCTTACAGATGTACAGCACAAATTGTTGTCGTACAGATGTACAACACAAATTGTTGTCTTACAGATGTACAACACAAATTGTTGTCCTACAGATGTACAACACAAATTGTTGTCTTACAGATGTACAGCACAAATTGTTATCTTACAGATGTACAACACAAATTGTTGTCCTACAGATGTACAACACAAATTGTTGTCTTACAGATGTACAGCACAAATTGTTGTCTTACAGATGTACAACACAAATTGTTGTCCTACAGATGTACAACACAAATTGTTGTCCTACAGATGTACAACACAAATTGTTGTCCTACAGATGTACAACACAAATTGTAGTTTCACTGATGCTACAATAATTCCTGTCGTACAATCCTCTTTTAAAACTTACACCTGTTCCAAAGCATATGTCACACCACTAGCTTATGTTTCAGACAGGTATTTTTACATTATCAGTGGTTAATCTTAGAGAAATGTTAGTGTGCTAGATTCAATGCTGACTATTACATGCTGTGCAGAAGAAACCATACCTTGATCACTTTCGTAGTGCCTGGTTTGCCTAGAAGGTTGACGTCCAGTCTGTACAACAAAACCTGACTCTTATAGGCACTCATGGCTAGGAAGAGTTGTAGCACAGCCGTCAACAAGGTCCTGGAAAGGAACAGTTGGAGGATTAGAGATTAATGTGATTGGCTAACAACATGAACTGTACTGCAGCAAACTCAGTGTAGAAAAACTGTTTAAACTAAAACAATGATAACAGCCACACAGATATACAATTAACAATAACTAAAACAATGATAACAGCCACACAGATATACAATTAACAATCAAGGCATGGAGTTTGACCTTAAAAATCTCCAGGTTAATTTGTATGTTGGTAGACTTACTTGTTCTGTGGTGTGCGATTAAAGTTGAGTAACAGGCCAATCTGATGGAATCCTATGGCATTCAGTGTTTTCTTCACAGGCGGGTTCTGCCACAGAGGTCGCACGGAAAGGTCATTCACTTTGAGCTGGATCTCTGGTGCATGTTTAGTTATACTCATCTGAAGCAGAGAAAAATTCAGCATTGTAGAGATCATGGATACTGGTTTGCATGGCATGAGATCTCAGAAATAAGTTAAACTTTTATTTTTCTGTTTATGGTGATTTGAAACAAATGATACAAGATATATGAAATGGTGCTGGATGCAAGTTGCCTTTATTATATACCATAGCCACATCTGGCAGCAAATAACCAAGACTACATCGAGTGTTAAGTAGTAACAGGAATATCAGAACTCTTCACAATATAATGGTGGTTATAGCTGTGATAACAGGTGGTTAGAGCTGTGATAACAGGTGGTTAGAGCTGTGATAACAGTACATAACTTTATTGTATATATACCACAAGGTTGTGATAGATTAGTGACACTAAATCTACTGTACAGATATCTAGTGGTCAAACATTAGTGTGTATACATGTAGTTGTATTATATCTAAGGATCATGATATTATGAAAAATTAATGTACAGTTGTAGTAAATCTTCAATACATGTAGTGGTGAATGACTTTTAGTTGTATTACAGGTATAAGAAGTGGTGAATGTCACACTGGACTTGGACATACCAGATCAATGATTAGAGATATGGTGTCCTGAGACAATGGAAGCATGTTGTGGATCCTCTCTGTACATGTAGTATCCCTTGTGATCTCTGAAACACATTATTTCTTATTGGTTATGAAGTTAATATAGATCATCACAACAGGAATGGCTTAATCAACAACAGACATCACTGTTATAAAGCTTTCAGTTAAAAATACTGTAGAATTTGAATCAGGTAATATTTTGTTGAGTACCTCTGTAATAATTACCAGCAGATTTCTACAGGAAAATTCAGGCATTTCTGTATTGTTATCCTTATGACAGTCTAAATGGCTGACCAACAAAGAATGGTTACAAACATTTTTTTTCTAAAAGTATCACATTTTTTCCAAAACTCAACACTGAATGTATTAACATAAGCACAAGTAATATCAGTTGTAGAACATCTAAAGGTGACAGGTTACATCAATCCAAAGTATCTAAAGGTGACAGGTTACATCAATCCAAAGTATCTCACTGAGTCAAACAGTAAATTTTAGTAAAATATGAAGGTGCAGTAGTAAAGACCACTAACCCTCTGTAGACTGGTCCGAGATTCTCTCGACTTACCACTAACTACCACTAACGGCCCTTAGATTTACCACTAACAGCCCTTAGACTTACCACTAATGGCCTTTAGATTTACCACTAATAGCCCCTTCAACTTACCACTAACGGCTCTCAGACTTACCACTAACGGCCCTTAGACTTACCACTAACGTCTCTTAGATTTACCACTAATAGCCCCTTCAACTTACCACTAATGGCCCTCAGAATTACCACTAACGGCCCTTAGACTTACCACTAACGTCTCTTAGATTTACCACTAATAGCCCCTTCAACTTACCACTAATGGCCCTCAGACTTACCACTAACGGCCCTTAGACTTACCACTAACGGCCCTCAGACCTACCACTAACGTCTCTTAGATTTACCACTAACGGCCCTTAGACTTACCACTAACGTCTCTTAGATTTACCACTAATAGCCCCTTCAACTTACCACTAATGGCCCTCAGACTTACCACTAACGGCCCTTAGACTTACCACTAACGGCCCTCAGACCTACCACTAGCGGCCCTCAGACTTACCACTAACGGCCCTTAGGGCATCATATGTAGGGACCAGCAGTTCGTCCCTGTTCCAGTGAGGATACACGACGTAGGGGTCAGCCAGGGTGGAGCCTTTGGCCTGGAAGTGGAAGCCGAGACACTTGAGCAGGTCAAGGCCACCAATACTTCCTGTCAGGTGTTTTGACAAGTTTGTTGTCTGTTGGTTGAGCTCCTCTGTGTGGAGTCTCTTCAGTGAACTGTCCAGCTAGGCACAAAGAAACACATCATAATTACATCTCACACTATCATAATTAACAATCTTCAAGTTCTTTTTTTACCTTATCGACATGCAATGGTAAATTTCCATTGAAAGCAGACAGTTACTCCAGCTGTTACTCTGGGACTACAAGATCACACTCCTGAGTACAGCATTTCCCCTATTTAATTTCTCAGAAAACGACCTTGACCTTTGTAATTTGTTTGCTTAGACTGTTTCACTTCTACATATAACAGCGAATTACAAGAGTTAAATAAACCCTGATTTTTGTATCATCTTTTGTGATGAAAGTGTTTGACAGAAAAGAGACACTATGATAACAACTGGGCACTATAGCTATGCATGTGTCTCTCTCATTTAGGGCACTAATAACTGGGTGGATTTGACAGATATAGGTATAAAGGTGATAAGTATAATTCTACCTGACAGATATAGGTATAAAGGTGTAAGTATAATTCTACCTGACAGACATAGGTATAAAGGTGATAAGTATAATTCTACCTGACAGACATAGGCATAAAGGTGTAAGTATAATTCTACCTGACAGACATAGGTATAAAGGTGATAAGTATAATTCTACCTGACAGACATAGGCATAAAGGTGATAAGTATAATTCTACCTGACAGACATAGGTATAAAGGTGATAAGTATAATTCTACCTGACAGACATAGGTATAAAGGTGTAAGTATAATTCTACCTGACAGACATAGGTATAAAGGTGTAAGTATAATTCTACCTGACAGACATAGGTATAAAGGTGTAAGTATAATTCTACCTGACAGACATAGGTATAAAGGTGTAAGTATAATTCTACCTGACAGACATAGGTATAAAGGTGTAAGTATAATTCTACCTGACAGACATAGGTATAAAGGTGATAAGTATAATTCTGCCTGACAGACATAGGTATAAAGGTGATCAGTATAATTCTACCTGACAGACATAGGTATAAAGGTGATAAGTATAATTCTACCTGACAGACATAGGTATAAAGGTGTAAGTATAATTCTACCTGACAGACATAGGTATAAAGGTGTAAGTATAATTCTACCTGACAGACATAGGTATAAAGGTGTAAGTATAATTCTACCTGACAGACATAGGCATAAAGGTGTAAGTATAATTCTACCTGACAGACATAGGTATAAAGGTGATAAGTATAATTCTACCTGACAGACATAGGTATAAAGGTGATAAGTATAATTCTACCTGACAGACATAGGCATAAAGGTGTAAGTATAATTCTACCTGACAGACATAGGTATAAAGGTGGTAGACATAAAGGTGATAAGTATAATTCTACCTGACAGACATAGGTATAAAGGTGTAAGTATAATTCTACCTGACAGACATAGGCATAAAGGTGTAAGTATAATTCTACCTGACAGACATAGGCATAAAGGTGTAAGTATAATTCTACCTGACAGACATAGGTATAAAGGTGATAAGTATAATTCTACCTGACAGACATAGGTATAAAGGTGTAAGTATAATTCTACCTGACAGACATAGGTATAAAGGTGATAAGTATAATTCTACCTGACAGATATAGGTATAAAGGTGTAAGTATAATTCTACCTGACAGACATAGGTATAAAGGTGATAAGTATAATTCTACCTGACAGATATAGGTATAAAGGTGTAAGTATAATTCTACCTGACAGACATAGGTATAAAGGTGTAAGTATAATTCTACCTGACAGACATAGGTATAAAGGTGTAAGTATAATTCTACCTGACAGACATAGGTATAAAGGTGATAAGTATAATTCTACCTGACAGACATAGGTATAAAGGTGATAAGTATAATTCTACCTGACAGACATAGGTATAAAGGTGATAAGTATAATTCTACCTGACAGACATAGGTATAAAGGTGATAAGTATAATTCTACCTGACAGACATAGGTATAAAGGTGATAAGTATAATTCTACCTGACAGACATAGGTATAAAGGTGATAAGTATAATTCTACCAGACAGACATAGGTATAAAGGTGTAAGTATAATTCTACCTGACAGACATAGGTATAAAGGTGTAAGTATAATTCTACCTGACAGACATAGGTATAAAGGTGATAATAATAGATATCGATACTTATAGACAACAGGAGTGCATCATTTAAATAAAACCAAACAGTTCTAACCAGATTAAATTGTGAAATTAGTCACTGAAATGATTCTGCAGCTTTAAAATTTAAGAATGTATACAAATAATTTTCCTTCCAAAAGCACAGAATGAACTAAAGTATGATTAAGGGCTAGAGACTTACCAGATCTATCAGCTCTGGGACAACATTTGGCTGTTTGGAATGATGATACAATACAGTTCCTAAAAGTGACTGAAGTGTTAACAGGTGCTCCTCTCTCACAGGCACTGTAAACAAGATCAGACACATACTGTAAACAAGATCAGACACATACTGTAAACAAGATCAGACACATACTGTAAACACCAGACACATACTGTAAACAAGATCAGACACATACCGTAAACAAGATGAGACACATACTGTAAACAAATACTGTAAACAAGATCAGACACATACTGTAAACAACATCAGTCACATACTGTAAACGGCACCAGTCACATACTGTAAACAACACCAGACACATACTGTAAACAACACCAGACACATATTGTAAACAACACCAGACAAATACTGTAAACAAGATCAGACACATACTGTAAACAAGATCAGACACATACTGTAAACAACATCAATCACATAATGTAAACAACACCAGACACAAACTGTAAGCAACATCAGTCACATACTGTAAACAACACCAGACACATACTGTAAACAAGATCAGACACATACTGTAAACAACACCAGACACATACTGTAAACAACACCAGACACATATTGTAAACAAGATGAGACACATACTGTAAACAACACCAGACACATACTGTAAATAAGATCAGACACATACTGTAAACAAGATAAGACACATACTGTAAACAAGATGAGACACATACTGTAAACAACACCAGACACATACTGTAAACAACACCAGACACATACTGTAAATAAATACTGTAAACAAGATCAGACACATACTGTAAACAACACCAGACACATACTGTAAACAACACCAGACACATATTGTAAACAAGATGAGACACATACTGTAAACAACACCAGACACATACTGTAAATAAGATCAGACACATACTGTAAACAAGATCAGTCACATACTGTAAACAAGATTAGACACATACTGTAAACAACACCCACCAGACACATACTGTAAATAAGATCAGACACATACTGTAAACAAGATCTGTCACATACTGTAAACAAGATCAGACACATACTGTAAACAAGATCAGACATATACTGTAAACAAGATAAGACACATACTGTAAACAAGATCAGACACATACTGTAAACAAGATCAGACACATATTGTAAACAACACCAGACACATACTGTAAATAACATCAAACACATACTGTAAACACCAGACACATACTGTAAACAAGATCAGACACATACTGTAAACAAGATCTGTCACATACTGTAAACAAGATCAGACACATACTGTAAACAAGATCAGACACATACTGTAAACAAGATAAGACACATACTGTAAACAAGATCAGACACATACTGTAAACAAGATCAGACACATATTGTAAACAACACCAGACACATACTGTAAATAACACCAAACACATACTGTAAACAAGATCAGACACATACCGTAAACAAGATGAGACACATACTGTAAACAAATACTGTAAACAAGATCAGACACATACTGTAAACAACATCAGTCACATACTGTAAACGACACCAGTCACATACTGTAAACAACACCAGACACATACTGTAAACAAGACCAGACACATATTGTAAACAACACCAGACAAATACTGTAAACAAGATCAGACACATACTGTAAACAAGATCAGACACATACTGTAAACAACATCAGTCACATACTGTAAACAACACCAGACACAAACTGTAAGCAACATCAGTCACATACTGTAAACAACACCAGACACATACTGTAAACAAGATCAGACACATACTGTAAACAACACCAGACACATACTGTAAACAACACCAGACACATATTGTAAACAAGATGAGACACATACTGTAAACAACACCAGACACATACTGTAAATAAGATCAGACACATACTGTAAACAAGATAAGACACATACTGTAAACAAGATGAGACACATACTGTAAACAACACCAGACACATACTGTAAACAACACCAGACACATACTGTAAATAAATACTGTAAACAAGATCAGACACATACTGTAAACAACACCAGACACATACTGTAAACAACACCAGACACATATTGTAAACAAGATGAGACACATACTGTAAACAACACCAGACACATACTGTAAATAAGATCAGACACATACTGTAAACAAGATCAGTCACATACTGTAAACAAGATTAGACACATACTGTAAACAACACCCACCAGACACATACTGTAAATAAGATCAGACACATACCGTAAACAAGATCTGTCACATACTGTAAACAAGATCAGACACATACTGTAAACAAGATCAGACACATACTGTAAACAAGATAAGACACATACTGTAAACAAGATCAGACACATACTGTAAACAAGATCAGACACATATTGTAAACAACACCAGACACATACTGTAAATAACACCAAACACATACTGTAAACACCAGACACATACTGTAAACAAGATCAGACACATACTGTAAACAAGATCTGTCACATACTGTAAACAAGATCAGACACATACTGTAAACAAGATCAGACACATACTGTAAACAAGATAAGACACATACTGTAAACAAGATCAGACACATACTGTAAACAAGATCAGACACATATTGTAAACAACACCAGACACATACTGTAAATAACACCAAACACATACTGTAAACACCAGACACATACTGTAAACAAGATCAGACACATACTGTAAACAAGATCAGACACATACTGTAAACAAATACTGTAAACAAGATCAGACACATACTGTAAACAACACCAGACACATATTATAAACAACACCAGACACATACTGTAAACAAAACCAGACACATACTGTAAACAACACCAGACACATATTGTAAACAACACGGACACATACTGTAAACAACACCAGACACATACTGTAAACAAGATCAGACACATACTAACAACACCAGACACATACTGTAAACAACACCAGCTATAGCTATAAGCATGACTGTCAAAGTGTTATCAAAAGGTCACGACATTACACACAACAATAAGTTAGTTATATAGAGGTCAGGGTTTGTTTACTGATCAGATTTAGACTGACCACAAATTACAGTTGTTATCAAGACTTCTAAGAATAGCAATACTGAATGTTGGTGGTAGAATAAATAGCTCCTTTGATTACATAATACCTTACCTTTGGGCAAGGAGGACTTGGGGTTGAGAATTTCCTTTCCCAGTTCTTCTTCTACAGACTTCTCTGTTCTATCAAGTGTCTGGTCCAGCTGTGAGTGTCGGATGTCCTTCAAGTTAACCATCACATCCTTACCCACCAAGATAAATGGACACCAGAAGTAAGTCTCACTGAACCTGTATACAATGGACACCAGAAGTAAGTCTCACTGAACCTATATACAATGGACACCAGAAGTAAGCCTCACTGAACCTGTATACAATGGACACCAGAAGTAAGCCTCACTGAACCTGTATACAATGGACACCAGAAGTAAGCCTCACTGAACCTATATACAATGGACACCAGAATTAAGCCTCACTGAACCTGTATACAATGGACACCAGAAGTAAGTCTCACTGAACCTGTGTACAATGGACACCAGAAGTAAGCCTCACTGAACCTATATACAATGGACACCAGAAGTAAGTCTCACTGAACCTGTGTACAATGGACACCAGAAGTAAGCTTCACTGAACCTATATACAATGGACACCAGAAGTAAGCCTCACTGAACCTGTATACAATGGACACCAGAAGTAAGTCTCACTGAACCTGTGTACAATGGACACCAGAAGTAAGCCTCACTGAACCTGTATACAATGGACACCAGAAGTAAGTCTCACTGAATCTGAATACAATGGCAATATTGACAGGGATTTATACACAGCATTCCAAAGTATGAGAACTTCTGGAATGGCTAAATTCATCCCTTTAACTACTTGTCAAACAGATTACAAACCTTTAGCAGTGACTGGTGTCATCCCGTCCAGTCAAACAAATGAAGGCATATACGTCTGGGAGAAACTGGCCGCATAGACAACAATATATGTATATAATCAGCTGCAACATTAAACCATTAATAATATGCTTACTTCATGTACAAGAAGTGAATAATATACAAGCTGACCTGTTATCCTCCTTAACAGCCTGAAGAGCAGCAGTCGTCGCCGTCGTCAAAAAAGACCCAGTCTGGAGATTGGCATAGAAGTGGAAGTAGAACTTGTTCACAGTCTCATTAGGTAAAGGCCAGGCATACAGAAGTACACACTCTGCCCCTGTATCAGTACATAGATGATCATAATGTCAGTCATCAGTTATATGTGCTACAGGACTAGGACAAGGAGCTGTTAAAGAACCGCCTTGTTCCCTTCTCACTATAAACTTCCACTGTGTTATAAGAACTATAAGTTGACTTTGCAGTCATTGAAACTTCACACTCTAATTTTCTACTAGTGTTATAAGAATGTCTTTTCTATAAATCAAATAACCTTTGAAAAGGCCTTATGGTTTCATTAGAAATCTATGGTCTTGGAAGTCATTCATCCCAGCATGGCCAGGGAATAAATTGGTAACAATACAAACTGAATAATTCTTCTTAAAGGATATCAACTTTTAATTGATTTTATTGTAAAAGGATAAGAGATCACAGCTATAGCAATAATTTTGATTCTGGTTGTCTGCTTTCAGAAACTCTATCTGAACTTTTTACATACCATTGAACTAAATACATGTTTTATGTTATCATTGTTACAAAGATTATTTAAGATAACTTGACAAATACCATCGAGATCAAAGAATTGATAAGTGGCAAGAATGCCCTTACCTGCTGCAAGGAATGCACTAGCCAGCTCATAACCAGGGTTGATGGTCTCTTTAAGTCTGTAGGGACTATAACCTACATTTAGTGTGACCAGTTCTGCTGACAACTTCAGATCTAGAATATCTTCTACAGTGACCAGATAGGATGGCTCCTTAGGGGGACCCTCCACCAGCTGGACAGGGCTGGGGCTCAACACCAGCAATCCTTCCTTGAAACATCCATACGTAGCTGAAAACACGAAGTAATGAAGCTGCATGAAATCAGGTCTTGTCATTACTCAATGGACATGTATCACGTTTTATATAAAGGAATTTTAACACAGTATTAGACACTGAACACAAAAGACAAGCAAAACTGCTAAATACCATGTTCCAACTGTCAAGAGAAAATGTGATAATAGCCAGAATGTGACATAAACAGTTGACACATTTTTTCAGACGTGAATTTTCTGATGCATCAAACTGAATTATTTCTTATGTCATTTGTTTGAAAACATAAAAAAGATGCAATTTGCTTTGATTTTCCAATGAGGAACGTCATGAAAGGACTATTTTCTGTTCATTGATGATATTTTCAAGATATATATAGTTGTATGGTTTCTTAAATCTCCAAAATTAATGCATCATAGAACTCTTCAAAAATAACAACTTAAACCGTATATATATATATCAGCAAAAGTGATACAGCATTTTAGATTGTACAGTCTTTAAAGAGCAGTACCTATGTGCAGCACAGTGGCCTTTGGTGCATCCTGAAGGAAGCGTGCTTTAGTTGCCTCAGGACCTGTGATAGCATCTACATCTAAATACGAGGCAACAGTTTTACACTCCTGATGTGCCCAATCCAGATCCAACAGGGAGGGGCGCCACTCACGTCCATGTAACAGTAACCTGCAAGTACACTTTTGATCTGTAAAACGCCTGTTACATACATAATACAGGTAGACAGGTCAACAGGAAAGGAAGTCCTTTAGGTATACTGTATAGAAATGGAAGTTGAACCTTTCTCATGTATTTCAAACACACATATTTTAGTGGTGAATCTATTTTGGTGGTAAATTTATTTAAGTGCTGTTTACACCCAAAGTATTGCACTAAAATAGGACTGCATTAATTGCTGTCTCAGATGTCATTCATAAAGCAACATAGTATCTCCCTAACTTACTTTTCTGGGAACTGTAGTATCTCCCTAACTTACTTTTCTGGGAACTGTAGTATCTCCCTAACTTACTTTTCTGGGAACTGTAGTATCTCCCTAACTTACTTTTCTGGGAACTGTAGTATCTCCCTGGGAACTGTAGTATGTCCCTCTCCCTAACTTACTTTTCTGGAACTGTAACTGTAGTATCTCCCTAACTTACTTTTCTGGGAACTGTAGTATCTCCCTAACTTACTTTTCTGGGAACTGTAGTATCTCCCTAACTTACTTTTCTGGGAACTGTAGTATCTCCCTAACTTACTTTTCTGGGAACTGTAGTATCTCCCTGGGAACTGTAGTATCTCCCTAACTTACCTTTCTGGGAACTGTAGTATCTCCCTAACTTACTTTTCTGGGAACTGTAATCTCCCTGGGAACTGTAGTATCTCTGGGAACTGTAGTATGTCCCTAACTTACTTTTCTGGGAACTGTAGTATCTCTCTGGGAACTGTAGTATCTCCTTTTCTGGGAACTGTAGTATCTCCCTAACTTACTTTTCTGGGAACTGTAGTATCTCCCTGGGAACTGTAGTATCTCCCTAACTTACTTTTCTGGGAACTGTAGTATCTCCCTGGGAACTGTAGTATCTCCCGAACTTACTTTTCTGGGAACTGTAGTATCTCCCTAACTTACTTTTCTGGGAACTGTAGTATCTCCCTAACTTACTTTTCTGGGAACTGTAGTATCTAGTATCCCTAACTTACTTTTCTGGGAACTGTAGTATCTCCCTGGGAACTGTAGTATGTCCCTAACTTACCTTTCTGGGAGCTGTAGTATCTCCCTGGGAACTGTAGTATCTCCCTAACTTACTTTTCTGGGAGCTGTACTATCTCCCTGGGAACTGTAGTATCTCCCTAACTTACTTTTCTGGGAACTGTAGTATCTCCCTAGCTTACTTTTCTGGGAACTGTAGTATCTCCCTGGGAACTGTAGTATCTCCCTAACTTACTTTTCTGGGAACTGTAGTATCTCCCTGGGAACTGTAGTATCTCCCTAACTTACTTTTCTGGGAACTGTAGTATCTCCCTGGGAACTGTAGTATCTCCCTGGGAACTGTAGTATCTCCCTAACTTACTTTTCTGGGAACTGTAGTATCTCCCTAACTTACTTTTCTGGGAACTGTAGTATCTCCCTGGGAACTGTAGTATCTCCCTAACTTACTTTTCTGGGAACTGTAGTATCTCCCTGGGAACTGTAGTATGTCCCTAACTTACTTTTCTGGGAACTGTAGTATCTCCCTAACTTCTTTTCTGGGAACTGTAGTATCTCCCTAACTTACTTTTCTGGGAACTGTAGTATCTCCCTGGGAACTGTAGTATCTCCCTAACTTCTTTTCTGGGAACTGTAGTATCTCCCTACCTTACTTTTCTGGGAACTGTATTATCTCCCTGTGAACTGTAGTATCTCCCTAACTTACTTTTCTGGGAACTGTAGTATCTCCCTAACTTACTTTTCTGGGAACTGTAGTATCTCCCTGGGAACTGTAGTATCTCCCTAACTTACTTTTCTGGGAACTGTAGTATCTCCCTGGGAACTGTAGTATCTCCCTAACTTACTTTTCTGGGAACTGTAGTATCTCCCTAACTTACTTTTCTGGGAACTGTATCTCCCTAACTTACTTTTCTGGGAACTGTAGTATCTCCCTAACTTACTTTTCTGGGAACTGTAGTATCTCCCTGGGAACTGTAGTATCTCCCTGGGAACTGTAGTATCTCCCTAACTTACTTTTCTGGGAACTGTAGTATCTAACCTTTTCTGGGAACTGTAGTATCTCCCTAACTTACTTTTCTGGGAACTGTAGTATCTCCCTGGGAACTGTAGTATCTCCCTAACTTACTTTTCTGGGAACTGTAGTATCTCCCTAACTTACTTTTCTGGGAACTGTAGTATCCCCCTGGGAACTGTAGTATCTCCCTAACTTACCTGTAGTATCCCCCTGGGAACTGTAGTATCTCCCTAACTTACTTTTCTGGGAACTGTAGTATCCCTGGGAACTGTAGTATCTCCCTAACTTACTTTTCTGGGAACTGTAGTATCTCTTACCTGGGAGCTGTAGTATTTTCCTGGGAACTGTAGTATCTCCCTAACTTACTTTTCTGGGAACTGTAGTATCTCCCTGGGAACTGTAGTATCTCCCTAACTTACTTTTCTGGGAACTGTAGTATCTCCCTAACTTACTTTTCTGGGAACTGTAGTATCTCCCTAACTTACTTTTCTGGGAACTGTAGTATCTCCCTAACTTACTTTTCTGGGAACTGTAGTATCTCCCTGGGAACTGTAGTATCTCCCTAACTTACTTTTCTGGGAACTGTAGTATCTCCCTGGGAACTGTAGTATCTCCCTGGGAACTGTAGTATCTCCCTAACTTACTTTTCTGGGAACTGTAGTATCTCCCTGGGAACTGTAGTATCTCCCTGGGAACTGTAGTATCTCACTAACTTACTTTTCTGGGAACTGTAGTATCTCCCTAACTTACTTTTCTGGGAACTGTAGTATCTCCCTAACTTACTTTTCTGGGAACTGTAGTATCTCCCTGGGAACTGTAGTATCTCCCTGGGAACTGTAGTATCCCCCTGGGAACTGTAGTATCTCCCTGGGAACTGTAGTATCCCCCTGGGAACTGTAGTATCTCCCTGGGAACTGTAGTATCTCCCTGGGAACTGTAGTATCTCCCTGGGAACTGTAGTATCTACTTTTCTTTTTCCCTGGGAACTGGGAACTGTAGTATCTCCCTGGGAACTGTAGTATCTCCCTAACTTACCTTTCTGGGAACTGTAGTATCTCCCTGGGAACTGTAGTATCTCCCTGGGAACTGTAGTATCTCCCTGGGAACTGTAGTATCTCCCTAACTTACTTTTCTGGGAACTGTAGTATCTCCCTGGGAACTGTAGTATCTCCCTAACTTACTTTTCTGGGAACTGTAGTATCCCCCTGGGAACTGTAGTATCTCCCTAACTTACTTTTCTGGGAGCTGAGGATTTCCAATCACCATACATCTGTCATGACTGGAAACCTGCTCAAACTGTGTGACACATTGTGATGAGGTGGTAATATCTGTACCAGTGGAGGTCCTTGTTGTAAGAGTTGAATAGTTGTGGATGTTTAGCATTTTGTCTGGGAGAACAGGGTTACCTACTGCTGGTGGTGCTGCTACCTGTTGGGAGAGTGACACTACAGGTATATGTTGTAAACTGGCTGTGTCCGTGCCAGAAAACTCTGAGATTCCCGGTAATATCTGTGTTGACTGCCGCGTTGTCTTTTTACTGACTTCGTCTGTCAGCTTTGTATTGTCTCTGACTGGTGTTTTTGTTCTTGACATATTGGAAGTCACTAGTCGAGGGTTGGACACTTTTTTAAGGTCAAAAATTGCTTCTGATGACAACACACTGGAGTTTTCCCCTGGAGTTGTACTAGCTGACGGCAGCATCAGTGATAATACCTTACTGAGCCCACCCTTTCGTGCCTGAGTCCGTTCAAACTCCAAATCATCCTTAGCTCGTAGGTGATTCAGTTCATTATGAACAACTTTCTCCAATGCAAGCAGACTTGGGAGGTAAGTAATGCGAAACCGGTCATACAAATACCTACAATCAAAGTACACAGTAACATCATTTAGTTGTACAAGTCATATTGACTACCAATCCTAATGAATAACACAGAAGTGGGTTAACACAATCACTTTATCTCTAGATACAGGTTGCTACAGTACAGTGGGTCAGTGGATGCCGGTTGCTACAGTACAATGGGTCTGTGAATGCTGGTTGCTAGAGTACAATGGGTCTGTGGATGCTGGTTGCTACAGGGACAGTGGGTCAGTGGATGTAGGTTTCTACGAGTCAGTGGATGTATGTTTCTACAGGGACGGTGAGTCAGTGGATGTAGGTTTCTACAGGGACAGTGGGTCAGTTGATGTAGGTTTCTACAGGGACAGTGGGTCAGTTGATGTAGGTTTCTACAGGGACAGTGAGTCAGTGGACGTAGGTTTCTACAGGGACAGTGAGTCAGTGGATGTTAGTTTCTACAGGGACAGTGAGTCAGTGGATGTTAGTTTCTACAGGGACAGTGAGTCAGTGGATGTAGGTTTCTACAGGGACAGTGGGTCAGTTGATGTAGGTTTCTACAGGAACAGTGAGTCAGTGGATGTAAGTTTCTACAGGGACAGTGAGTCAATGGATGTAAGTTTCTACAGGGACAGTGAGTCAGTGGATGTAGGTTTCTACAGGGACAGTGGGTCAGTTGATGTAGGTTTCTACAGGGACAGTGAGTCAGTGGATGTAGGTTTCTACAAGGACAGTGGGTATGTGATATGATATTGAGATGATTACCTGGAGTACCAGTCCTGCAGGATTCCAAACGGACAGTGGTGGAGATATTTGTCTGGAACAATGATGAGTGGACTCTTAGACTCCAATTTTATCAGGATATCCTCCACCGGTGCCAGTAAAAGATCAAACAGCCGGCGAGCTGGTGTTTTCAAAGGAATATCCACGGATTTATCCTCGTCTGACTTTTGTGATTTACCATCTGATTTCCCTAACATCATGTTCTTTTTCCTTACTAATTCCAGTTCAAGATCTTTTGGAGGCAAGCATCTGTTCTCACATGAGTTTTGTAAAGACTTATGATCTGTATATGTCCTCAGCTCATCTAGGGTGTCTTTTACCTGTAAAAGCATTTATCTCTGATTGTTTAAACCAGACTTAATAATGACCTGACATCATTAGTATCTCTATCCATCATTTGACCTATAATATGAAGTCTACATTCTATGACATATATACCTGATTTTTAGACAAGATGATAAATCTAGACCTCAATGTGATATGACACTAAGCTAATGTTATATCAGTTTGTATGACCTGCCACAAAAATATGTATTCTTGTTGAAAATCCCTTACTAAGTTTTAGAATTTACAATGCCGTAACAACATTATGTACAGGACATTTGACATTCCATTTAAACTGTGGCTTGTAAAAGAAAGATTTTATTGTACGGTTACATATGACATGTATGGCTATAAAATATATTCAAGGCTGTGAACTAGATAACAATATTTCTAATGTGTATAAACCTAATGTTCCCTTGTTAATTTGATTCATTCACCGACTGGACAATCCTGAAAACCGACTACACAACAATCACAAGAAGTATCACTACTGAAGACGATTCCCTAATCATCCCAAAAACAAGTATGTGGCTGCAACTCATTGCCAAAAGACATTCATTTTCATTGATAAGTTTGAATGTCAAATGAGAGAAGAATAAATGAAATTTTACAACATCCAGATCACCATGTGTTCCCCTTTAGTTGAGTATGGAGTGACACTGACCTGCTCTACCATGTCCATGTCATCGTCTGCCTTGCGAGAGTAGAACCTGACAATGCCCTGACCAGGTGCTATCACCCAAAGTAATAAGTGACTGTTGATGAGGGAGTAGTACAGAATATAAGCACTCTGTTGGCTCACTACTCGGTTGATACGGTCCAGAGTCCACACTTCAAGCACTGACCCATGACTGTATCCGGTAAGTCCGGAGGACAGCGACCCCAAATAGCCAGCCTGCTGGGTCAGATGACGCCGTCGGTACATCTCCGCAAATTGTAGACATTCATCCTTATTGCCCAGTTTGGCAAGAACACATTGCATACCATCGTAACACTTGACTAACTGTTGGTGGTACTCTGATGGACAATGTGTGTCCTCATCCAGATGTTCACGGATTTTCATTTCTAGAAATGGAATTAGTTTTGAAAAATACTTCCTGGCTAGCTCAATGTCCATCATTTGTGTTGATTGTTGTTTGATGCAGGCAATGTTGAATTCACACAGTGTCTGAATATCAGAAAATAAGTAGTCTTGAGCGAGATCATAGGCCTGCTCATAGTAATGTATACTATACTGGTTCCTCTTCAGGTCACGAAAGGCGTTACCAATTTTACACAAAGCAGTAGCCTTTCCGCGATAGTCTGTCCTTATACATGTTTTATACATGGCTTCGTACTGCAGCACTGCTGCCTCAGAGTCTCCCTTCAACATGTATGTGTCAGCCAACATTTCTCTGGAGATCATCATCATTCTAGTGTCATTTGATTTATCAGCGATTGAAATGTATTGATCATGATATGTAACAGACAGTTTCCAGTTGCGCAGAGCTGCATACACACTGCCCAGGCACCCATACGCCTGAGCCACCCCTTTCTTATCTCCAGCTTCTTTTGAGGTTTTAAGATACATCTCATAATTTTTCAAGGCCTCCCTGTAATTTCCAAGTATTTCATTCAGCATGCCTGCGTTGTGGTATGACTCACCAATTATTTTGCCTGTCAGGTTGTATTTGTCCAGCAGATTTGTGTACTGTCTGGCATGCACTACAGCACTGTGCATGTTACCAATAGACTTGTAGGCTATGCTAAGATTCAGATGGAGGCCACACTGAAGTTCTCGTGTCCAGAAGTCGGGAACATGATCCTCAGTTCCAAACTCCTCTATAAGTTCTGACTCGAGGTGTAACAACTTTTCATAATACACTATAGCCTGATGTAGATCACCACTCTCCAGGTATAATGTAGCAATGTTCACCAGAGCTTTGGTCTGATAGATCTGTTCATGGGTGGCGATGGCTGTAGACAGACACTCCTGATACAGACTGATGGCTTGCTCACTGTGCTTCATGGCTGAGTGAGCATTTGCCATGGTCAGTAATACACGCATAGTGATGCCCTTCTGATTTGTTTGAAACTTCTGAGCAGACTCTAGCACTTTGACACAAATATCATATTTCTTAGCCTGGAATAAGCATACACCAACCTCACTTAGCTTCTTGTAAGCATCCATATCTTTGAAAAAAATACACAGTACATTTACACAACATGACATGAAAGAGATGTTATTTAATCACAAAGCAGAATTGAAGCAAGAACTTTTACTTGCATACAAATAATAAGACTATCCGTAATCCATTTCAGTCAGGAAAAGGTAAAATGGCAATTTTAGCTATTCAATTTTACGCAGTTGGAAATATGAAATTAACCAGGCCTAAAGTTTATTATATAAAAAATATGTTTACCCAGTAATGTTTCTGCAAGGTCTATAGATAGATTACAGATGTTGCCAACCACAGCAGCAATGTGATCGGTAATGTCCTCAGCATTATCTGGGTCAAGGTCAAGAGCAGTCAGTAAGGCATTAATAGACTCTCGATTTTGTTGCATGTGGAAAAGAGTGATGCCTTGTAATTTGTAAATCTGTAACAGAGTAGAAACAGCTTTATATACCTGTAACAGAGTAGAAACAGCTTTATATACCTGTAACAGAGTAGAAACAGCTTTATATACCTGTAACAGAGTAGAAACAGCTTTATATACCTGTAACAGAGTAGAAACAGCTGTATATATCTGTAACAGAGTAGAAACAGCTTTATATACCTGTAACAAAGTAGAAACAGCTTTATATATCTGTAACAGAGTAGAAACAGCTTTATATACCTATAACAGAGTAGAAACAGCTTTATATACCTGTAACAGAGTAGAAACAGCTTTATATACCTGTAACAGAGTAGAAACAGCTGTATATACCTGTAACAGAGTAGAAACAGCTTTATATACATGTAACAGAGTATAAACAGTTTTATATACCTGTTACAGAGTATAAACAGTTTTATATATCTATAACAGAATATAAACAGTTTTATATACATGTAACAGAATAGAAATCATGTTTTGACAGGGAAAGTGTATCAATATGATAAACCAGACTCTGTTACATTTTCCCGCTCCTAATAGACTACTAAATATCACTCCATGACACAATGTCTGAGTATCTCCCTCTCTAACAAGTACCTCTGGGTTGTCTGCCTCAATCAGGATCATTTGTTCTGTATCACGGAGAGCCTTGATGAAGTCTCCCTCCTCAAGATAGGCAGCTGTCCGAGCCATCAGTACGTCTACATTTTTGTCATCTATCTCAAGAGCTTCGTTGTAAAGTTTTATTGCTTCTCCATAGTCATGGATGTGCATGGCTTCATCTCCTCTCTCCTTCAGTGTTTTCACCTACAAAGACATAGACCATCATAAGATATCTGCCTGTAGTGTTTTATAATTTTTTCCTGTTTATTTTCTGTCAGTAAGCTAGTAAGCCTTACACCTATTCACTGTAAAGGTGGTCAAATTGTGTTTAAATTTTCATATACATGTACAACACAAAGGTGGGTTTTTTCACAAATTAAATATATGACATACCTCAAGGAGTTCTTCTGCTTCACTGATAGGCTCGCTACCTTCAGCAAGGCTAGGCATGCTGAAGCTGTGAGACAGGTTGGTTCCGAAGTGACTACCCCGCTCCATATTTTCTTGTCCTTAATTAGCTCTTCGCGTAGTATGTGCGGTTATAATTCAAGTCCATTCTGAAAGCCCTACAACATAACATGTATCAACTATTGTAAACAAATTATTAGCTGACGCATGTATCTGGTTTGAGATGCAGTTGATTAATAGGTTATAACTTGCTTTATCACGAAAGTTTCTTTTAATTTCGATGTACTTTCTTTTCTTCAAGCCTGTCATAACCTTAACAGGTACTTGTTGTGTAGTGCCACCGAAAACAGTTGACGTGACTATAAGGGTACAGATTTAATTGCAAATAGATGGAATAAACTTTTATGAATATGCATTAAACTGTTGCATTACCTCTGTAATAAGACATCACTGCCATTTCGTGTCAAACCACCATAACATGATATGGTCGATTGCCGACTGAAACTACCGGAAGTGTTCGTTACTATACACAACATTGTAATCGATCTTCGCTCGAACAAGTACAAAGTATCAATCGAACCTAATTTTAGCAAAAAGCTTTGATCGGTATCATCACAAAAATTACATTTTAAGCGAGTATTAAAACTACAAACAGAAATATTATTCAACTAAAAGCTAGCTTTGTCGCAAAGCCAACAGTAAAGCGGTAACTTTGCAGCAAATTGAAATGTGTGTTATTTACTCAAACCTGTAACGGGTTATTTACCGAGCCTTGTACTTGTTGAAAATTGTAGTGCTCGCTTAAACCATCTTGCGTCAATATTTACATGTGATCATTTTAGATTAGATTAAATCAATGAAGGCGACATAAACAGTGTGTCAACATTTTGAATTTGCATTAAAAATGTTCGCTCCGTTGAAAAGTACAGCGTAGCTTCATTTTAACCAATATCACCATATTTACTTAACTTGAAATAGGATGCAACAGGCACTCAAATTTTTGACATTGTTATTAATATACGAATTTCAATATGATAAATGTAACAAAGGAGCAAGAAAACTAATAGAAAATGAAAATAGCATTGCACCTCATCTGTTTCAAATCCTCATTTACTATCAACACCTTCTTTGGGTTAATACTACGTGAACCTAAAGCTCGTTCGCACCTGTCACCTCGGCGATGATGCTCAATATGACAGCCACAGTGGGAAAAATAACTAATTACGGATATCCACGATTTGTTATCTTTATATATCTATAATTCAATTTCATTTATGGATATTCAAAATCTATTTATGAATATTTATAACCATCCCGAATTCTTCTAGATTAAGAAATAATTTGTTGGTGGCCATAAATGAATTGTGTACAATGTATATCAATAGATCAGTTTCATCAATCTGTATGTACGAGGAGGTCTGAAATACAACAGGTGTTAAAATCGGTTTGTGAATATCTAAAGGAAAATATTTAAATTTGATTTTTAAAAATGAGTGTAGAGATTACTTTTAAGTTAAAGTGTGTTGTGTACGCTGCGAGTATTTCCTGGTATCGATAACAATAAATCGATATAGCGCGCGCATTACAAATATGTGAATCAGAGGCACTGTTCTGGACTTACATAATTACCTTATAGTGGGTAAGACGTGAAACAGCGTTTGTTTACAAATTAAGATGACTGGAACACAAGAATGCGAATCAGAAGGGAGAAAATGGTATCACTAGGAATTTCTTGTCACAAGGAACACCTATGTCAAGTATGAAAGCCCCGATCTCTTACAATGCAATAGTTATGAAGGTTGAAGGTGGATCCCTTCCTCAGATCAGTCACGCACGTGTGCATATAAACCAATATGCTAATTATATATAATGATAGCAATTTTCTGTCAGAGGATTTTCGCAAAAGGAAATTGTACAAAGTCATAAGACCTAGCATGAAAGATTGGAGCTAGAATGTCAGTTGCATCATAAAGTGTACTTGGTGGCTTCGTCCCCTCTGGACCACGTACGCAGTACCTACGATTTAGATACATGTAGTTGTTATGTGGTGACATCTATGTTTTTACAGGAGGCAGCACGGAATACGTTATTAACAACACGATATTCTGATACTGTATACACCGATATTATAACCACCTGAAGAAGGCAGCACGCCATTATTGCCCTCATCCAATTGCAAACGACCATAATATCTTGGATAAGATCGAGTTTCAGGTTTGTTAGGTCAAGGTCATTGATACTACTGCCAGATCCACTCCTGGGTGGATTTTCATCCGATTCCACACACTCATAAAGCGCCCAATGTTTTAGAACAAGTTTGAACTTCAGGGTTGCTGGGTCAAGGTCAACGTGAGTATTTTTAGAAAATCGAGTGGCTTCATACCTTGAAGGATTTTGACCAAACTTCGCCCGCTGAAAGACCGAAAGGTCGTAATAGTGGACGTAAAACCCGTTAAAATAAAGGAATAAATACATAGATAACTAGACCAAACTTCACACACTTTTAAAACGTGAAGGGGTCATCAAGACCGCAACGTAATTTCATGACCGTAACGCAATATATTTTTTTTAAATGATAAAAAACATAAACACCATCAGAAATTTAGAACGTTCTAATATACATTTTTCGAGAACTTGTCACCTGTAACACAACTTTCAAGTGTAATATATTATGGTAAGAGTATAAGCAAATAGCTAAAAATCAAAATTAACTAATACGGGAAGCTTGTTTTCATATCTTCCCAATAAATTCAGTTTGTATAGGATTTAAAATACAGTATATCAGATTTTTATCGAAAATAAAAAAAATTGAGATAAAAACAAAAAAATTGAGTTCACGCGTATTTATTTTGGTGTTGCGGTCATGACATTATTTTAAAAATAATGACAATCTTCATAATTTTTTAAGGATAGTAAATACGACCAATCGCGGCCAACTTTAGAAAAAGATAATACCAATGTGTAAAAGTTTCATGAAACAACTTTTATTATAAAGAAGATTTGGCTGTATATTTTTACCTGTTGGTGGTATTTTCACCTAAATTTCTGGAATGACCCGAAGGTGTCGCTCACGGAACCTTCAACTTTGCCATGACATGATTCAGGGGTGCAGAGAGCGAAAGTGACTGTAACCCCTGGAGTATTGAGGATGACAAGAAGGTCTTCCAAGCCGAGCGGTAATTTTACAAGCATTACAATCAGATAGTGATAACGTAAGAAATATACATCGATCTGTCGTGGATTGACATGCGTTAGCGCGCAACAGCAAAGTCTAAATATCATTTCTCTACTTCCATGATGCTGGGAATGTCTGACAAATAAAGTATCTTATTCCGTTTATCACTGTCGGTCAATGGACATATAGAAGGTGGTCAAATTGAGTTTGATTGGTCATTATATAATTATTACAGAAGGCCAACAGTAACTAAATAACTGGTAATCGTCTCGACCATGGCGTCTTACTGAAAATATGTAAATGCATCACTTGTTATATCACGAGCTTAAAATAGATTCCATGTCCGTGGTTACGCCCAGTCGGAAGATATGAGTTGTCACTACCCGAGGTTCCAACGTAAAGAAACGACAGTGACTAGATTTTACTAGGCAGGTTTCACTGGTAAAACAGGAGTTCAATGTCTACCGAACTATTTACTTTCAACAGAAACATTAAATCTCTGTGTAAAATGTGACTTTGGAAGTGTTTGGAATGACAATTTGTCTAGTGGGTAAGTCCTACCTCTCCGGTCAACTCTTTGAACTGGGGCATTTCATGGGATTATATTTCTTGAAATTTATCATTTATTTTGAGATAGAGCACATCATCTCCTGGAATTTTCTTCAATCGTATTCAGCATACGTTGGCTGAACTGTTTAAAGTGATGCATATTTTGTGGTATTACAGTTATATTACGCTTCACATGAATGGATTCACCTGACACACCTAGAGAGATTTACTTCGTGTGCTGAGTAGTATATATGTCTCCCACAAAATTGAAAGTAGAAAATATATCGGGACACGTGTAAGTATTCTGTGTTTATTCTGCCAGCTTTATAACAAAACTACAACGTTGTATTTATGATGATCTTACTAAGTTAGTCAGTAAACAAGACGCCATATTGTCTATAGCACTGTACAATATAAAGTGTACTGGAATTCAAAATTGCAATAGACATATCGACTGACCGAGTATAGGCAATTGACATCATCTTAAATTAACACAATCCGTGTTAAAATCCAAATTTCACTGTAAATAGTATGTATAATGTACATGTAGTCTTATCAACTGAGCTAAACGTGACCATCAGTAGACATCGGCCTAGTCCTGCTACAATCCGCCATCATACCCTGAAGATTAGACAAAGGTCTTTGTCAATTTTCTTAGTACAGTAATTTAATTAAGAAAGACTTTAACTAAGAGGTCATGGTAATACACTTTATTGATACCAGTGACATTTAGTAATTTAATAGGTAATGTTTCAATCGAAATCCCAATTTATGGTAAGGCCCATTCACTTGACTTCCTTTTATGGAGTTAGACTTGTGAATGTCATGGTAGTGTGAGAATACAGATAAACCAGACAAAATCTACATTGAAAAAATCAACACCAAGCCATGTTGCTGAGAATCTTACAACTAGACAAGTATTTAAGTATACTGTAAGTTCAAGGTCAATGCCATCATTACAACTGTTAGAAAATCCTTGCCAACACTTGATTGGTGTTTTTCATGGAAAGATTTCCATAGAAATTTTACATTCATAGAAAGTCCTTGTCAATACTTGGGTGGTTTCATTTCTTGAGGGAATTTGTATCACTTGCAAATGCCTTGTTTATCTAAGAAAGTTTATGAAATAAGAAAAATATGGATTAATATTAACCACATTTGTAGACCATTTGTAAACTTTGACCCCTACTTGACCTTTTGATCTGAAGTTCTAAAATTAAGTGTATCTCTGGCACCATATCATGTATAATTCCAGACATATATTTGTTTAGGTGCATAAAGAGAAGTTGTGGGTCATATAATTTCAGGCTTCTGTTTGAAAACACTTGACTGGATTTATAATTTTGACCTAATGCATCAACATAAAAGTTTCTCCCGCGGTATATGCAGCTGTAGAAGGTGCAGGCAGGTCATATAGAAAGCTTAAAGCAGGAACATCAGTATAACGTCACATACCCAAATAAGGTAAATATCCCCCAGGGCGCCCGTAGTGGGGATATAACAGTGCGATCTCACGTACATATGTTCACTTTTTGTCACCACTCTAGCAACTTGATTTCTCAACTGATTTTAATTAAACTTCATATATTGGCCTGGTGTCATAATACCTTGAAAGAGGATGTGTTTCAGTGTGCCAGGGTCAACCTTAAGGTCACCGTTACTATTTATAGAAAATTGTAGAAGCAACACAACTTCATTATAAATGGTAGCATGGGGATTGGTTGTTTCCAACAAAAAAAGAAATGCATAGTAGAAGTAGAACTGTTCCATGGTGAAGTTTCCGATTGGAGACTAACTTGGAGATAAGGATGACTTGTATCTGATCCTATGTTTTCTTTACTTTAGTGTTTACAAGTATGGATGAAGAAGAGCCTATGGATATTTCTGGGGAATCTTTCTCTCTGGGAAGTCCAACAAGATTACAGAGAAATTCTGCCAGTAGGATCCTTCCACGTCGACAGTCCTTTCCCTTAAAACAGCATTCCAGATCCGAAGATCGTCAGTTCTCAACAAACAGGACTCCCAAACGTATATCATTGTCATCCTTGCAGTCAAAATCAAGGTTAGATGGCACAAAGGGATATTCCGTTAGTGCAGCTCAACATTTCCATCCCAGTTCTAGAGACCTGCCACCTTCATTGAGTGAACAAATCCGTACCCATTCAACGCCAATCAGGAGTTTGAGCGATCGGTATGAACGATCATCAAAAGTAACACATCGACATCACAAACACCAGTCCTCTTGTGTGGAGGAGGAAGACGAGGATCAGTATAGAAGTCGCAAAAGCCACCGCAGAAACATCGAAAGGAAACGTTCAGAACCATATATCAGTATCAAACAAAAGTTGTCGTTCATGGCATTTCTAGTTGTGTTGTTTATCATCATCAATATCGTTTACAGAGCAAGACCGGGGCAGTGTAAAGTAACAGTTGACATCCCAAAGCTAAAGGAACATCTAAAGAAGAATGTGTTTGGTCAGCACATAGCCTCAGGGTTAGTGATGTCACTGGCGAAGAACCTGTCAATACACTTCCGTAAGTCATTGAACAACTCCCAGACGGTTGTGTCATTTCATGGCTGGTCAGGTATAGGGAAAAACCACATGGCTAATATACTAAAACAAACGTTTAAACCAGTGAAGGTTAAAACTTTCCTGGTACCATTACACTTTCCTCATCAGTCTCAGGACCAGGATTACAAGGCACTGATCCCACTATGGATAAAAACCAATATATCCTTATGTAGCATGAGTGTGTTTATTTTCGATGAGATGGACAAAGCTACTGACGGTGTAATTCAGGGACTCCGTACGGCATTGACAGATATCAAGAATTCCAATATAACAACAAGGGTTTGGACTTTGTTCATTCTATTGAGTAATAGCAGAGGTTCTGATATCAACAACTATTTATTCTCACAGCTAGGGAACGGCCATGAAAGGGAAAATCTAACACATGAAGAGTTCATCCCTACCCTCACCAACAGTGCTGAAGGGAGCTGGTATACATCTCTCCTCGAAGACGGACTCATCACACACACAGTACCATTTCTGCCTCTCACTCGGGCACATGTAAAAAGCTGTATCATCCGGGACTTATACCTGAAAAATATGGTTCCCAACAAGGAAACAATAGATAATATTCTGAAGGAGCTTCCGTTTAACCAACCATGGAAGGACAGTGACCTTTACTCAACAACAGGCTGTAAAAGGGTATCTTCTAAAGTCGACCTACACATGGACGACTGACAACAGGCTGTTATTTGACCTACACATGGACGACTGACAGCAGACTGTTATTTGACCTACACATGGACGACTGATGACTGACAACAGACTGTTATTTGACCTACACATGGACGACTGACAACAGACTGTTATTTGACCTACACATGGACGACTGATGACTGACAACAGGCTGTTATTTGACCTACACATGGACGACTGATGACTGACAACAGACTGTTATTTGACCTACACATGGACGACTGACAACAGACTGTTATTTGACCTACACATGGACAACTGACAACAGGCTGTTATTTGACCTACACATGGACAACTGACAACAGGCTGTTATTTGACCTACACATGGACTGACAACAGGCTGTTATTTGACCTACACATGGACGACTGACAACAGACTGTTATTTGACCTACACATGGACGACTGACAACAGACTGTTATTTGACCTACACATGGACGACTGACAACAGGCTGTTATTTGACCTACACATGGACGACTGATGACTGACAACAGACTGTTATTTGACCTACACATGGACGACTGACAACAGACTGTTATTTGACCTACACATGGACGACTGACAACAGACTGTTATTTGACCTACACATGGACGACTGACAACAGGCTGTTATTTGACCTACACATGGACGACTGACAACAGACTGTTATTTGACCTACACATGGACGACTGACAACAGACTGTTATTTGACCTACACATGGACGACTGACAACAGACTGTTATTTGACCTACACATGGACGACTGACAACAGGCTGTTATTTGACCTACACATGGACGACTGATGACTGACAACAGGCTGTTATTTGACCTACACATGGACGACTGATGACTGACAACAGACTGTTATTTGACCTACACATGGACGACTGACAACAGGCTGTTATTTGACCTACACATGGACGACTGACAACAGACTGTTATTTGACCTACACATGGACGACTGACAACAGACCGTTATTTGACCTACACATTAACAACTGACAACAGACTGTTATTTGATTGACAGGTCTAGTGCTTTGACAAACTGAACAGTGTCCTGACATGATAGGCAAATTTTTACATTCAGTTCATTTTTTGAAATAAATATACATTTGTTTATCTTGGTGTACATTTTTGTGAGAATGGCATACTGTTGGAACAATATTAGTATACTTGAGACCAAACCAATCAGCTGAAAGCATGAGACAATAAGGAACCAAAGAACTGCCATTCCACCATGAAAATGAAATATTGTGTTAATATACATGTACCTTATTCTGTATATTTTTGTGTTTTGTTTTCTTACTTGCTGAACTGAATTGCAGTGATTGGTTTAAGTTGAAAAAAAACCATCTATTTATTTAAGAATATGTGTTAAACTTTACTACATAATTCATTGTTGCCGTATTCAAAAGCCCCCTCCCTTAGTGTAAAAATTTGTTATCATAGTTTGGAGATGGCTTATTTGTGGACCACCATGCTGGCTATTTTAAAATTGATGATTCTGCAAAAATGAAGAAGAATCCTTATTTATTGTCTAGGGCTAAGAAGTAGAATCCTTATTTATTGTCTGGGGCTAAGAAGTAGAATCCTTATTTATTGTCTAGGACTAAGAAGAAGAATCCTTATTTATTGTCTAGGGCTAAGAAGAAGAATCCTTATTTATTGTCTGGGGTTAGAAGAAGAATCCTTATTTATTGTCTGGGGCTAAGAAGTAGAATCCTTATTTATTGTCTGGGGCTAAGAAGTAGAATCCTTATTTATTGTCTGGGGTTAAGAAGTAGAATCCTTATTTATTGTCTGGGCTAAGAAGTAGAATCCTTATTTATTGTCTGGGGCTAAGAAGTAGAATCCTTATTTATTGTCTGGGGTCTAAGAAGTAGAATCCTTATTTATTGTCTGGGGTTAAGAAGTAGAATCCTTATTTATTGTCTGGGGCTAAGAAGAAGAATCCTTATTTATTGTCTAGGGCTAAGAAGTAGAATCCTTATTTATTGTCTGGGGCTAAGAAGAAGAATCCTTATTTATTGTCTGGGGCTAAGAAGTAGAATCCTTATTTATTGTCTGGGGCTAAGAAGTAGAATCCTTATTTATTGTCTGGGGCTAAGAAGAAGAATCCTTATTTATTGTCTGGGGCTAAGAAGAAGAATCCTTATTTATTGTCTGGGGCTAAGAAGTAGAATCCTTATTTATTGTCTGGGGTTAAGAAGTAGAATCCTTATTTATTGTCTGGGGTTAAGAAGAAGAATCCTTATTTATTGTCTAGGGTTAAGAAGTAGAATCCTTATTTATTGTCTGGGGTTAGAAGAAGAATCCTTATTTATTGTCTAGGGCTAAGAAGAAGAATCCTTATTTATTGTCTAGGACTAAGAAGAAGAATCCTTATTTATTGTCTAGGGCTAAGAAGAAGAATCCTTATTTATTGTCTAGGACTAAGAAGAAGAATCCTTATTTATTGTCTAGGACTAAGAAGAAGAATCCTTATTTATTGTCTAGGACTAAGAAGAAGAATCCTTATTTATTGTCTAGGGCTAAGAAGAAGAATCCTTATTTATTGTCTAGGGCTAAGAAGAAGAATCCTTATTTATTGTCTGGGGCTAAGAAGAATCCTTATTTAAGAATCCTTATTTATTGTCTAGGGCTAAGAAGTAGAATCCTTATTTATTGTCTAGGGCTAAGAAGTAGAATCCTTATTTATTGTCTGGGGCTAAGAAGTAGAATCCTTATTTATTGTCTGGGGTTAAGAAGTAGAATCCTTATTTATTGTCTAGGGCTAAGAAGTAGAATCCTTATTTATTGTCTAGGGCTAAGAAGTAGAATCCTTATTTATTGTCTAGGGGGAATCCTTATTTATTGTCTGGGGATTAGAAGTAGTATCCTTATTGATTGTCTAGGGCTAAGAAGTAGAATCCTTATTTATTGTCTAGGGCTAAGAAGTAGAATCCTCATTTATTGTCTAGGGCTAAGAAGTAGAATCCTTATTTATTGTCTGGGGTTAAGAAGTAGAATCCTTATTTATTGTCTAGGGCTAAGAAGTAGAATCCTTATTTATTGTCTAGGGCTAAGAAGTAGAATCCTTATTTATTGTCTAGGGCTAAGAAGTAGAATCCTCATTTATTGTCTAGGACTAAGAAGTAGAATCCTTATTTATTGTCTAGGACTAAGAAGTAGAATCCTTATTTATTGTCTAGGACTAAGAAGAAGAATCCTTATTTATTGTCTGGGGCTAAGAAGTAGAATCCTTATTTATTGTCTGGGGTTAGAAGAAGAATCCTTATTTATTGTCTGGGGTAAGAAGAAGAAGAAGAATCCTTATTTATTGTCTGGGGCTAAGAAGTAGAATCCTTATTTATTGTCTAGGACTAAGAAGAAGAATCCTTATTTATTGTCTGGGGCTAAGAAGAAGAATCCTTATTTATTGTCTGGGGCTAAGAAGAAGAATCCTTATTTATTGTCTCGGACTAAGAAGAAGAATCCTTATTTATTGTCTGGGGCTAAGAAGAAGAATCCTTATTTATTGTCTGGGGCTAAGAAGTAGAATCCTTATTTATTGTCTAGGGAAGTAGAATCCTTATTTAAGAAGAAGAATCCTTATTTATTGTCTAGGGCTAAGAAGAAGAATCCTTATTTATTGTCTGGGGGAAGAAGAATCCTTATTTAGAATCCTTATTTAGAAGAATCCTTATTTATTGTCTGGGGTTAGAAGAAGAATCCTTATTTATTGTCTGGGGCTAAGAAGAAGAATCCTTATTTATTGTCTGGGGCTAAGAAGAAGAATCCTTATTTATTGTCTGGGGCTAAGAAGAAGAATCCTTATTTATTGTCTGGGGCTAAGAAGTAGAATCCTTATTTATTGTCTAGGGCTAAGAAGTAGAATCCTTATTTATTGTCTAGGGCTAAGAAGAAGAATCCTTATTTATTGTCTAGGGCTAAGAAGAAGAATCCTTATTTATTGTCTAGGGCTAAGAAGAAGAATCCTTATTTATTGTCTGGGGTTAGAAGAAGAATCCTTATTTATTGTCTAGGGCTAAGAAGTAGAATCCTTATTTATTGTCTGGGGTTAAGAAGAAGAATCCTTATTTATTGTCTAGGGCTAAGAAGAAGAATCCTTATTTATTGTCTAGGGCTAAGAAGAAGAATCCTTATTTATTGTCTAGGACTAAGAAGAAGAATCCTTATTTATTGTCTAGGACTAAGAAGAAGAATCCTTATTTATTGTCTGGGGTTAGAAGAAGAATCCTTATTTATTGTCTGGGGTTAGAAGAAGAATCCTTATTTATTGTCTGGGGTTAGAAGAAGAATCCTTATTTATTGTCTGGGGCTAAGAAGTAGAATCCTTATTTATTGTCTGGGGCTAAGAAGAAGAATCCTTATTTATTGTCTGGGGCTAAGAAGTAGAATCCTTATTTATTGTCTAGGGCTAAGAAGTAGAATCCTTATTTATTGTCTGGGGTTAAGAAGAAGAATCCTTATTTATTGTCTGGGGCTAAGAAGTAGAATCCTTATTTATTGTCTAGGGCTAAGAAGAAGAATCCTTATTTATTGTCTAGGGCTAAGAAGAAGAATCCTTATTTATTGTCTAGGACTAAGAAGAAGAATCCTTATTTATTGTCTCGGACTAAGAAGAAGAATCCTTATTTATTGTCTGGGGCTAAGAAGAAGAATCCTTATTTATTGTCTGGGGCTAAGAAGTAGAATCCTTATTTATTGTCTAGGACTAAGAAGAAGAATCCTTATTTATTGTCTAGGACTAAGAAGTAGAATCCTTATTTATTGTCTAGGACTAAGAAGAAGAATCCTTATTTATTGTCTAGGGCTAAGAAGAAGAATCCTTATTTATTGTCTGGGGCTAAGAAGTAGAATCCTTATTTATTGTCTGGGGCTAAGAAGAAGAATCCTTATTTATTATCCGCGGTTAATTATTAGATCAGTAAGTATGATGATTTGATTCTCAATGAGTTCAGTAACAACATAATGTCTGTATCATTGAGTGGAAGGTTATATAATGTACTGTAGTTTTCTTGTATCTGACTTGGAATAGTGATGACAATGAAATCCAACGTCATGTTTATTTTGGTATGTAGAATATACGATCAATGAAGTAATAACGACAGTATGGACAAGTGAACTATCAAATTTTCGAGGCAACCTGCCCCTTTATCAAGACACAAATATTACATAGATTACATCACATACATAGAACATAAAACAAATACAAAGTTATATATATAGATAAGTACTGGTATTTATATCCATGTATATACATTTACAAATTCTGTGCTAACATAGCTCAGACAAAAGCCTAAATGAGCGGGCTTCTGGTCTGTGGAGACTAGCCTCTCTCCTGATGTCGAAGTCTTCTTTCCTTCTCCTGTTCTTATGAGCCAAGAGAAGTTTATTTATACTCAACGTTTGACACATAAGAACTGACAACCTATGTAATGATCTGGTTACAAGATGACATAAGTATTTGGTTTTGATAGATCTTACATGACCAATGTATATGTACTGTGACAGTTGACCAGACATGCCTCAAGGCATATGTCAGTTATGTAAAGGATCACAGGAATCTGGTATTTCAAATCGCTTAAAGGTTTTAACTCAAATAAAATATATATATAATTATAGTTCAGTAGCTAAGTGTGGAAGCATTCTTCTTCCATTAGTAATGTGTAATATAGAATGTAATATGAATACCCAGCCCTAACTTATACCTAGGACACTACAGTTCATTTGGTGGACCTTTCAGAGACATGGTTCAATGCCCACCTGGAGCGGTTTGTGTTTCTAAGGTAAAGATTTGAGATACCAGGGTATGTGGTCTTGTTTGATGACAACCTGGAGTGGTTTGTGTTTCTAAGGTAAAGATTTGAGATACCAGGGTATGTGGTCTTGTTTGATGACAACCTGGAGTGGTTTGTGTTTCTAAGGTAAAGATTTGAGATACCAGGGAATGTGGTCTTGTTTGATGACAACCTGGAGTGGTTTGTGTTTCTAAGGTAAAGATTTGAGATACCAGGGTATGTGGTCTTGTTTGATAACAACCTGGAGTGGTTTGTGTTTCTAAGGTAAAGATTTGAGATACCAGGGTATGTGGTCTTGTTTGATGACAACCTGGGGTGGTTTGTTTCTCAAGTAAAGATTTGAGATACTTGTTTGATGACAACCTGGGGTGGTTTGTTTCTCAAGTAAAGATTTGAGATACCAGGGTATGTGGTCTTGTTTGATGACAACCTGGAGTGGTTTGTGTTTCTAAGGTAAAGATTTGAGATACCAGGGTATGTGGTCTTGTTTGATGACAACCTGGAGTGGTATGTGTTTCTAAGGTAAAGATTTGAGATACCAGGGTATGTGGTCTTGTTTGATGACAACCTGGGATGGTTTGTTTCTAAGGTAAAGATTTGAGATACCAGGGTATGTGGTCTTGTTTGATGACAACCTGGAGTGGTTTGTGTTTCTAAGGTAAAGATTTGAGATACCAGGGTATGTGGTCTTGTTTGATGACAACCTGGGGTGGTTTGTTTCTAAGGTAAAGATTTGAGATACCAGGGTATGTGGTCTTGTTTGATGACAACCTGGAGTGGTTTGTGTTTCTAAGGTAAAGATTTGAGATACCAGGGTATGTGGTCTTGTTTGATGACAACCTGGAGTGGTTTGTGTTTCTAAGGTAAAGATTTGAGATACCAGGGTATATGGTCTTGTTTGATGACCACCTGGAGTGGTTTGTGTTTCTCAGATTTTGAAGTCTGATGCCAACCCAAATGAATACATGTACTTGCATTTTTCTTTTTAGTTTACATGTTGCAGTTTTTGGAATACATGGTGAGGCGATGTGGCGTTACAAGGAAATGGTACATATTTAGGTCAAGATCATACACAAAACATTTAGGTCACTGGGACTAAAAGGACAAGGAAATGGTACATATTTAGGTTGAGATCATTCACAAAACATTTAGGTCACTGGGATTGAAAGGACAAGTAAATGGTACATATTTAGGTCAAGGTCATACACATTTAGGTCACTGGGACTGAAAGGACAAGGAAATGGCACATATTTAGGTCGAGATACACAAAACATTTAGGTCACTGGGACTGAAAGGACAAGTAAATGGTACATATTTAGGTCAAGGTCATACACAAAACATTTAGGTCACTGGGACTGAAAGGAAAAGGAAATAGTACATATTTAGCTCAAGGTCATACACATTCAGGTCACTCTGCGTAAAATAATTGATGTATAAACTCTTTTGTGAAGTTGTATGATTATTCTCAGTACTAGATGGGATGACTTTTTATTTTCATATTTCAGGGTTTTGAAAAAAATAAACACTTCAACAATATACTTTTTGATTGTTTACTTGACTGAAATAGAAAATGGTTTAGCTAAATCATAACTGATCCGATATTACTAGGTGTCAATCTACATGGTTCTGAACCACCAGTTAGTTTACATCTATTAGTGTAAATGTGGACATTTACAAACAGGGTAAATTTTAAAGTAATTTCCCTCACACATGTAAGTCTGTAACATAATACATATCTATGATAACATACATTAGATACATGAAGGTACACTAACCATGAACAATAACCACCAATGTGTACAGTTTGCCTATTGTAACCACTAAATCAACCCCTGACCATGTTTACAGTGTTGGTCCAAACCATCAGCAAGTCCAACATTTTTGACAGATTCAATCTGAATTTGAAATTTTTGTTTATTAAATTTTAATATCCTAACAATAGTCTTTTCACTGATGATGTTTTTTCATATTTCAGTACATTTTTGTTGATGAAACAAAATCCAAGAAATGATTGCAAATCATACTGAGAAAGTGTTTTTCAGGAACTTCTAAACAAAACATCACTAGCCGGAATAGTTTATAAACTAGAGACTAACAGAAAGTCTACTTCACACTAGCTCGTGCATTATGATCATAGTTGTACCGGAAATGAGTGTACTGGTTCAGTAGTTCATGGTCCATCGAGTTTCCTGGTTCCGGTCGAGCAAGCAAGGAGAAGAGGGCATTGACGATTTGCTCCATTGATGTTGCTGCAGGAGACCAGTTATCATCAGTTAAGAATCCAAGACACACTTGGCCAAATGTCTGATGTACATTCAGGTGATAAGGGATGCTGTCTGTGTCAAAGCTAATCTATAACAATTACAAAAACAAGAGTTTCAGTGAAACTGATGAATGTTTCCCAAAAACAACTTCATTGGACATAAAATTTTAACACATTAAAGGCAATTATTCTGCAATTAACGTGTTGCAGGCCCAGAATTCGCTACACTGCATCTTGTTTTTGTATGACTAATGTATACGTCATGTTTCAATATCCTAGTTTAAATATAGGCAGAGTAATGCCCTAGACAAAGTTATACAAAGGGCAATAACTCTGTAATAAGGGGGTAGAGGGCTTTAAATTTGGTACACTGCACATCCCCTTTGAATGACAATGTACACACCAAGTTTCATGGTCATTGCTTAATTGTGGGCAAAGTTATGCTCCGGACACGAAAAGACGGATGAAAAGACAGACGGACAGGCAGACAAGGTGGCAGCTATGATCTCCCAAAAAAAATTTGGGGAGCCTAACAAAGGTCATTATGGTGATGAAATGTACATAAAAACATGCTGATAATGATGACATCGTATTGATTAGCTCTTATCTCTTTAATCCAGATTACAAAAAATGACATCTTTTAACACTTTGCTAGTTCTAGGTTGTGACTAAGGGTAGATACATCAAAACATGTAGCTTTGGGGTATTGGTCAGTCTAATTTTAGACATACAAACTCTCTTTGGAAATTTTGATGATTAACCAAACATTGTACATTGTATGAAGACTCTCCCCGGAGATCAAAGTTCTTTATTGCTGACCGCTGTCCCACTCTAAGCAATTCAGAGCATTCCACTTGAGTTTCCAGCTCACCTAGTCAAATAGGATCTATAGTATATGATGGGGTGGTGTCTCGGTAAGGAGGAACACATTTGATACAGAGGGCCTGGCTTTTCATGGGGAATAGAGATGGAACTCTGTAGGGGATTTTAGAAGTAAATCTGTGTTTGCCTGCCTTCATCTACTGCTTTCTGACAAAAACAACTTACCGTGGGTGGTTTCAGTGGATACTCCTCCCTGACAAAAAGTTAAGGGTTATGTCGCATATTTCAAAGCTGCAATGCTTTGCTGTATTTATCTTATGATGGCTGTAACTTTATAATATGTTTTTGATATAAAAAAAATATCTAAAGTAGACTGGTATCATTTTTTATCGCTTGACATTTTACAAGCAGCCATTCAATGATGCTGACTTAAAATCAAGAGAAAAGATAGGTAACAGGTACAAACGTTTAACTACTACATCACGGTCAGTCAGTCAAGGTATCACTATATAGTGTAAAGGATACGGAATATAAATCTGGGCTGTGAAGGTCCCTCCTGGTGAAAGTAAAACACAGTTTTAACTATTTAGAAAAGTAGCATGAGACATAATTGAATATGACATAAGGCCTTAAAACTGGGGTCAGTAGTCAACAAACACTGGTTTCATTGCATATACACATATATAGCACCATTACATCAGGGCAACAACATCTATTTATATTTCATTGTGAACAGAGAAAAGTTTATTCCTCTCCTGTATGTGGTAGTTATAGATTTCCTTATCTGTACATGTATTCCAGATCCTCAGGGTATCAGTAACTGTCCTTCGTCTTATGATTTTCTTACCGGAGTATGGGGAGTCCTCGGGTCCTGGAATGACTGCCCGCCATAAGTGTAGGTTATCGTCCACTAGACTCAGGGTTATACCACGGGGCTGACTCTCTTGGAGTGAGACAAATTCCTTTTGTAATCTGTATAGAGAATTATACACAAACGTATGTCGTATAGGACACTGTTTTAGTATTCACCTTCAATATTTCGAATTAGTGATATCGTCAATGAGAATTAATTTATATCATGAAATATTTATTGAAACTACTAAAATTGATACTGAAGTGGCACCGCATAGTGTAAGACATCTTTATTTTCACTTTTATTTGTAAAAAATGTGTCATCTTTCTCACTAATTGAAATTTGTCCTAATATTCCGAACATAAAAAATATGAAAATCAACTTTAAATGTGAATTATTCACTGGAGAGATCAGCAAAATAATGGTTATATACAGTACCTTTTTGTGTATTGCTTCTGCAGACTCACCATGTCTGGTTTGGGTATTCTACTTTCAGTTTCGACAGACCTGCTTACAAGTTCGGGTATTCTACTTTCAGTTTCGACAGACCTACATACAAGTTCAGGTTTCTACTTTCAGTTTCGGCAGACTTGTACGCGGGTTTGGTTATATTCTACTCTCTGTTTCGACAGAACTACATGCAAGTTCAGGGTTCTACTTTCTGTTTCGACAGATTTGTACGGGGCTTTCGTAATATTCCACTTTCTGTTTCGACAGAACTACATGCAAGTTCAGGGTTCTACTTTCTGTTTCGACAGATTTGTACGAGGCTTTGGTAATATTCTACTTTCTGTTTAAGCAGAAAAAAAAACATGAAAATATCAACATGGCAACTTTATCATAATTCAAACTCAAATTCCATAAAGTAGGACAAAATATTAGCAAAAGAGATATTTACACGAAAACCTCTGAAAAAGTACAAGGAAAATAAGACCAGCTGTTCAGGAAGAGCAAGCGTTTTCTGCTTCATCGACGACACTCATCATGTAAACCTTGGTCAATACAAGTAAGTAATGTCACGTTCTCAAATGAGAACAAAGCATACAAGGGAATCAACAGGCAAACTAACGAGCATTAAATACGTCTAGCTTCATGTCGCACAAAGAAATAGAATATTTCTCAATGAAATCACTATGGCGACGATAAAACTTCCCCATCATTTTCATCAACCAGCATTGTGTTACGAGTTTGTCAGTCAGTTATCTATTCTTGCACGAAAATCGTGATAATGGGAACAGGCCCTTGAATATCGAATTAACTGTGACATGTAAATACCATCGGTTGGAGACTAAGTCTGTGAAAAGCTGCTTAATGAAACTAAAAGAAACTGTTTTGTTTCAGCTAGACATCATATGTTTAAAAATTAAAAAAATTGAAAAAGTTCAGGTTCAAAAATCGACATATATAAAACACGGCGCTGGTGGATAACCGTGGAAAAGTGTAGATAATGATATTTATGATTGCCTAGTTTACAAACTTTGCACTTCAAGTAAAAATTTCATCGCTCATTACAAATTCTAACTTGTGAAAAAAAGCTACAATGTGTGAAGATGAATCTACTAAAGATTCCAGACACCATGACATCAACTTTCCTTGTTTTATTAAATATCAACTAAATTGTGTCATATTACGGTAAAAGATCAGTCAATCTGATACCGACATCACATTATTTGGTCGTAAAAACATAAGAAATACAAATTTAAAGAAGATAAAAGACCATTCAGCGATAGACAGTGGCCATTTAAAGCTGAAGAAACGAATAGAAGTAAGTTATATTACGAAATATTACGATAATTCGACACTTGTTGTATGTAAATTGAAAAACAAAATGTCTATTACTACTGTCGTGTAGGTGGTCCGGAGGGAACATTTAAGGATGACAGCTTGGAATCACGCTGTCTTGTGTACGTAGTACTAGAGACATATATATAAATAGTTGTACAGTCATTCTGACCAGTCTCGGTAGTTCAGTAACGAAAATGTTGCACATCGTCATCTTTGCGAAAGGTACAAATGAGCTTCGAAATGATTTTAAAAAATCGATCCTATGTTGATTTCGATCGAAGCGAAGAATTTGAAGCGGATATAATACAAGAGATGTCTACTAGTATCATCGGTCCTTTATAACGTAAACAACACAAGCAGTCCTCTATAGCATCACTCTGCCATAGTGGACTGGATTTTAGCTTGTGATTATTACATTCCAGATACATATGCCTATGGTAACACTTGCTATAATGACAGTTGTATTAAAATGACGTTAAACACTCGAGCACATTTTGCAACCTATTCATTCAGTAAATATCGAAATGCTGGTTCAACATGGGAACATTTCAAAGGAAATCTAGAATAATGACAGACTTGTTTGTGTCCCCTCCGTTGATACCTGAGTTCATCTCAGAACAAGTAACCGTATGAATATACTATATGTGTTAAACGAATACTACATCACCCATATGACGAATACGTATTCAGCCTTAAATCCCAGTAGAAATCTTCACACGAAAAAGTCGTCACTTTGTTGTCCGTTTTCCGATGAAGCTCGGCTTCGAACGAACCACAATTTCCTTTTCAGTTTTTGTACTTTTCTACATTTATGTGCTGATGTCGATCAAATTCTACTTAAAGTTTGTGTAACAATTCGGACAAAGTTACCCAAAATACTAGGTACATGTAAAGATAGTCAGCACATTTGCTTATGTACCGCCATCTTGAATGTCCCCTCCGGACCACGTACACCACAGTAATTACCTATTGCAGTAGTCGAGATTATTTATGTATCAAAACTCTGGAGATTACCTGTCAATACTGATAAAGGTTTTCACTAAATGTCCCCTCGGGATCACGTACACCAGTCAATACTGATATTTTTTCATTAAATTTGAAATTGATTTATAAAAAAAATATTTTTCCTGAACAGAGATGGACGATGTTATTTTTAAATCAGCAGTAGACAGTGGCGGATAGTAGTTCGACTGATTACTATATAGAAGTGAAATGTGAGATTCCAAACAGATTATAATGTGCTGTTTATACGGTAACTAAATTGCAACGTTTACAACTTTGCTATATTTAATTCATAAAACAATGTTAACATGGTGTGACGCAGAGTGGTATTATACACGCGGAGATCAAGCCCTGTCGACATACTCTGATCTGTCATGTTTGTAGACAAGAAATGATTCAGTTATGACAAACATCAAGGACACCTCATACGCACGGCAAATGACATTACAGCCGAATTTCTCTGGTAACGCATACAGAACAGATGACGATGCCAGGTCGCTTGGTTCATCACAGAAAGCGCTAATGATCTCTATTATTAGATTATACGTGCCGACATGAATTTTATATTCACCTTGAACTTGAAAGCTTTTCAATAATTATTCATTTATTTAGATTTTATGGATAAAACTTACAAATATTGAAATTATGTACAGATATTTATTGATTCTTAACGGAAATTAAACACGTGTATTTCGTATCCCTTAGTCTTCTAACCTCTGTCGTCCTGTCCATCCTACTCCTAAGTGTCACGGAGGTAAACGAGATCCCTTGTGGATGTTTTGTGCCATCACTATGGTGGGTGGTATCGCCAAGGACGTATATTACATTATCATATTGTATATTGTATTATGCTCCCTGGTATCACATATTATGTAGTAAATAGAATGCCCCTCGGCCTTCTTTCATTTTAAGATTAATTACTGATAATTAGTGATTAATAATTAATGAGATAGATAATAAGTTAACATTGAAAAACACAGAGCAGAGGCGTAGCTAGCCCAGCAGAAATGTGTAAGCCCAGGCGAGGGGTCTGGGGCCGTCTAGGCCCCAACGGGTCGAGGGCAGGGGCCTGGTGGGGGATCAGGGTGGCGAAGCCCCCCGACGGAAAATGAATTTCATGATTTCAAAGATGTTTTGAATCGTTTTCTGAGACAGTTTTTTTATTTCTTTAACAACAAATTTCAACCCCTGACTAAATAAAAAACTTGTCGATCGACGTCTGTAATCCAGAAGCCCTCTTCATTTTGAAAATTTGCACTTTAACACCATTATAATCGGAAACGTTGAAATGATAGTAAATGCACTAGGCCCAATTATTCAACAATTTTCTATTTATAAATAAATATCTAATTTTTTTATTCATCAAAAATATTAGATATCCATTTTCAACCTTAGTTTTGTAATTTTGTCTGACATACTCTATGCGCGGATTTTTTTATTTGTAAGCCCGGATTTTTTCTTTCTATGGAAGCTCCGCCCATGCAGAGTGTAATATTCAAATCGTGATGTCATCATATCCTCTTTTATCCTGCAACTGGCGCCACCATTGTCGGAATACACCTGCCTCATATGTATTTTCTGTATTGTAAATCGACAAAGTCACTTTGTAATTAACTTAGATATTTTATTTTAAAATATATTGATAACTGTTTAAATAAGCGATCGTATTTGCTGTAACAAAAAAGTTTATTCGTGAAAATTCATAAAATTGGTTTTTAATCCATTAAAATGTGGAATTATATTCAAATAGCCAAAGATTGAATGGGCCTAACAAACAATTAAAGTTTCGACAGCCTGAATTTTCAATTAATGTTGCATTATAGTAGAATGCATGGTCATTTTCTTGAACTATAAGCCTCATTTCGGTTCTGTGAATTGTTCACAGCAGACTCTGCACACATATAGTAAATAACAAACATTGGTGGGTGGTTACCTCCCTTATACCGCCATTTACGGAAACGCTTTCGCTCTGACCGCAGTAATTGTGCTGCCGGAGATTACGACTTTGTCGTAGTCGTGGTCAAGACAAACGTGAAAGCAGACAGAGATCTTCAGAACCCTTCCGAATAATATTTACAGCGTGCAGGTCTAATTCTATAACTGTTTCTTACAGTATTAGTAAATCTAACTAACTAGTAATTAATTTTCTATTTTAAGTCCCCCAAGTGGTAACCTGCATGTCATGTTTTAATTCATTCGAATAGTGACAAGGTTCAGAAAATACTCATGTATTTCATGCTGTTTTTAAATCATCAGATATTTTTTTTTTTATGAAAATTACAAATAAATATTGAACTATTTGGCGATTGTACCTCCCCATCTAGATCACTTTGGAGTATCTCCAGTCGCCTCCTTGGTTTAAAATTTAGGCTCTTAGCATCACTGACGAGCCATAGAAGGATGAAACAGCTGTATGATGCAGTTTAATTCAATGCTTGGTTCTACTTATCTAACTCAAGCTTTAGTAAGGGCGGTCGTCACTGGTGTGTCTTTTGTATTTTTTAAAAAGTATAATAGCGTGTGTGACATTTAATATTCAGGGAGGGCAGCTTAAGTGTTGTTTCGGTATAAACAACATCATGTACAAACAAATCAATTCCAACGTACACGTTTTACTTTAATAGACAAAAAATGACAGTTTCATTTTCATCACAGTATCTGTTAGACTGAAAACAAATCTATT